CTAATATTATCAGGATCAATATTTTTCATGACATTTGGAAAAAAAGATTTGTGTGCGTCTGTGTGCATGGCGCCCACAATGTTAAATATTAAAAAATCGGTCAGTGTGCAGGATGTTGAGACAAGGATTTACACCACTGAGACTCAGCACAGGTCCTCGCAATAAGACCAACACAGCACCACGACAACACAATGCCAGCACAACCCTAATAAGGGTCAAGAATGCGACAATACAGTGTGCGAGGTTGACGAGACCCGGGCGTTCGGTCTGAGCTTCCCTCACCTTGACCTTGACCTTGACCTTGACCTTAGCTGATGGGCCCGAGATTAAGGCCAGAGAGAATGGGTCGACGGATTGAATCAATTTACACTTACACACCCCGCACGCCCCTACCTTGGGCCCGGCCGGTAATGATAAAATCGCGGCCCAACGCTACGATGCAATTATCCTGCTGGGCACCATGTTTCATACGCTAATAATAAGAAAATGGATGCGAGCACAGCGCCTTGCCCTTGTCTTTTCATGGTGAGTCCCTGTCGGCATGTGGTGCACAGCCGAGTCCAGGTAAATTATCTAGGACTGTTTATCTCTCGATACGGATAAACAAACTCAACAGGACAACAGGAGCCAATATTGTGATGGACAGCTTGGGCATCAAACCGATGGCGTTTGTCTTGCAACGAAACTCTTGAACTCAAACTATTGTTCCAGAAGAGAGAAAATACACTTTATCTGTGCGAGCTTTTGCGCGGTAAAGCTTGTGGCCGGATATGGATATGCATATCCATCATCGAGACGCACACGCCCTTGCGGCGTAAGAGAGCGATGCTCCTCCAAATGTTGACGGTTTTGTTGTTGTTGTTGGCCATTTTGTGGAATCCCATCCCCATTGCCATCCCTGTTCCATGCAGTCCTGGACAGCCCTGGATACAATACCTGGTCAAAAAGCTCGGATATGAATTTTTTTTACTCCTCTGGTTCTCATGTTTAAATTTTTTCATGGCGAGATATTCCAATCGATGGAGTTGATACGAAAGCCTTGCCTTTTACGGTGGCTTTGTTATTCCCGAAATGACTGATCGCGAAGTCATCGCTCGATGTTCGGCACTTTCGGTCGTCTTTGAGAACAAAGCTGTTCACCGACCGATATTCTTTTTCTCTTACACCATGGCTGCCTCTCCAAGTGGGTGAGTCGGTGACTCATAACAGCCTTCGCTTGATGCTGGCGCTGACAGTCTCTGCAGCTTCGCTGCGTGTACCCTCTGGTTTGCTGTATTGATGTCCAAATAAACCCGCGGCCCCGTCATATCGGTCCCGCCTGCACCCCAAGTTGGATGCCGATTGGCATCCACCACACACACTGCCTTGTCTAGCAGACACGTTGCTGTGTATACCAGCGTCGACCAAGCTTCGTGATAGAGAGAGCTTGACCCCTCGGCGTGTAAGAGGAGGGCAACAAAGGACAAAGAGCTTGAGCTTTCTTGGATCAGGACTTTTGCCATGCGGATAGGATGTCCAATACGCTTCTAGACCCTGGGTCGATTTGACAGGCTGGCTGGTGCTTCTCACCCTACCATTCGCTATCTCAAGCGACGATATCGAAACAACAAAGACCCTCCAAAAATAAAATCGAAAAATAGTGCCCCTTCCAGGTTTCCCCTCGGTTGGTTCCCCTCCAAAAAGGCTAAGCCTACTACTGCAGGCTTGGAGACACGCTACAGCAAGCTACAATAGCAAGGCGGTTCGAATTTTCTGGCTTGACGTCTCTCTCTCACCGACACTTGCAAAAGACGGTGCCTATTGCTCGGGTGCGTACCTTTGATGGGATGCACCATCGCGGGGCACTTTGGAGACGGGCCGCTCTCGAGCAGCAAGTACGGCGCTTGTAATCGGCAACTACTGATAATTATCAAGGCTTAAGGTGTCATAATGAAGTAGCCTAAATGCCGGTCTATACTCGCCTAAGGTGACGAAGCTTTTCGTCTGGCTATCGTATGCTCTCGACGGCCAACCTTCTGATACCCTGACGCCCGAACCGGCCACAAGGACTCGTGAAGCGGACCCTTGGCTGTATCTATCCGAAGCCTAGGCCACGGGCACGACGTGGTCACCAAATGGCCAAGGCTGAAGCGATACAAGACCCAAGCTGGCCGCATAGTGACGTATGCAGGATCCCACGGATCCATCAGTGCTCTCAGTGAAACGGTTCTGAAGAGCTCAGGTAAAGTGTGTACTGTACTACGGGAAGAAAACTCTACTCTATGCTGCGTCTCGTGGCGTGCAGTTGAAGCTAGTGTGTTTGAATGCCAAAGATATATACATACATTTACATATACATATATGTACAGGCCGTTGCAGATGTAACCTTATGGACTAACACAAGATAAGAACAAGCGCCGACGATCAGAGCACACCGCAAAACACCGCCGTTTTAAAGATCGCGGAACTAGAAGGCAGCGCCCGGGCTATAGCGTCCTCCGCTATTTGACAGGGACGATCGTGACGATTAAATTTTTTTACTGCTGCTGCTTCGTGGGTAGAAAATCTCTTCCAGAATGCACGATAGCGTCTAATAATGATGTGTGTCTCGCGATCCATGGTGATTAGGGCAAGACACGCAGCTGCATGCATATCCGACGGAGCCAAAGAGGGTCTTTTTGGAGATGTCGGTAGAGAAAGCAACAATTCTGTTGGAGCGACAACGCTGCATCACGATGGAGCCCCATCATGTACGCTACAGGTATGGCATCAGCGGTCTCGCGCGTGTCGGGAACGAACGAAAGAGAGGTCTAGAAGAAGCTAATCCTGGCTCATCTCGTGGTTGAGAAGGAAAAAATAAGAGTCATACTGTAACAGTATGAGCAAGAAACCCCCTCCAGTTCGATGCGTTCATGCCCAGCGTTTGGGGTTTGATTCCGTGATGGTGTTGTCTGCGTTGTTCATAGCTCGAGGATTGGATGCCAATGCTCGGGTCCGGCCGCAGAACAAATTCAGATCGAAGGATGACAGCCAATGATATGAGTAGAAGGTTGAAATGTTAGACCCCAAGTTGCTTAATGGATTTGACTAGACTAGCTGCACGTCGGGAACCAGAACCGCTTCCCACGTCACATCACATCTCAAGTTTAAAAGCGTGACCCCCTCCCCCCTCCCTGAAGAGAATGGGAACTGCAAAATGCACTGCGCATGGTGAACCAATAGCAAAATTAGGGCATACTTGACGAGAAGAACATGGGGCGGACGCAAGAAGCCCTGATGTTTTGGAGTTTGCTGCACGGTTGCAGTAAGTAACCCTATACCACAAGGAAAAAGAAAAAATAATAATATTCGCAATGAGGGTAAGATGTGGACTAGACTAGCAATGTGTCGGTGTAAGTGATAGACTATTCTAGTTCGTGATCATCATGCCAAATATCTCATGTGCGAAAGAAAGTGGTCTGCTGCCAAGTTTTTTTCTGTCTACCATATGTCCCATTTGTCCCATCAACATGACGGTAAGTGAGTGGCCTCTGACAGCAGGCCTCAAAAATGTGTGTGTGGTGTGTTCCCCTGTCATGTCATGAAAATGAACATGCATGACCCTTGAAGAAGCACGTGGCGGTGCCTGTGGCGGTGCATCGGACGTGCAAGCCACAACCACTCGGCCGGGTAGACAAAGACCCTCTCTTCTGGAATTGAATTGCGTGACGGGGGATCCGCTTCGGGCATGGCCGGGGGCGCGCACGGGAACGGCACCTGCAGGAGGGATCCCGATTTTCTGGGTCTGTGATGCGGCCCCATCGGAGTTTATGTTCGGGGTTTGACCTTTTAATTATGTGACGTAGTTATTTCAATGTGCTGTCACTGTAGACTACCCATCTCTTGACATCTAATCGGTCTGTGTTTTTGGACCCTTTTTCTTTTCACTTTTTTTTTGTCTGTGCTGTAGTTCAGTCCCTGCTGCCTAGCTGTCTGTCATTTCCTCCCCTGTTACCATTTTTAATGCTGAGATTGGGCATCCTTTCTACACGCCCAAACCAACCCATTGTATCAACACCCTTAAACCCATGATATCGAGAAAATAACTATACACCCTGATCTTAATATTTTATTAGTTCATTAGCTGTCAAATATGACTAGTTTAAGCAAGATGACTCACATCCGTGGAGATGAAATAGCTGGTTGGCATCCATGCACCGCCACACCAATACGTAAACACGGACTACCTTTATTTCTTGACTTCAGGCAAGTCATTGACGAAGAAACAAGGGTCTTGACAGGCAGCAGTGCGCAAGAGGGAGCCCATCGCGTATCTCAAATCTCATACGTGAACTGTGTCAGAGCGTAGGCGGCAATCTTGTACGAGGCAAGATGTGTCCAGCCAATGCGATATCGCGGGGCATGTGAAGGTGGCGATGCAGTTGTCGTGTAAGTCAGGGGTTAAGTTTTTGCCTCCGGGTCCACGGATTTGGAATCCGGGATATGGACACGCCTTAGTCTGGAGGATTGGATATCAGAGGTTGGGATAGAGGCGAATGGTGATGGAGAGAGTGACTGTGGTGAGGAGGTTGGTGGTCACGAGATGGAAGCTGGAGCGTGAATATGATCACGAGACTTAGAGTAGGGATATGTTGTATCTTGGCGATATGGTTGAGTGTAAGCACATGTCAGATACAGTCGGACTTACAGTTCGAAGCCTGAGGTTTCTAGTATCAGAAATTATGTAGTTTGTCGTATTGCGATTCAGAATGTTGATGAACAATCCAGTTTACGTATGTGTTGCAGCCTGCTTTGGAGAAGTGGTATCTGGGACCAAGTGCCTGAGCATGAACGATCTGTGGTACGAACCGATACTCTTGTATACTGGTAGGGCAATTTTCAGGAAGCATCATGTACGTAGTCACGATTATGTTAAGTCTAGAATATTCAGACCGAGGTATGCATGACTGAGGTGAGGGTATCCTATTTCCTATCCTAAACTATGACTACAGACTTCCGAAGGACTTCTCAATAACCATGAGTTACTCCGACTTGCCATCATGCTCTACAGCCCAAAGCTCTCCGAACCGACTTCCCTCCATCTCAACAAGCTCCCTCGGCCCTCCATCCTCAACTACACTCCCCCTATCAAGCACAACAACCCTATCAAAATACTCCATAACCATCTCCAACCGGTGCGAAACCATAACAATAGTATATCTCTCAAACTCATCCCTAATAATCTCCTGCATCGCTCTATCCGTGACTTTATCCACACTGCTACTTACTTCATCCAACAAGAGCAACCCACCCTGGTTCTTCTCCCCTCTATCACGGACTCTACGGCGCAGGATTGCCCGGCCGAGACTGAATAGCTGCTTTTGACCCGCGCTGAGATCTTCGGCGCTCATGCCCGCGTTCAAACTGCCTTTATCGTTGACGAAGTGTGTTAGACGGACGGTTTGGAGGACGTTGAAGCATTCTGCGTCTGTGGCTGCGTTGTAGGGGTCGAGATTGGCTTTGATGGAGTTGCCGTCTGGGAGGAAGACTGCGTCTTGGGGGATGCAGATTATGCGTCTGCGTAGAGTGGCACGATCGATCTGATGCAGATTCACGTTGTCGATCTGTATGTTTGTGGCGCAAGAGGGAAGAGGGTCCAGGAGGCGTAGGAGTAGGAGAATGAGAGTAGACTTGCCGCTTCCTGTGCGGCCGCAGATTGCAACCTTCTGTCCAGGAAGGATGTTGAGCTCAAGGTCTCGTAGGACAAGATTGAGATCGGTCTCATCTTGGCTATCAGCATCCATTTCGTATGAAGCAGACACCTTGTCGATCAGAATGTTTCCATTCTGCGGCCAACTCTCAGGGGGCTCAATATCTTCGCCAGGCAAATTCTCCGTCGCAACAGTCTCACTGAAGGATCTCAACCGGCTCACAGCGCCCAGGGACGTCTCAAGAGAAGTATAGCTCTTGATCACATCAGACAGAAACTCGCTGAAAGTCAACAGGGAGATAAGACTGGCACCAGTCAAACCCGCGTTAGTTCGAAGTTGAGTTGCCAATGCGACGAGAACAACAGCAATACCTGCGACGATGAGGCGAAGTGAAGAAGCTAGCCATTGCTGGATCATCGCTAGGAGATAAGCTGGTCGTTGAGAAGTATCGAGGAGTTGGTTACTGTGTAGTATGTCGTTCTTTTCCCAGCCGAAAGCTCTTATGGTAGCAATGCCCTTCATGGTGTCGGTAAAATGCGTACTGTTATGGGAGTCAGAACGGTGCCCCAATGCTTAGAAGACAAATTAGAGTAACTTACTATAGCGGGCTCTTCGCCTCGAGGTCAAGAAGTCGAATCTGCCTCGAAGTGCGAAGATAAAACATCTGAATAAAATAAATAACGACAAGCAAAAAGGGATATCCAATAGCAAGATATGGCGAAGCAGAAGCCACCACAAATGCAGACCCAACACAATTCGAAATATCCAATGTGAAATTGGTCAAGGATAGGGGTAAGTCACTATCAAGGAGTGTCATATCCTGCGAGAAAAGGTTCGTCACAACGCCAGTATCGGTAGTCGTAAAGAACCTCAACGGCGCAGAAATAACAGTGTAGATAGCTCTTTGATGAAGCTCCGTGCCTGCGGAAGCAGTCATACCAATCAAGGTGATACAACCGTTGCAGAATAGGAATATGACAAAACCTGATCGTAGGAGGCCGAAGATACCTACGTAAAAGGCGAAAGATTCCTCGAAGGCGTCTTCGGCCCAGAACTTCATCCATACGCTTGAGAGACTGAGACAGGCTCCGGCCAGCATTCCTGATAAAGCAACAGCGATGGCTGCCCATGCTCCGACGCTTTTGAAGTAATGCTTGTAGATGGAAAAGTCGCCTGTTTGTCTTGCCTTGTCCTCTGCTGCTTGGCTAGAAAGGGCCGGTGCAGCAGCCGGGGGAGAAACTGCAACCGCCTTCGCTTCGGGCTGTTCATCGTCCGAAGAGGAGTCTGTGTCTCTGTATTTGACCCCAAGACTGTGAACATACTTGTTATTGTTCATCAACTCCGTAAAGTTTCCCTGTTCGATAATCGTGCTGTTGCCGAGGGCAATGATATGGTCTGCCAACGGCAAGTGTCGCACTGAGTGAGTACACACAATGACCGTGGCATTTGTCCTCTTTGTAATACCTCCTGGTCCGAAGACGCGACGGAACAGCTCTGATTCAGTGCCCAAGTCTAAACCGCTGAGTATATCATCAAAGATCATCAAAGTTGCCTCGGAATACAGGGCTCGGGCTACAGAGAGACGCTGTTTCTGACCGCCGCTGAGCATAATTCCGTTACTTCCGATCTTAGTGTCGTGACCTTGAGGTAGAAGGGCGACGTCTTGAGAGAGCATCGTAGCCTCAATGATCTCATCATACTTGGTCTGATCAAAAGCGCAGTGGCCGATGATGTTTTGTCGGAAAGTGCCGTTGTATAAAAAGGGAGACTGAGAACAGTATGCGATACGCTGAGAAGATGCGAATGTCTTAATCGTGCCTGAAGATACGGGAAGTTCGCCGAGAAGAGCCTGACAGAACGTTGTCTTGCCGCTGGCGACTTCGCCCACGATGATGGTAAGTTTATCAGCGGGGATGCAAGTGTTGATGTCCTTCAAGGTCATCTTTTCTCCTCCCCATCCAAAACATCCGTCCTCAATGGAAAAAGCATCTGTACTCTTTTTAGATGTAGAAATGGTTCGAAAGTCGTTGCGTGGTTCAGCTGCGAGGAATCTCTGGACGCGAGATATACAAGTCAGAGCTGCAAAGATGCCCGGAAGACTCTGGAAGAGTTCAACAACAGGGGTCGTGAAAAGGAGGATATATGATAGGGAAGTGAAGAGTGTGTTGACGCTCAAGTCCTTAGATGCGAAAGCGAAAGTGATAGCAGGTGAGATGGTGAATGGTGTGAAGCCCAGTACCGCAGCAAGGATCAATAGCCAACGGAAGCTATTTCCAACCTTGATCTCGTCCACGCGAAGAGTCTGGATCAGATCAGCCACAGGGCCAGCGATACCCGAGATTTTGTACAACTTCATTTGAGAAATTGCGTTGGCAGTTAATCCGACCCTGTTCTGGATCTTTGCCATCCACTCACTCTGTCTCTTGCCGACCAACGAGATCAACCATGACAGTAGAAGGGCACAAACTGCAATAACAACCAGTGGGGAAACAAAAGCTGCGCCTATCTTTCCATAAAGAAGCCAGCATCCGATTGCTAACTGTACAGGATTTGCCCAAAGATCATGAGCCCTCTCTGCACCTCGAAGGATCCGTTCGACGTCGGAACTCATGAGCGTCAAAGCAGCAGAGTCATCAGCAGCCGTCATCTTCATCTGCGTTGTCTTTTGGTAAATAGCAGCCACTAGACAGCCGCGAATCATATACACGGCTCTTTGTTGGTAGTAACCATAGAAGGCTGCGGAGACTCCTATACCGGCGTAGATGAGAAACGCGGCGCCGATTAAACCATAGCCTATGCTTTTCGATGATGAATCTTCCGGAATTTGTAGATATGCCAGTGTTGCGTCGATGTATAGAGGTTGACAGTATTGGAAGGCGATGAGAGCGACGCGAGGAATAATGGGGAGGATGAAAGGTCCCGTCAGTGTCCTGACCAGATCCTTCAGCAGACCCGACCTGGGCTCCTGGTTGTATCTCTGAATCCGGAGTTGTTTGGCGAACTGACTTTGTAGCCTATTCGACGCCATCTCTTCATCAAGAGGATACAGATCCTCAATATTCAGTACTTTTTGGTAGCCGCTCTTAAACAACTTGTTCAACCACGCGAAGACACCCACAGAGAATACACCACTCGACTCCTCAGGACTATGCTCATCGGCATTCCACTGAATCCATCTCGTCTTGGGAATCGTCTCAAGGCAGAGAATAACAGCTTTTACTACGACAGAAGCTGTGAAGAGCCGGGCTTGGATGGTTTGATGCGAGGTGCTGATGAGAAGCCATGCTGTCCTAGCCTGCACTATGTCGAACAATAGTGTAAGGAGAATGTATATGTTTAATAGTGTAGATGGCCTTCTGGCACATGAGTGCTCTTTCCAGGATAGTGCGCATGCAAAAAGTGATGCGATGAATGCAAGTGATGATCCTGCGAGGGAGAGATCATGAACGATCCCTGCAGTTCCAGTTGCGATAAGAACCAAGACGCCAAGTTGCGTAGCAGCAAACACGAGCAAAAACGCCTATTCAATGTCAATCATTCACTCCATCACAGCGACAAAGAAACACTCACGGTTTTAACTGATTGCAAAACAATCCCATTGACAATCCTCTCCCTCTGCACCAAAACAGCAACCCTTCCAATAGCCGCAGCAATAAAAACAACAGTCGGAATAATCGAAAAGAAAATGCGTTCAAATTTCTGCGTAAAGTCGAAATCGCCTCGACATCCTCTGACGCCTGGACCCCAGGAGCCGTCGTTTAAACAAGATGAGGCCATTGTTGATGAGGTTTGGGGTCCATTTCCTGGGAATAATGGTGTTTTTATTTGCGGCCGGGGTAATTGATCGGCTGTCAGATGGGCTAACGATGTGCCGAAGTGCTTACGATTTACATACGAATTGAGGACGATTTACCGCACGCGTTGAGGAACTTTTGTTGATTGACGCGAATGGTTTCGTAGTAGTTGACGATAACCAACACGCTTACGACCTGCCTTTATTGGTAAGGCTGAAGGGCGGATCTATCTATGAAACGCATACACAACGATCTTTCCTAAGTTTATGGCAAGTCTTGTAAGACTTTAGGCAATGATCTAAAGTTGTCTAAATCTAGTCTTTATGTTTATCCCAATGTTAGACTAAGCACTATATTTTATATGATAGATCGTAATTGATACGGAGAATCGCCTTATCGAGATAGGTTGCATGCTATTCGCAAAGAGCATATATAAATCTAGTGTTGTATATCACACAAATATGAATATACTAATGCAAGCTCTAGATTGTTACTGCGACATAGATATGGCAATTGGCATGAAGAGTTTCGTCAATTCCACGTAACTTGATGACTAGTTTCTACTCTGGCGAGGGAGACTCGCGGCTTCTTGGTAATGCTGAACAATGGTATAGGTGATTCAATAAAGCTTCCACGTATTACTGTTAGCAAAGTGCTGCGAAAACGCATTGGACATCTCATGAGAACCCTGGGCGCTACAATTCTGGATGAGAGTGATGAGATGCCATAGTGAAGAAGACAAAGACTACTTGAGAATGTATCCAAGGTTGGGCTTGCGGCAAAAGAAGTTAAGGAATATTATGCCTTGCATCGTGTGCAGATCGATTGGTCGGTCCATCGACGGCCGCTTTGTCTGCCGTGTTGTCGTTTGGACCATATAAGCCGTAAGCGGATCCTTTCTAGGAACTGTTGGCCATGGTGTAGTCTAGGGATTAGAAGAGTAAGTTGTGATAGCCTCGCCAAAAGATCATAAACATTAGATCATCGCTCCTTATCGTGATACTTCCCGGCGATTGCCCTTTCAGTATGCCAAGGATTCCTTTCTGGCTAAGCTCAGAAAAGCATATCCCCGCTTGTTGGTAGAATCTCACTCTTCCACCTCACTCAATCAATCAACAAACAAAGTGAGTTCTTCAAGATGAGTGGCAGAGCCCAAAATGCAGTAGCATCCTTGGGGGTGCTACCTCCCGAGATCCTGTTACCGATCGTCACGAGCCTTCCAGGCCTCGACACACTCTGGAGCCTAATGACGGCTTCACCAAATGTCTGGCGTCTCTTCAACAATTACGCCCATACTATCACCGAAGGTATCCTTTCTGGACCAAACTCGATACTGTACGGAAAGATCCGAGAGCTTGTTCGTGGAGTCATCCTTGTGCGCGCTAAGACGCTTCCTTTCAAAGACTTGAACGAGTTCAGGAATCGGTTCTTAAGAGGCGTGAATCCTTTGACCGTACATTATGGCGCAGAATACATCTATCTTGGACCTGAAATCTTATCTGCTGCGATAGTGCCTACAGAAGTATTTAGGTCTGTCGTCGCAACAGCATGTCAAATCTCTGCCCTGTCGCAGGGTTGTTTGGCATCGTATCTAGCGCCATTCAGGGATATCAGGCCGTTGCATACTTCCGACTCACGGCCTTACTCCCATGATCATGATCATGATCATGATCCAGACTCCTGCAGGACCCCCGCCTGGGAACTTGAGATTGTCGGTAAACCTCACAAGGTGGTGGATGCAGGACAGCCGAGCTGGCGCGAGGAAATGAGGGCTCTACGTGCTATGTGGATAATACAACTGGTGGGCGAAATGAAAGGGCTGGTCAAGGAAGGCTGGTCCGAGGAAGATATCGACACGTTGAAACAGATGGATGCGGCAGACTTGGTTGAGAGACCTGACAATAGAGTGATCAAGGCCGAAGAGGTCGGGTGTGCTATGGATTACCTCAGGACCCTTCGAGATGCCATACAAAACGATTACTATCGACTACCAATGCCACCTCTGGTTACAAAGAGTAACAGATGGATTACAGCAGAGCAAAAAGCAGCTGGTTTTATAATGACGGTCGTCGAGTATTGTCAAAACGGCAAATTCTTCAAAGTGCAGAAGGGTGAACCTATACCAGAGGACAGCGAACCGGCCAAGGTTCCATTTCCCGACGAGGGTATGGAATGGATGAAGGAAGAAGCGCCCCTCAACAAAGTATCATGTGGTATGACTATATGGAGAGCCCTATCACGCGACCGCTACTCGCCTGTTAAGGGTGTCAAATTCGATTCTTTCCGCCGATTGGGCTTTGCCTTCTGGGACAAGGCGAGATTGCATCTTGCAGGCCTGACGAATGGGATATCAAAGCCATTCTACCCAGATCAATTCTACTTCTTTGCGTTGGAGAGCATTCTGCCTGCTGATGAGGTTGCTAACATCAAGGCTGAGCTTCGATTGCCAGACCTGATTCCGTTACCTCCTGCTCCACCCCTACCAGCGTCTTCCGCCAGTTTAGCAGCACAAAGAAGCACATTGAGTTTGAGCAGCGTACCCTTACCTGTCCATACCCCAGACTCACCTCCGGCACCGCCGTCATAACCACTCTGTCCTGTCTGTCCGCGGATTCCACAAGACCCATCAGAGGTCTTTGCGACTATATATCATCCAAGCTTCGATTGAGCAAGAGGGCTGTAGGTCTGGCACTTGGTTCCAGTGGACATTTCAGAAGGGTAATCGGGTGAAGTTCAGACTAAACCAAGAGTTGGGAAATGTTCGTTCGCGATCTGATGCTCGAGGGGTTTGAGTTGGGCAGCTGGGACACCTATGATAAATTCGGTCGCCATTTTCAGCAGTTTGGATGATGTCGGTATCTTCGTAGGCGATGAGTCCCTGCGAAATCGTTGTTGTACCGACCGCCCCGCCCCTGCAATCATTCAAGATGCCACCGCGTACCCGCATAGACATGATCGCACGTCTGGGTTGGTTCAAGCTCAGTTGCCCTCGTTGGTAGTCCCTGTGTAGTTCTATGTTCGCGGAGGAATCGATACGCCAGGATGTGGACGGAGCCGCGATGTGCGTTGACGCCTGCAGCTCAGTCACGTTTATATAAGCTCACGATTGCATCGCCTAGCTTATAGTGTGGCTCAAGTGTATCGAGAGGCAATCTCTTTTTCAAAGAAATAAATGTGGTATCTTGTTGGTTTAAGACTCTCTAATTGCTGGAAGAGCTCAGCTCCTTTTGCGCACTGCAGTTCGGACTTGGACATTGTGCAGCTATAGTAAGACTCCAGCTGCAATGTAATCTTCAATTCTTGGTCGTTTATCTGCCTTAATCGAGCTATTCAGTTAATCTAAATATGGCACGTTCGTCTCAAAACACGAATGATGCTCTGGGTAAACTGAAAGGGGCTTCGGTATCATGTGGTACTCTTGTAGAGCTTACCACCCAGCTCGTGTATAGTCCCACCATACTGTTATGTATAATGTCGGTCATGGGACTTAATCACTGATGTCTACCTGAGAGAAAAGGGTAACCCGGACCCTTGCGAAAGGATGACACGCTGGATGACCCTACAGAGGGCACTTGTAGTCCCACATCTGCGATAACCGAGTGTGCTTCAATCCCCAGCACCTCGTAGACGAGGCATGCGAGCACATGCATAAACACCCTCTTCCTTTTTGGAGCACCGAGCAGCGCGATCCGGCCGCTTGCCATCGTTGAGAGATTGACGAAGTGGCCCAGGAGACGTATGCAGTATGGGAAGGGATTTGCGTACTGGTCTCTGTCCTTTGGCATCTTGTTGAAGCCGTAAGGGTTGCGTTGAGCCCCTTTGCTGCGCTGCGATTACTCCAACAATCTGGAGCGTCACAAATAGACTATCAACTTCGAGTCTGAAATCAGGGCAGGAGCCCGCTTGCGTGGTTTTCCATCTGATCTCTGAGTCTGACCGTCTCATGAATCTAGCGTACTGGGATATCAGCTCGCAAGGATGTGCCACTCCTTGGGCAAATGCGCCTCATCACGATCGGTCATTCCAAGAAGCGAGCCTGCCAGCTGTGTCCCAGTTGGGCCATATCCCAGATATCCGGGTACTGCTTTGGCTTAGACGGTAAGCGAGTGACGAAGTATGTGATGAACGACGAGCTAAGTCCCACTTCATAGGTGTGTTTCTACCGACAGCGACCACGCTGCAATGGGCCTCGGTGCCTTTTGGAACGCGATGACTGCTGCCCTTGTCTGGGTATCATAAACCCTACAAGCACCTACAGCTGTTGGTAGAGGAGTGATACACAAGCACACCTAGGAACTAAAGCGAAGTATTTCTTCTCAAACACCGAGTCTTTCGAGCTTAGTGCACATCTGAGCATGACCGTACATGGTAAGAAATGAGGTTAACACATCCACAAGGCAGTCCATAGGCATTGTGGCTGGGCAGTCTTCTCTCGAGAACGACAACACGCTGTGGGAAGCTGTTCATATGTTCGAAGAACTTTGAGACATATAACAAGCTACTTGAAGAAGAACCTTGGGTTAAAACTTTGGCTAGATCAGCAGCTCTATCCAGAAACGTGCTTCTCAGCCCCCTATACCTACCTACCTACGTTGTAGAAGTTGAGAAAAAAGTTGTTGCTTTACGACTTTAGGCCGGTCTTTGGAACAGTATTCCACAAGAGGGTCTTTTAAAAACTACTAGAACCCTGAGTCATTGCCCAACGTGTCGGTAGGAATGTTTAACGTTATCTGATCTGATCCGATCTGACTATCCCATGTGAAGTGCGGACCTCATCACAAGCCGATGTGCTTACACATGTATTCGGCCGACAACGGACGAACAAAGGCGGAGACCGTCTAACATCGTCGGACTTTGGTTTAGTCAGCGGAAGAAAGCTGAAACGCCACAAAAAAGATCCGACCGGGTTCCTGTCTTTAGATCCCTGATCCTGGCTTATCACGGACAAGGTTCTTACGGGGACTGCGGTTAGATTTACCATAAAACGAACAAGATCAGCATGCAAAAGAGGGAAACGGTGAGCCCTATACTGTGATTCTGTGTGTTATAGACAGGTGCCTAGCCAGACCGATAGTTGCTATGTATACTGTCTCAGTTATGTTGTGAGATATCACCTGCCGCTTTGACTTGAATTTGAGTTTGAGATCTTCAAAAGTTCAGGAAACAAGAATCGGGATCATCTGTCCGATGTTTACACTCATACACCATGATGTTCCAATGTGTCACGCCGGAGCGTATTTGTCTTGGTGTAGGCTATGTCTTGTAACTATTCACAACTTATAACTACTTTTTATTGCGGAACTAATCCGCATTGAGGTATGAGTCGAAACCACTCATGCGTCCTCGGACTTAAGGAAGTAGAAGCTCGCGGAATGACACAAGATTCAGCCGTTGGGCTTGGTTTAGTTTACGGTACGGATACTGTAACATTAGGCGTTCCCACATTTACCATGCAGAATCTTTCTCCACAGAGTGAGATTGGTGGGTAAAGGTGCAGATGATAACCGAGTGTTGGGTTTCAACGTTGCAAAAAAGAATGTAGGATCTACATTCTGGAAACTACGATAGAGAATACTTGCGAACAAAGCAATGCATTGCCTCTATCTGCTTGGTTATAGTAAACAGTAACTAACTGTTGACGCTATGGAGCCTCACTCAGATATTCATGTCTCGGATATAAACGAAATCATCCCTTATGCGTATCCCCATTAGGTATGGATGTCAATCTTTGACTTTATTTGTCTCAACCAATCAGAACCTCAACTCGGGATGCAAGACTTGTCCGAGATGAGTCAAACTCTGAACAAGGGACCCATCTACCTGACTTGACATGCCCAAACGAGGAACTAAACGACAAGGGTCTTCGCTGAAGCAATTCGCGGCTTGTGGGGACGTTGCCCCCTACAGACGGACATTTTAGAACTTTTTATTTTGATTGGTAAGGTACCTCGTAAACTAAAGGGGAGAAAAAGTGCGAGTAATGTTGTGCTGTTCTGAGCCGGGGTCGTTCGTCCTTTATTTTGACAACCCAACACTTAGAGGTCACCCTCACGGACGAAAACCTTCCCAAAGGATTGTTCTCCATAATAATCTTTTTGACCAGGGGAGCTCTGTCTCTTTTTTTGCCTTTGCGACTTGGACTTATAGAGCGGCATGTCGGCTTCTTTTTCCTTTGCGCCTCTCCCCTTACCTCACCTCTTGTTGTTCACCAGCAAGCCTATGGTCAAGTATCACAGGCTGCTATACATATATACATATTAATTATTTCTTCATTCCTTTTATACTATACCTTTAATACTTTCAATTGGGTTCAATTAGGTGAATTACCTTTTTCGCGGCGGGTGACTAAGGGCTCCCAGACAGTTTCAACAACAACACAACATAACTGTCGACAAAATGGCTGAAAAAGATCTCGGAAAGGCCGAGCAGGCCATTGCCGCCAATCATCACACTGAGCAGGCCGATCCTGCGTACCGCAACTCCATCGAGACCGACTCCACCCGTGCTGAAGGACAGAACAAGGCGCAGAACGTTGGTGTTTCCGTTGAGCAGGCCGAGGCTGACTTTGCCGAGCTTCAGCGTGAATTCACTGGTGTTTCGCGCGCTAGTCGCAGGAAGAGCAGAGCTAGCGTTGCTGATCCTGAGAAGAATGCTACTACTGCTGATGAGGCCGAGGTTGAGTCCCTCTTTGATCTAGAGGCGGCTCTTCGCGGTGGCCTTGATCGTGAGAAGGAGGCGGGTATCAAGTCTAAGCATATTGGTGTTTACTGGGATGATTTGACTGTCAAGGGGTTTGGTGGCATGTCCAACTTTGTGCCTACTTTCCCTGATGCTTTTGTTGGATTCTTCGATGTTGTCTCCCCCGTCATCAACATGCTCGGTCTCGGACCTAAGCCTCCCCAGGTTGCACTCCTTGATAAGTTCAGGGGTGTGTGTAAGCCTGGTGAGATGGTTCTCGTTTTGGGAAAGCCTGGTTCTGGATGTACGACTTTCCTCAAGACCATCGCCAACCAGACATATGGCTACACCGCGGTGGAGGGTGAGGTTCGCTACGGACCATGGTCCAACACCGACTTCTCAAAATCCTACAGGGGCGAAGCAATGTACAATGCCGAAGACGATCTCCATCATCCTACTCTCACGGTTGAGCAGACCCTCGGTTTTGCGATTGATACCAAGATGCCCAAGAAGCGACCTGGAAACATGTCCAAGGAGGAATTCAAGGAGAGCATCATTAGCATGCTTCTCAAGATGTTCAACATCGAGCACACACGCCACACCATCGTCGGAGACCACTTCGTTCGTGGTGTGTCTGGTGGAGAGAGAAAGCGAGTCAGTATTGCGGAGGGTATGATCACCAACGCTGCCGTCCTGTCATGGGATAACAGTACCCGTGGTCTTGACGCTAGTACCGCCCTGGATTTTGCCAAGTCTCTCCGTATTCAGACCAACCTGTACAAGACGACTACTTTCGTCTCGTTGTACCAGGCTTCCGAGAACATTTACAACCTTTTCGATAAGGTCTTGGTTATCGATGGTGGAAAGCAGGTCTACTTCGGCCCTGCTGCTTCGGCTCGCAGCTACTTCGAGGGTCTTGGTTTCGCTCCTCGTCCTCGTCAGACCAGTGCTGATTACCTGACCGGTTGTACCGATGATTGGGAGAGGGAGTATGCTCCTGGTCGATCTGAGGAGAATGCTCCTCACAACCCTGAGACTTTGGCCGAGGCTTTCAAGAAGTCTGATGCGTACAAGTCTCTTGATGCTGAGATGGCTGAGTACAAGGCTTCTCTCGAGCACGAGACCGAGACACACAACGACTTCCAAATCGCCGTCAAGGAGAGCAAGCGTGGTACTTCCAAGCGCTCCGTCTACTCCACCGGCTTCCACATCCAAGTCTGGTCCCTGATGAAGCGTCAGTTCACTCTTAAGCTTCAGGATCGCTTCAACCTCTTCTTCGGTTGGTTCCGCAGCATCGTCATCGCCATCGTTCTCGGAACCCTGTATCTCGACCTCGGCAAGACTTCCGCCAGCGCCTTCTCCAAGGGAGGTCTTCTCTTCATCGCACTCCTTTTCAACGCCTTCCAAGCTTTCTCCGAGCTAGGAGGTACCATGACAGGTCGTTCCATCGTCAACAAGCACAAGGCCTATGCCTTCCACAGACCGTCAGCTTTGTGGATTGCGCAGATCTTTGTCGATCAGGTATTCGCTGCTAGTCAGATTCTGCTGTTCTGCATTATCGTGTACTTTATGACCAACCTTGTTCGCGACGCTGGTGCTTTCTTCACTTTCTTCTTGATGATTCTGAGCGGTAATATTGGAATGACTTTGTTCTTCCGTATTATTGGTTGTGTTTCGCCTGATTTTGATTACGCAATCAAGTTTGCTGTTATTGTAAGTTCCTTTTTATGTTTGCACGTTTCTTCCATGTGTTGGACGGACGGGAAGTGGGGCATGCAACGGTGGCGCCATAACCTTAAGTCTAAACTTAGTCCACATCTTATACTTCTTATGATGATCTCGTCTAAGCAGTTGCTAACACATTCGCCTAGGTCATCACTCTCTTCGTTGTCACATCAGGTTATATCATCCAGTATGCTCAGGAACAAGTCTGGCTCCGATGGATCTTCTGGATCAACATCCTCGGTCTCAGCTTCAGTTCCATGATGATGAACGAGTTCCAGAGAATCGACATGGAGTGTACAGCCGACAGCTTGATTCCTTCTGGTCCCGAGTACACCAACATCGACTACCAAGTCTGCACTCTCGCCGGCTCCAAGGCCGGAACCACCCTCGTCTCCGGTACCGACTACGTCGCCCAGGGCTTCTCCTACTACCCCGGTGATCTCTGGCGAAACTGGGGCATCGTCCTCGCTCTTATCATCTTCTTTCTCTTCCTCAACGTCGCTCTCGGTGAACTCGTCAACTTCGGCATGGGCGGTAACGCTGCTACCATCTTCGCCAAGCCTAACAAGGAGCGCAAGGCTTTGAACGAGAAGCTTACCTCTAAGCGCGATGCTCGACGCAAGGATAGGTCTAACGAGGAGGGTTCTGAGATCAACATCAAGTCTGAGAGTGTCCTTACCTGGGAGAACCTCAACTACGATGTTCCCGTTCCTGGTGGCACCCGTCGTCTTTTGAACAATGTCTTTGGTTACGTTCGTCCTGGTGAGCTTACTGCTCTTATGGGTGCCTCCGGCGCTGGAAAGACTACTCTTCTCGACGTCCTCGCTGCCCGTAAGAACATTGGTGTCATTCACGGTGATATTCTCGTCGATGCTATTGCCCCTGGCAAGGAGTTCCAACGTTCCACTTCATATGCCGAACAGCTTGATGTCCATGAGCCTACCCAGACCGTCCGAGAAGCTTTCCGATTCTCTGCTGAGCTTCGTCAACCCTACCACGTGCCTATGGAGGAGCGCTACGCCTACGTCGAGGAGATCATCTCTCTTCTCGAAATGGAGTCCATCGCCGACGCCATCATCGGAACCCCTGAATTCGGTCTTACCGTCGAACAGCGCAAGCGTGTCACAATTGGTGTCGAGCTCGCCGCTAAGCCCGAACTGATGCTCTTCCTCGACGAGCCCACCTCCGGTCTCGACAGTCAAAGCGCTTTCAACATCGTCCGATTCCTCAAGAAGCTCGCGGCCTCAGGCCAAGCTATCCTGTGCACAATCCACCAGCCCAACGCCGCCCTCTTCGAGAACTTCGACCGTCTTCTCCTTCTCCAGCGCGGAGGCCGCACTGTTTACTTTGGCGACATCGGCAAGGATGCTCACGTCCTGCGAAGCTATCTCGAGTCTCACGGCGCGGTTGCTAAGCCTACTGACAACATCGCCGAGTTCATGCTTGAGGCTATTGGTGCTGGCAGTGCTCCTCGTGTTGGAAACCGTGATTGGGCTGATATTTGGGATGATAGCGCTGAGTTTAATGAAGTCAAGGAGACTATCATTCGTCTTAAGCGTGAGCGACAGGATGCTGGTGGTGGCGCTAACAAGTCCGCTGATCTGGAGCGTGAGTACGCTTCACCTTTCACTCACCAGATGAAGACTGTCTGCACTCGCATGTTCCGATCATACTGGCGATCTCCCAATTATCTCTTCACCCGTATCTTCAGTCACGTTGCTGTTGCCCTGATCACCGGTCTCATGTATCTCAACCTCGACAACTCCCGCGCGTCTCTCCAGAACCGAGTTTTCGTCATTTTCCAGGTCACTGTCCTTCCCGCACTTATCATTACACAAGTCGAGGTTATGTACCACATCAAGCGAGCTCTGTTCTTCAGAGAGCAGTCTTCCAAGATGTACTCACCTTTCGTGTTTACCTCAAGTGTCGTCCTGGCTGAGATGCCCTACTCGATTCTGTGCGCTGTCGCGTTCTTCCTTCCTCTTTACTTTATGCCTGGATTCCAGACTGAGTCGTCTCGAGCTGGTTATCAGTTCCTGATGGTTCTGATCACTGAGATCTTCGCTGTCACACTCGGCCAGGGTCTTGCATCTATCACACCCTCTCCCTACATTTCTGCGCAATTGTAAGTCATAAAACCGTCCCAAGATATCACGTGAATCGTACTGACAAGGCCAATCTGTAGTGATCCCTTCATCATCATCACCTTTGCGTTGTTCTGTGGTGTTACCATCCCTCCTCCTCAAATGCCAGGCTTCTGGAGAGCTTGGATGTACGAGTTAACTCCATTTACACGCCTTATTAGCGGCATGGTAACGACTGCTCTTCATGGTGTTGAGGTCGTATGCAAGCAGGGTGAGTTGAACGCGTTCAGCGCACCCCCGAACATGACCTGCGGCGAGTACATGGAGCCGTTCTTCGAGCGCGGAGGCTCAGGATACCTCGTTGCAAACAACACTCAAGACTGTGAATACTGCGCATACAAGGTCGGAGACGAGTTCTACGGCACTTTCGAGATGAATTTCGACCATCGTTGGAGAGACCTGGGCATCTATGTTTGCTTCATTGCAAGCAACTTGATTGTCCTCATGACAGCGGTAAGTAACTCAGCCAATGAGGAAAAGGGCGCCTTACTAATCAATACTCTAGACTCGATTCCTCAACTTCAACCGCCGTTAAGGCAAGCAATAATGTTGTTCAATGTGCATGCAACACATGAGTATATGGTGGGAGCCAATGAGAGTAATGGGATAAAAGTGGGGCTCCAAGGAGCGACGCATAGATGGATGGATATACGTGCTACGAGTCGTTTGCATATAGAAACAAAGCATAAGTTACATTAATTAATAGACGTTACAATGATATATCTGCCAATCTGCCTTCTGTCGTGAGTGAAGTATCAGAGCCGATGTGTACAATGTTGCGACTGGTGGCCAGCCCAAGACGTGATGCTTTAGGAAGTCTTACGAAAGATTAGGATAGGGACTTTAAATGAGATTAGGTAACATGACAATTGCTTCATTAAATATTTCCTAAAATTTAGATAACCCTACGGTTGAGCTGCAGATCCATGGGACAAGTTGTTGAAAACTCTGATCAGGATTTGAGGTAACAGCGCAGGAATGAAAGCGAAGACATCAATTGTCTTCAACTTTTTGTTCTCATCAACACCACGCTATGCAACAACACACCCAATAACCTCAAACCTATATACTTTTCGCTTTTTGTTTTACTTTTTTGTACATTCATCCATCTAAGCCTTTCCAGGCCAGATCTCCTTGGCAACATCGTTGACAAGCTTGAGCTTGTCAAACATCTTGGCCTCGGTCATACCCTCAGCGCCAACAGCGACACTAGCGAAGCCGCACTGGGGGCTGATGCCGACGTTCTCGAGAGCCTCCTCAAGGCTGCGGCCTTGGCCGTCGGCGATGATCTTGGCGGCGTCGAGGACTCGGTGCTTGATGACCTGGGCGTCCTCGAGCTCGGGCTCCTTGGTGGTGATGACGCCGAGGACGACGTTCTTGTGCTTGGGGAGGAAGCGGAGGGGCTCGAAACCGCCGGAGCGGGGGTTGTCGTACTCGAGGAAGAAGGTGTCGTAGTTGAGGGTTGTGAAGAACTTCTCGGCGATCTTTTCGTAGGAACCCTCGCTGAAGTGCATGGACTTGGAGAAGTTGCCTGACTGGTTAGTGATTGACCAAATGATACGGACTGGTGACTTACCTCTGCAGACGTGGAGACCAACATGGAGACCCTCAGGTCGGTCGGCGATGGCATCGTTGTGAGCCTTCAGGTATGTGTCGAACAGCTTATCAGGATCAACACCCTCATCCCTCAAAGACTGAAGCATCTCATCGGAGCAGAAGTAGGCGAGAGTAGGGTCATCGATCTGGATATTGCGAACACCCTCATCGTACAGAGTCTTGAACTCCTGGCGGTAAGCCTTGGCAAGGTCCGCAAAGAAGTCCTCGTCATTGGAGTAAGCCTCAGGAGTGTAGCACTTGCCAGAGGCAAGTCGCAGGTGGAAGTAGCAAGGAGGAGGCATGGTGAACTTGCACTCAGCCCACTGCTCCTTAGGAACACACTCGCGAAGCATCTTCCAGTTCTCAAGGTAAGGGCTCTGCTTGTACTCAATCTTGCCCTCGCAGAGAGCAGCCATGGGGTACTGCTTACCGGCCTTCTTGAGCGCAGCGATAGGCGGCGCAGAAAGGCGCACGACATCCCAAGGAACGGGCTCTACCTCGCGGAAACCACCCAGACGCTCAAAGAAGCCAGAGAAGTAGTACTTGCGATCGAACTCGCCGGAGGAAATAGCGCGAACGCCATGCTCCTGTTGCTTCTTGACGATATCGGCGATAGCAGCCTTTTGCGTGGCGACGAGCTGATCAGCTGAAACCTCGCCAGCATCGGCCTGCTGTTGAGTGCGCGATAGCGACTCTGGTCGGATCAGAGAGCCGATGTGGTCAGCGTGGAAAGGGAGCTTTGAGACGGACATTTTTGCGAGAGATTGAGAAGCAATTGAGCGCCATCATGGCAGCTGCGTCGCCTTCTTTTTGAGTCTTTTTATCATGGGCATGATGACATGGGAGTTTCTCCTCCGAAAGTGAAGGGTCCAGTGAATTATCCAATGGCGGAGAGGATGAGTCTCCATTGACCCCTCCCCCTCTGTTGATCTTCGGCTGCTGAACACGGCTGTTGAGAATGAGGGGCAGACGGGCTTTAATTTTATCCATTGTCATTGTCATGATCCATCATGAGTCTTATCAGTGGACATGATCTGAGTTATCGTCGTTTCGATATCGCAATTGGGTTACCTAAGCACTTGGTCAATTGAGATTTGGTCAAGTCTGGGGATATTCCCAGCTACCCACAAAACAGCCATGATGAGGGACCCCGTCATGGTTGGTAGAGCTTCAGGTCAATTCTTTCAGGGTCCAAGTTCTGTTGGTCGAGAAGAAAAAAGTAAAGAGGACAACTCAGACCGAATTGTTCAAGGGTCGCATTCAGGGTCGAATTGATGATGCTTACATTATGTTGGTGTTGACAGAAGTTGTTATGATCCAAATCCAACAGGGGCAACAATCCTTTTCAAATCCTCAGGAACGACAACACCCAAGCAACGAATTCGAGGGCAAAGTCTCCTGTCTTACTCCAAGCATGCATTCACGTGCATGGACCTTGATCAGCGGAAAGAAAAGAGTTAGACCCTCTCAAGCAAGGGAGGAAGTTTCTTGGTCTCACTCTCCCATAAGACATGAACAGGTCCTCCCTTGACTTGTCTTGGCACATTTCCTGAGGTCAAAATAAGGCAATGTTTTAGCTGCCGCATAGCTAATTTACTAACAAGCCATCAAAGCAAGAGGCTTGCATAAGGCGACAAATGAGATTGTGCGGTGGCATTACAAGCGATGCAGAGGAGATTGGTGGCCCGTTGGCGTTCTCACGATTGAGGCTCAATGGAAGGCCCGAGAACGGCATTCATCCTGTTGAGATCAGCCACAGGGCCAATCTATCTGATCTTCAGGCACACAAAGCATGTCGTGGAGATAGACATGCCTCTTGTGCAACAGCGGCGTAGTCCCGACCCTTTCATGCCTTGCATGAGGCTTTGTACCACGCACTGCAAGAATAACGGCTTGGCACGGCAGGATCTGGGCCGGCCAGAGGGGGATTGTGACTCGGCAGAATAATTACAGCCTCAAGGAGGAATTGAGAGTTACGGGGAAATCCTCATCCTGGCGTCACTGTTCCTAGTCCCTCTAGGAGATTCGGGGACTATTCTGAGCTAAGTGGATGCTATAGTTGGCGTGAGAGTTGCCAAGACTACTTTGGAGCTAGTTCATCGAGCTATCGTGAGTGAGCACAGACAATGGATCTTGTTACCTTGATCAATATGCAAGATGTGTCAAGCTTTGACAAGTTTTGGCTTCGGGTCAAGCTTCCTTGGGTTCGAGGGAGTTTACGACAGTCTTCTATTTTCGCATCGGAATTGCCAAGAAGAATAGGATTGTAAATAGTCATTTTAGAGATGGGTTGTTTATGAGCAATCAAAGGATGGAATTTTGGTGGGAAAGACGAGTTCCATCTCTTGGTTCGCAGGCAGGGTAAAGATCAAGGGTGCAATGGCATACAGTCGGTCATTTCACCACGCAACTTGTACTCTTCAAGTTAGGCAGAGAGAACTTCTTACTCTCAACATTATCAATATGCACTCTATAATTACAGAGAATTTATTGTGTACAGATCAACATCGTGAGCTTCATTTGGTGCTGACCTCAAAATTACCCTGCAGCTGTCAACAGACCCACATCAAGCCCCTGCTGAAGCCCAGTGTGAGGCCCCGCAAAATCCTTCGGCCCGCATAACACCGTCAAGAGCTATCGACCTCTCTGTCTCAGTATCTCATACCGTTCAATGCATCCATCTCTCAGCTCTCCCTTCGTAGGACCAACCTTTTACGTCTCTCCATGACCGCAATTTCCCTCTTGTGGATCGCATGCTAGCTGCCCACCTCGAGTATGCGCTGTTCTGTTTTGTCTCTGTGATGCGATACGATAAGCAAGTCTTTCTCGAAATGCTATGGCTCTATGCAAGAGAGCTTTCCCCGGATTCGACTAAAGAATGCTTTCGTCTGAACCAAGTGAGGGGACCCAACATCGGTTTCAGCCCATCGCCGATCTTCAAGCCGCTGAAAACGCAAGAAATTAGTGATACTCAAGTGAGTATAGTCAGGGCAGTGGTGCTTTCGTTGAAGCCACGAAACATCCCATGATATCGTCTGCTATTCTTGGTGACCGATGACGTACAGTCTTGACTGCTGGAGATTAAACTCTCTTTCACATATCTCAGGATAAGGGACTTTTGGAAGAGTGTTTCTTACACGCAATGGACGCATTCAGGAATGTGAGCGGCGCATGCGGAGAGATTATCCTTGACGATCAAGTCGATATGCCGATACACCGCTCGTTATGTTTTCAGAGACAGGAACAGGCCTTGAGGAATCTCATGCTCGATTCGGTGTTCGAAGCATGAAGCTAGAGCTCTTTCTCCTTTGAGGGATGCTCAACAAGAATCTGCCAAGAAGCTGCGCTCCTTTCGGTCTCGGAGATAGTGTCTCAGTGATCAGTTTTTGGCTCTCTCTTGTCGGTAAAGGATCTCCTCCATCAGCATGTGAGCTCGACAGTATCTGAAATCAAGCTTATCTGGAATTTAGCGTAATCTTAGTATCCGAGAACCAGCACGCAGCTCCTCGAAGGCGGGAATTTTCGGCAACAACACACTCGCAGAGCAAATACCAACAACCTCCCTCGAACGTCGAGTGAGACATGTCAGGCCAGGGGCACTGAATTCTTTGCTTGTTGGACCACAACGCCATGTCTCAACACTCGACTTTGCTTGCGTTAGGCTCGATGCATTCGTCGAGATCACACTACGGGACTATCGGTACGGGCTTAGTCTGTGATTCCCAAAGGGAGACCATACAATCTCAGCCTTCAATATGGGAGCCAATCTTGTATAAAGAGAGGCCTTGGTTCCGACCGAATATCAATTTCTTTCCTCTCCTCATCAAGCAATTCAAACACACTCGATCCCTTCGCTTACTCTTCCGAGAGCTGTTTCCAGTCGTTACCCCCACAGTCATTCGCTCATAAGAACTTTACCATCAACAAGATGCGTTACACCGAGATCATCGCCCTGGCCATGGGCAACGTGGCCGCTGCCCAGTTCACCACGGGCCGCTTCAGCAACGAGACCACCACCACCGAGGCTCAGACCGAGACCGGTACCATCACTGGCACTGCCACTGCTACCGCCACTGGCGCTGGTGGCATTGGAAACCCCACTGGCTTCAACTTCCTCGGCTGCTTTTCCTCCGAGAACGGTTTCCCTGGCTTCACTCAGGCCTACTCCAGCGAGGAGAACGACTCTGAGCGCTGTGCTGATTCTTGCTTGGGCTCCAACTTCTTCGGTCTTTACGACAACAGCTGCTACTGTGGTAGCGAGCTTGACCTCAACACCTCGCCTGCCGTTGGCAGTGACCAGTGTGACATCGTCTGCCCTGGTAACGATGACGAGAACTGTGGTGGTCTTTCTGGCGATGCTCTCATGCGCCGACAGGTCTCCATCAACGTTCTCCTCTCCATCTACGTCGCTGATGGCGTAAACCCCGGTGACAGAGAGACCATCACCAACACCGACTTCGTCACCGAGACTCTCCCTGTCCGCACCACCACTGCCACCGTCACCGTCACCGACGACGGCAAGACTGCCACCAAGACTGTCACCCAGATCCTCCCCGTCATCCCCACCGATGTCATCATCATCTGCTACGGTAACTACTGTGCTCCTCAGACTCACTGCCCCACCTGCACCAAGTGGCAGGTTGTCTGTAACGATGGCCTCTGCCACCCTGAGGAGTGCTACGACGACACCTGGAACAAGCTCAAGATCTGCAACGACGGACACTGCTACTACGCCGACTACAAGGAGGAGGAGTGCAACCAGCGCATCGTCTGCTACGGATCTGAGTGCCAGCGTGACCAGCACTACTCTGTCGACTACGCTCGCAAGTTCGTCTGCGATGTCGATGAGGACCGTTACTACTTCGAGGACTGCAAGGATGACTGCTACAGCTACAACAAGTGCAGCCACGGCGAGTGTGAGCCCGTCCACCCTCCTGTCCACCCCGAGCCTGCCCACCCTCCCAAGCAGATCACTCCCGGCAAGCCCCCTGTTGTTGTCGTCCCCGAGCCTGAGCACCCCGTCCACCCCGTCCACCCCGCTCCTCCTGTCAAGAAGCCCGAGCACCCCTCCAAGCCCGCCCCTCCCGTCAAGGAGCCTGAGCACCCTACTCCTCCCATGGAGCCTGAGCACCCCTCCAAGCCTGCTCCTCCCATGAAGGAGCCTGAGCACCCTGCTCCTCCCGCCAAGGAGCCTGAGCACCCTGCTCCTCCCGCCAAGGAGCCCGAGCACCCTGCTCCTCCTGCTCAGACCGGCTCCAACGCTAAGCCTGAGGCTCCCGAGGACCACCCCGTCGTCACTGCCGGCGCTGCCCAGAAGACCTTCGCTGGTCTCGCCGCTGCCGTCGCTGGTGTCGCTTTCCTCCTGTAAAGCGTCCACCTTTGACATCATCATCATCTTCAATTCTTGAAACTCAACCTCTTCTGTGGGGTATTTTCTTCTCATGATGAAGACTTTTGGCGGGCATTGCCTCTGCGGGGGCATGGTTTTGCAATCTCATCACGGCCTTTTTCTGCTTGCCTTTCGCTGGCAGCAGGATCAAAACACGCACATGTGTAATGCTTAACGTTCTTGGTTCATTCTTACACCAGTCGGCTTCAAAATTGGGTTGTTAATAGATATCATGGTCTGGGATATCGGTTTCTGATAGATTAGACTTTGTATTTTTGGTTCCCATTTTTCGATGGTGGTTACTTTTTGGCGATTAGAAATTAGTACGATTTCGGCTTTAATATGGCTTATGACCTTTACTCTTACTTCTCTGCTTCTCTAATCGTGACTGTGACTGTGATCTGTCTGCTGCCTTCTTTCTTCCTCATTCTTCATCAGTTCAACAATCTATTTTGCTTTTCTTGACTGTTCTGCATACTTACAGCTTTGTCTCAAAAAACACTTAACACTAAATCTTAGTATTTTCCTTGCAGCTGTCTGTATGCAGGGAGTGTCTTGGCATATCACATCAAATCAAGCTTAGGTATAACCCTAACTACACTTCAACAGCTTAGTGAAGTATACATCTCTATCGATGTGACTGCAGCTAGACTACACTCGTCCTGTGAAGCGCAGCACAACAATCTGAAACTCAATAAACGTTTAGGCTGTCTATCTGTTACGTATTCTCAACCCCGGAAAACGATATCCTGATTCTCCAATTTTATTAATTGTCTATCAGGCTCATCCTGTTCGGCCGAGCCAGGGACATGGTCGACAGTGACGTGGACTTGGGTTCTATGGGCCAAGAACTTTTGTATCGGCCGAGATGTTGAGATGAAAGGTATGCTTTAGGACAAGGTTGCGAAGAACCACTGACCAAGAACCAGTCCGTGCTGGTGCCAAGGAAATAACGAGCGTTCTTTAATAACGGCTCATCCGTCAAGCGAGTCTCTTCTGATAGATGCACTACCTCAGTACCAGTATTCGTTACCGCCCATTCGGCAGAGTATGCAAAGCACTAACCTTAGACTCGGTACCAGTGACAATGTCTTGCATCTCTCTATATGGAACCGAGATTCTTCGACAACCCCGAATCAGGACCCCTGCCGGATCACGAAGTTTTTCATCCACACCTCAATTCAGGGTCCAATGCAATGGTCCAAGTGGTACTCGTCTAAGAGACCGAGGGGGGCCATGATACTGACCGAGGTCGCAACGGCAGGGTTTCCGAATCTGTCATGTCAGATCTCAGATTTAATATTCTTAAACGTCAAGTCGGCCGAGTGTGCATAGACCTTGTCCTAGACTGTAAGAGGTGTGTGATCGTTACTCTCAGACCGCAACTACGTAACGGTTCTTGTCGTACCGACGCAAGGGAACGCCAAGTGCAGGAATGAGGCCATCCATACGGGACGTATAAGAACCATGCGTTGTTATTAACCAAGGTTTATAGACCACATTTGTTGAAAGAACAAGCATTGTAAACAAAGTCCACCGCTTCGGTCCAGCTCCGGATACATGGAAGAAAGCAGAGCCGCTGATAGGTTCTACCCTTCTAGAAGAAAAAGTAATGGTCCACACACAAAACTTGTAGGCTGTGTATGATTGGAGGTTTTAATTTGCTGCGGGATGGTGCGAGATGCCCTGCATCAAAGGTGGGATAACGACCCAAGCCCGAGGAAGCGGGCATGCCCAAGCAGATACTTGACCAGAATGAGTTTAGGATACGAGCGGTTTATTTCCAGTACTTTTTAGCCTATTTTGTTAGTGATAGCTAGAAAGCCGTTGCATTTTCTATCATGGACTTAAAACTCTAGATAGCTTCATCGGGTCTTGACGAGTAGGATTCTACCCTCTGTATTGGGCACACAATGTAACTGTAGGTCCACTACAGAAAAAAGTGTGACCGCTCAAAGGTTGTTCTGTTGGTTGGTCGTAACATCCTTGACCTTGACCTTGACCTTGCTGCGGCATTGAAATGCAACGCGTGCAGTACCAACAGCCTGGGTCTGCCCCCCCTCCTTCGGGCCTCGTCTCGTCTCCGTCATCTGGGGACAGGGTCAGCCACAATCTGACATTTTTCCAGAGTGTCGGTATAACATGTCATTGACTTTATATATATATATATATATATATCATATATTTTGAGGTGATAGTGATAGTGATAGCATCCATACCGGATATTACAGTCCGCAAGCCGAGGTTCCAGTTCCACGAGTCAGAACAAGATACTTATTATGGCAGCTATCATGGATGTTATGTCATGTTATTTCATATTTAATACTGGAACCTAAAGCTTAGTGATAATCCTCCTGCATATTTCTCCTCTTTTTCCTTGATAGCTTCCTATTCCCATTATGTACTAAGAAACCATCGTAGTTCCGTGGGAATTCCTAATTTAACCTAGTTGTATTCTACTTTTACTGTATGTACTGGGTCTTTACCGTCTTCTCGTTTTTTTAAACTGTAGACTACCTGGACCCTTCAAGCTTTCCCTCTTCTCTCAACCTCACCCCATTCATTCCGGCCGGCACCATCACCTGAAATACTCGCCTCAATTATTATTTTATAGGTGCTCAGATCAATTCCCGCGCTACACCACAAAGCATTGATCAACTAGCGCATCGATACTGTGGACTGTACCTGGACCTGACCAGTCTAGCGCATATCTCCGTGGTTCCCGTTCGGATCTTGAACCTTCTTCAAAACTCTGTTCTGTTCCTTTTTAAACCTCGGTTTCCAATTTCAATTTCAAACCACGGGGATCGAAACTACCTATATCATCCGCAGCATGCGCCTGCGCCTCTCCCTACGACAATGAACTCGCCGCCAAATTCGCTTAACCGCCCATCATCTTCAAACGAATCTTCCCGAAAAGACTGCGCGAGTCGCCAAATGGTTCCTCCTTCGCCGGCTTCCTCTGTCGTCTCTCCGCTCGCTGTCGGTTCCGCTCATGAGGCTGCTGTCATTCAGAGCATTGAGCGCGGCGAGTACGCAGCTGATGATCTTGACGAGACTCGCAGCTTGACCGATAGTATACGAGAACATATCGTCGATGGAGGATTGCGTTATCATTCGTATAAGAGCGGGTGAATATGACTTTATGGGCGGGTTGGGAATAATTGGCTAATATTTGCCCAGGAAATACCTTTTCCCCAACGACGAAGCCGAACAGGATCGTGAAGAGCTCAAGCACAACTTGACAGTGTATCTATGCGAGGACAAATTATTCTTTGCGCCGATCGGACCTATATTAGAGAAAGGCGCTGAGGTCCTTGACCTTGGCACCGGCATTGGAAAATGGTGCATCGATCGTACGTCTCCCGAGACATTAATTGGGACCTCTAAACTGACATCGCACAGTCGCCGATACCTACCCAAACTCTCAATTCCACGGCATGGATCTCTCGCCTATACAGCCTGACTGGGTCCCCGAAAACGCCCTCTTCTTCGTCGACGACATCGAGCATGAAGCTGGCTGGACATACTCCGAGGATCACTTCGATTACATCCACATCCGCCATACAGTCCATTCCATCAAAAACCGAGAAGAACTCTGGGATCGCATCTGGAAGTACGTCAACCAATTACGCTGTTGTTAATACAGTAGCTAATATGAAGCAGACATTTAAAACCTGGAGGCTACGTGGAGGTACAGGAATTTCTTTACATAGCAGCTTGCGACGATACATCATGCGACGGACCCTACGCATGGCGCGACTTCTGCAGGTATCTAAAAGAAGGCATGGCAGCCCTCGGCACCGACATCCACGGCATCAACTACGTCCACAGCGAACTATCCCAAGCCGGTTTCGAAAACATCACGACAAAGAGCTACAAATGCCCTGTCGGACCATGGGCGAAGAAACAGCGTCTACAAGAGTGCGGCCATGTCATGCGCGACGCCGTAATGTGGGGACTCGTCGGTCTATCACGACGCCCTTTCCGCGACGGTCTCGGCTGGACGTTGATCCAGATTGAGATGTTTCTAGTGGAAGTGCGAAAGGCTTTGATGGAGGAGGTTAATGGATTGCCAAAGTATCACACTTACTTTCCTTATTACAACATACATGCTCGGAAACCACTCAACACAGCGCAAGAATGAGGTGGAACAAACACGACGATAATAACGATTTAACGACATATAACATCATAAAACAAACGAGCATAAGCAAAACTGGAGCATGGTTTGGCGTATAATGGTTGCATAATATATCATTTGGATGGCGCAATTTGGTGGTAGATTTCGTTAGTTATTTCAGATTTGGAGTACCTAGACCGCTGGTAATAACTGCGGCAATTAAAAACGTTCTACTTGACTACATGGGATATCTAAGACAACTTGCCTAATACCTCCGAGACCTGTCCCGTCCTCTGTACTTGTCAGGCTAATCTCCAGACCGTACCCAAAGCACATGGATGGTACCAGTCAAGAAACATCAAAGAGAGTCACAAGCATAAAGGCCAAGTTTAACAATAAATTCTGTTCATTGAAAGGGGTGTATGGGTATCCCGTAACTATCTGTTCTGTCCATCATATTACAGTGTCTAGTAGTGAAAAAAGGTCGTATGTACATGGGGCAAACATTGCCGTCTATGATAAAAAAGGCTTCTTCATCACATCAAGAAAACAAAAGCCTCGCCAATCTAAAATTCCAATCATTTTTCTTCATCTCATACACAGTACAAGATAATTTTTTCTTTTCTTTTTACTTGTTTAGGCCTTAGCAGCCTTCTCCTTCTTGGCCTTCTTGAAGGTCTTCTTGGGCATGCGTGCAAGCCAGTAGATGAAGAGCGCGGCAGCCATGTTGAAGATGATGTAGACCCAGATGAGACCAAAGTTACGCCAGCGGTCGGCGTAATCAATGTTAACACCTGCGAGGTAGGTGTTTGTCTTGGCGATACTGCAGAACTGGCAGTTTGAGGTGGCATCGTCATCGACGAGGTAGCCACCCAAAGCCTGGATGTAGTCACCCATGTACTCGATACAGGTCGAGCCGTTGGGTGGGTTGAGAGGGACGAGTTCATTGCTGGCACAGGTGACGTCTGTGTTGGCGACACCTGTTGCTAACATCCCGCCTACTATGTACGTGAACGGTGATACGTAGTACATAAAGACCCAGAAGCCGGGAAGAGAGTCCTTGGTAGCGAGGACACCACAGAAGATCAGACAAAGCATGAATAGCAAGTTGGCAACGTTGGCACCACCCTCAGCTGTCTCAAATCCAGCAATGATCATGGTCGAGAATGTAGCAGTAAAGAGGAGGAAGGCCAAGAGCAACAGGAACATGAGAGCACCGCGCTCGTGAGTTTGACCAGCGGCGGAGGCGTTGTTGTAAAGACCGACGGGGTAGTACCATCCAAAGTACATAATGACGGCCATTAAACTGTTCCATGGAAGTTCGACAATAAGTTGCGCAAGCATAAAGATCTTCCACGAGTAAACCTTTGAAGGACGCTCGCGGACTTCATACAAGGAACGTTGGATGACGAACTGCGGCATAGATTGTTGTACCAATTGACCGAAGATAGTGAGCAAGTTGAAGATGGCAAACATCTGGTTCTGAAGACCCTGGATAGTGTTGGGAGCCTTGAAGAAGACGAAACCGATGAAGAGAGCGACGAGAGAGCAAAGGGCAGCCTTGGAGTAGATGTAAACAGGAGTACGCCAGTACTGCTGGAACACACGGTAGAGGACTTCCTTGAGTTGAACGCCAAAGGGAGCAGCGAACTCGCGGTAGCTACCATCATCAACATCGGTATCAGTAACGCCCTGCTTCTCTTGCTTGATACGCTCGAGTTCGGTTTGGACTTCCTGGTATTCGGGACTATCGCGCCAGGTCTGGAACCAGTCAAGGTCGGTGTGGGATCCGGGAGCAGCGCCAATAACTTCCAACATCCATTCGGCAGGGTTGGCTTCGGTAGGGCAGGTCTTTCCGCTCATACGTTCAAAGTAGCTGATCATGGTGTGGGAGTTCTCGCCAATATCACCGAAGTAGACAGTCTTACCACCCTTGGCAAGGAAGAGAAGTCGATCGAAGCGCTGGAACAACATGGCAGAAGGCTGGTGGATTGTGCAAAGAATGGCTTGGCCGGCGTTGGTCAACTTCTCAAGAAGGTCCAGGATAGCCCAAGAGGTCTGAGAGTCGAGACCAGAGGTAGGCTCATCGACGAAAAGCAGCAGAGGAGGCTTGGCAGCAAGTTCGACACCGATAGTAAGACGCTTACGTTGCTCAACGTTGAGACCCTCACCGGGAACACCAACGACGGCATCGGCATATTCTTCCATATCGAGTAGCTTGATGACCTGGTCGACATAGTCGAGCTTCTCTTGCTTGGGGACGTGAGCGGGCTGGCGTAGAAGGGCACTGAAGTTGAGGGCCTCTCGGACGGTCGAAGTTTGAAGGTGAAGATCCTGTTGCTGAACATAACCAGTCTTGCGCTGGAAGGACATGTCTCGGGGGTTACCGTCGACCAACATCTCACCAGTGATAACACCCATAGAAGTACGGTCGGCCAAACAGTCTAGAAGAGTGGTTTTACCAGCACCAGAAACACCCATAAGAGCAGTCAAAGTACCGGGCTTAACCCAACCATCAACGTTGTTCAAGATTTGGCGAGTCTCATCCTTGATCTTGACCTCATAGCAGACATCATGCCACTGGAAAACAGAAGTTTGCTCCTGGAGCATACCACCAGCCTGCTTGGTTCCGCTAGCTCGGCTGCGGGTGCGCTCGGCAGTAACCATAGGACCAATGTGAGCCATGGCGGCCTCAGGATCGGAGTGCTTCTTCTCAGCGTTGGCGACGGCAGCAGGCTTGTGACCACGTCGGTAGACCAGGACTTCACCCTTGGACTTCTTCTCAGAGACAAGTTCGGCGGCGGTCATGTAGGTGATGGTGAAAAGGACAATCCAGGCAAGGACAATTCCGAAGTTGCGCCAACGGTTCTCCCACTTGTAACCGAATTGCAGCTCAGCGTAGCGGTCACCATTGACAGCAGATTTTCCAGGTTCAGCACCGACAGCGCTGCAGACACGGCTGTCTTGGGGGACGTCGGCGTATCCTTGAACCATAGGGTTGGGAATGAACTGGTTGCACTCATAATTTCGGTTGTGGAACTCGTTGACAACTACAGCCTCGAAAGCGTAGGCAATAGGGTCGATCCAGTACAGCCACTTGCACCAGCCAAGCATATAACGCTTAGGAATGACGAAACCAGTAAAGATGACGAGATCCAGAATCAGAATAGCGGCGGGGACAAGAGCCTGGAAGAGACTTCGAGTAGCGGAGGCGATGGTACGGAAGATCATAGACATGACCAAGACGACAACGAAGGACATCAGCATGAAGAAGAAGAATGCTGAGGGCGTCCGTTTCAGGTTGGTCATGAAATAAAGTGTAAGGTTGAAGACGATGGTATTTGCGACTTTGTACGGTAAGTCACAAAGCATCGATGCGATAGCTTCGGCGGACGGGTGATAAAGCGCGTAACGACTATGTTTTTCCACGATTGGACGCTGTGCATACAGGGCCAGAATCTGTTCACAATTAGTATTGCGCACACAGAATGAGAAACACTGAAACTTACCTCGAGAGCACTAGCGAAAGCGTTCATCAAAACAGCAAAGAAGAGGAGGGCACCACGCTGGAAGAAACTTTCCGAAGTCTCAGGGAGGTTGTAGAAGACGGAACCGATAATAAGAGCCATGACAAAGTTACCAATAAGAGAACCAACAGTGATACCAGGATCACCCTTGAGACGAAGCCATCCACGCCACAGACAAAGCTGAATCTGCTGCATGTAGGAGAGAGTGTAGGGAGACTTGGCTCGCTGACGCTTAGCCTGCTGAGCCTGCTTAGAGGCACGGAAAGCCTCGGCATCAGGGCCGTTGATGGGGTGAGCGACCTTGTACTCCTCAATCTCAACCTGAAGAGCCTTGTACTCGGCGCTGTTCTTCCAGGCAGTAGCAAACTCATCAGGAGTTCGGGGAACCTTGCCCTTGAATCCCTCTCGCACGATTCGCTCACTGGGAGCAGTCATGGAAGTCAGGAAATCAGGAGTGGTCTGGCGAGCAGGGCACTCGAAACCGAGGTTGACAAAGTACTGCTTGGCAGCGTCGGCGCGGCCAAAGAAGATCTGGCGACCCTCGTAGAGAACAGTAGCCTTGTCGAAAAGGTCGTAAGCGCTCTGAGGAGACTGGTAAATGGAGACAACAGCGGTGTTGTTGAAGAGCTCGGTTTGGAGACGAAGGGTTTTGCAGAATTCGATGGCGTTGGCAGAGTCGAGACCTCGAGTAGAGTTATCCCAGCATTGCAGAGGAGCTCCGGAGAGGGCAGCCTCAGAAATGGTAACACGCTTGCGCTCACCACCGGAAACACCACGAATGTATTCGTTACCGACGCGAGTGTTGACGGTGTGAGAAATACCAAACATAGCCATAACGACATCTCGGAGGTGGTCGGCGAAGTCGTTGCGGTTCAAGCCCTGGGGAAGCTGGCGGGGCTGTCGGGCACGGGCGGCGAAAGTGAGGGTGTCGCCAACGGACAACATAGGGAAATGGACATCGATTTCGGCAGTGTAAATGGCCTCACCACGGTGGTGGGAGTGCATCTCCTTGGCGCTCATACCTGTGACGCAATGTTAGTGATACTGATTCTGAGGCGCATGTAGAGGCGTGTTCCACGCGAAACAAGCCCGTGTTGCTCAACAACCGCGATCGAGTTTCGTGAAACCAAAACACCCCTTTTCGTAACTTTACTTACCCTGGTAGTTGAAGTAAGAGCCCTCGTCAACGTAGATACCGTTGAGCTCACCAGCGATCGTCTTGAGCGTGGTGGAGCATCCAGCACCGGGAGGTCCAAGAACGACAAGCATCTCACCAGCGTGGACAACACCGTCAAAGTTGCGCAGAATATCGATGCGCTGTCGGCTTCTGCCAGTAACTCGGCCGACAACATCGTCAAGAGCGAGCCAAACGTTACCAACGTCGGCCTGGTAATCGCTGGCGCCACCATAACCGTAGACGTTGAGGTTCTGGTAGCAAACACCAGCAGATCGGAAACCAGCACCATCCTGTCGCACTAGCTCGACAACAGACTTGGCCCATTCGCGAGCGTTAAAGTTGGGAGAGTTGGGGTTGAGAGGTGAGTCCTCGCCGGCCTGGAAAGGGTTCTGTCCGGTGGGGTGAGTGCCCGAGGCATGCGAATAAGATCGCGCAAGGGCCTGGACGATAGAAGTTCGTCGCTCCATCTCGGAATCATCCTCGTCGTCGCCCTTACCGAGAGTGTCGGCAGGTGATGAGGAGGGCTTCTCGTTAATCGCTTCATCGTCGTGCTCGTGTTGATCGGCAAAGGGCACGGTATGGCCAACTGAACCAGCACCAGGAGCACCCTGCCTTGCAGCAGTGGCGTCGTTGTTAGCGTTGATCCCGTAGAGAGCCGACATTGTGAGTTGTGACGGCAGGTTCTACTAAAGAGATCTCGCAATTGAGTCTCGCGGTTTTGGGTGGTGACTACCCAGCTGTTGCCGCGCTGTTTCCGTATACGATAGCGAAAAATGAATTTTAGAGTTGAGTCGGGTTGTATTCGTGAGTTGAATTGGTTGTCATGAGATTAAACCAATGTAAACAAAAAGAAGAAACAAGAGAAGGGGTATTAAAAGTGTTTCTAAGGATCGACAATGAAAGGACAGCCGATCGAAGGACTAAAAGATCCTATGAGACAGACGTAAGAAAAAGGAAACCAGAGGCAAAACGAGGAGGGAGGTCAGGAGAATATGTAAAAATGAATGAGGTCCCGGTTCGTCATCCACAATGTAATGTAGCATGTACTGTAGCCCCGGGCTTCTCTAACAGTCCAGAAATGGAGTCCAACAGATGGAGATAAACTCGCGTGGGTCAAGCTCACTAGCCCGAAAAGCGAAGTATAGACGACAAGGGTGACGGCCAAGCTAAATTCTAGCGCGCCTTTTGGAAGTGCAAGCGGATGCGGCTGCAGGCTATGAATGGCTCTGTTTATTGCTGTCAGTGTCAAACATTGTTGGGAGGGCGGCCGCTCCGAGGGTACTTTTTATATTTTACAGTACATTATCACAGCTGCAATGCAGAGCACAGTACTCTGATCAACAACTGTTGGTTCCATGATATTCCGCTCTCAAACAGTCACTGACTCAAAAACGCATCGCCACGTTGTCCTGATTCCTTCCGAAGTCGATCATCTAGACGAACTGTTTGATGATGCCTACAAAGTCCGCAACAAATCCCCCCTGCGCCTCTCCATATTTCCCCGGTATTGTCCTTTTCGCATGCTTCCAAGAACCCGACCCGACACGGGGGCGTTATTTGGGTCAAACATCAGCGACAAAGAAGACACAGACATGATATTAGCGGATAACGGGTTACCTTCAGACTCCGACGCTCCTGGACTAATAAGCGAAGGATCCCGGGAATGAACTGCATCTGGACCCCACTAACTCCGGGACGGAACCTCAAAATTGGGTAAACCAAAACTCACCCCTGGATGGTGTGCGTCGTAGAGGCATGTAAGAGGACAGTCGCGATATGTCTCTCTATATGGCTGATGTTGTTGGCTGATGTGAGCCTTTAGCAACCATCACCAACACATGCGATTGCTCAATTGAGAGGTATGGGAATTCTGATAAGCCAGATCCTTTGACATGGCATGTTGCAACGCGTTTCTTTTCTTACACCCGAGCACGGCTAATTCAAACGGCGCGCCTGCATTCCAACTCTATTTCTATTTCTTGTGGGCAGGCAGGACCAGCGACGAAGATCATCAACCGCTGTCACGGATCCTATTCAATTGCCGTATTCTTACTCTTATCTGGTTCTCCTTTAAAAAGTCGATCCTTCTCCGCAGATGATAAAATCCTCATCCTTCTTCTAAAATCATCAAACTGGATGCGAAACCTCGCATTCATCACTCGGGTCCTTCCAAGAACCCGTCCCGCCCACCAATCACGGCGCGAATCGGGCTGATTATCTCCCCGGCTTGAAGGGACCGGTGCTTCTAATTGGCCAGGCTACTATTTTGCTGTTGACAGTCTCACTTCACTTTATCCTTGCTGTTTAAGCTGAAAGCGATCCGACAGGTCTTGATAAAAAGTTTGGCCGTCAGCATTAAATAGGCTCCAAAGTTCCCCCATGTGAAAGGGCGCGCTCGTTCAGTGACAGTTGTAATAGGCTTGCATTGCAGTTGAAGCGGTAGATGTTCGGTGGATACACGCCCCCAATAGCTCTATCGGGGTCTTCCAAGAACCCGACAGCCCGTCCGTCCGTGAGTCCGGCCCGCTAGCCAGAAGAGTCTTATTTCCATTTTAAATTGTTTTCAATGGATGGATCTTGAATTGGCTCTTATTGCACTGTTATAGTGACCCTTTTGTGGAGTTGATTCGATCGCTATTGATAGACTTATCATCAAGATCTTGCTTGTACTGCTATCAGATCTTACAAGCAATCCAGGCCTCAGGGTATCAGAAGAATTGGCCCCTAAAGGCTTAAGAGACGAAATAATTTGGTCACTTTATGCTGGCTTCGACCAGTAGTTAGGCTACTTTATTTTGGTAGTCTAAGCCTTAGAGGACATTTCTTCTGTTGCCCACCTGCCAGGACAGGATGTATTTTTCGGTCTAACATCTTCAATGGTCAGTGAGTGAGATTGCGCGAGTTTATCTCATAAATGCGTCCGATGACAGTCATCATGCTCATTCAGGTTCGTCAATCAGCTTTCGCCGTCTTCCATGCCAATGAACAATCCAAATGCCACCAAGGAGTCAGACTCTGTACAACACAGTGTCTATCTACCTTGTATAAATCTATTTGCTTTTTGATCGGGGCAATCGAGATCCGATTAGGCTACTCTTAACTTGGCATTAATGATTGACGATCCCGAAACTCTTATTTTTGTATACATGCCATGTCACCGCGCGATGGTAGTCAAGATACCCGAACCTGTCAAAAAACGGCTTCTAGATAATTGCTACGTTGAATGGAAGTTATCATACCAGTTGGGACTCAGCTCCTCTCTATGCGCAACCTCGAGATCCAACTGCATAGGAATGCTCTCTTCTCACTTATGATTACACGCAGGGTCCTTGCATGCTACGAACGCGAATGCGATTTTTGCGAACATTGTGTAAAAAAAAAGACCCCTCCAATCTTACAGCTCATCTCAGGGTCCCCGCAGCGCCTAACGTCTCTGTCCCCTTTCGTTCAGGACCGCGCAGGGGTTGCGTGATGATAGACGAGGCCCGCTCCGCAGCAGCAAAGTCCGCTCGACCAACATACGCTTAGACGAGTTCAATATATTGAACACTAAACTTAGCCTCAACTGGGCGTATCTTAAATGCTCGTGTTTGTTCGCAACTGCCCGTCTTACTATAGTCCTACTTCTGTGCGTACGCAATGCAGGGTAGAAGCTGACCGGATACTGTGCGCATCCGTGGGCTATCGGGTCTTACTTCAATTGTGTGTCGGTGAGTGGTAGGCCTAAAGGTGAAAGAAAACACCGAACTGTAGATCTGTGATTTCGGTGCATTTTGGTGTTGGAAGGGCGCGCCTTGTTTTTTTCCTCCTTGAAGACAGGGTATCATGTTGGTCTCTGGGGGAAGCGGCCGCTCTGCATCCATGATCCTTCCGGGTCTTGTTGGTTATCACCCGTAAAAAGTCTCCGGAGTATCGGGCCCCACAGCACGGCGACTTACGGGAGCGGACGGGGACCGGCATGGAAGGGCGTATATACTGAACGAGATGCAGATCTTAAGGCGAAATGCCCTTGCTTTATGAGAAACCATTAAGCTTAATTGCGTGTTCAATACCGTGGTACTTTCGGCGATTATTTAATGGTAGGATCAAAACGATTAAAGCACGGGCTGCCTTGCATCTGTACGTCTGCATGGTGCCGATCAGTCAAGCAGAAACATGCAGGACCAACAACAATGTGAGACACGGCTATGTCCTCATGTATTGTTTTCCGCACAGAAGCAAAAATGATATGAGCAAGGTGAGGTTGATTCTTAGTCATAATTCCATCTCACTACCAGGGCGCTGGCCGCAAGGTTGTAGGGTAACTGACTACCGCATGGATGACACTCATGAACGATATCGGATCACTCGAAGTAGTCAATTAAATTGTTCGCTCTTGGAGAAATTTATAACGTGATGTTTATACCAGGCCAGGCTGTAGAAGATTGGAAGTGTCCTAGCGTTACATGTTGGCTTGTGGCGTATCGAAACAATAGCCTATCGTGAAGATCTGATGTCTCATATGAAAGGCGGACAAGGTGCACAGTTTTGATATTTTGAGCTGGGACCCAAGGAGTGTATGCAGTACTCAGGAAGAAAACTTCTGACCCCTTGGAACAACAATTTGGGTTATCGATGTGAAACTTGGGAGTACCATGGGGAAACTGGGCGGAACATCCTATGATGGATGTAGAAGAATCTTATGAGGGCGACTACGATCTTCCAACAAGTTCACATCGACAGGATCAAATTCGCGATCATCGCACTGTTAATAAACGGACTTGGCAGCCCAATAAACAAGAGCTTCAACACAGGATTCCTTCCGGACTCTGTCAGGGAAGTCGTGTATGTCTTTCTAGGTCAAGTCGACCAGGACAAAGATTCGCGATTTTTTGGAATCAAAAAGTGATTTATGGCACTTGTATCCTTTATTCGAACCCACGCCTAAAAATGACAAAAAGGAGAGTGGACAGTGGGTGATAGAATTTTTAGGTTCGCAATTTCAAAGAGTTCCCTAGGTTCTAGGACGGATTCCACTGCACCACTCCCCTCAACAACATGGTAGGTTATGTCAGTATATAAGGGTTAGGCAGACATGCCATCGTTTCTTTTTTGTAATTTATCATTTTCGAACTCATGACTTGAACCGGCAAAAAGGAGAGTGGGCATTGGTTGAAAGAGGTATTAGGTTCGGAACTTTATGAGGTTTCGTAGGATCTAGGACGTCGTATTCCACTGCACCACTCTCCTTGATAGCATATCATGCTATTTCAGTGTATATAGGATAGCAACACAGGTGATCGGGTCAGTGGTCAACGTGTCCAACTGCGAGGCCTCATTGAGGAAGCGAAGGTGTTATAGGAGTGCCCCTATCACAGTAGTGAGGTTCTACCTCCATCATGGGGTGTTCTATATCACAAGGTGGTGAAGGCAACTCTCACGTTGGGGTGTTCCATGCCTGGAGAGATGTTGCTATCCAAAAATATTTTGGAATTTCTTGCATTCGAACCCAGGGCAGACAGACAGACGTGCAATAAAGTTTCAAAACTCCACAGAATGGCTCATGTGATCAACTTCTTATCACATTGGAATACACTCATGAGGGCATTCGCAGACTACCAGTGTAGTCATCCTCCAAGAACAAGGGTATGAATTGCTAGAGCGGAATTTCAAGCCACATGGATATCTATATTTTTGTTTACAAGAAGTTGATTCCTACACCAACCTGCAGTCCCTTGGTGGAAGCCTCTCCCTTCCTTAGAGCCAAAGGCAAGCTGAAGTTCAGCTCAAATCGCGCAACGGGGTGCGCATACACCAGACCACAACCAGCAGCGACGCTGGGAACACCGTTGAAGACTTCTCCAACTGCGTTTACTAAACCATTTCGAACATCTGATCCGGACATCTCCTGGGAAGAGGACTTCTTGGGGTCCTTGAGAGCAACGAGACGACCACCGTTGGCGAAGAGTTGGAATCGAAGACCGGAGTCAGGACCCTTGTAGGGGACGGGGAGAAGCATGTTAACACTGCCAGCAGCGAAGACATCACCTCCGACAGAGTCGACACCATCGTGAGGACCGAGGCCACCGAGCTTGAAGCCACGGACATCGGTAGGTCCTCCAAGCTGGAAGCGGTCGTTGATGCGAGTAGAGCGAAGCTTGCTGCCGAACTCATATCCAAGAGGCAGAGGGCAAAGCAGGCCTAGTCTCAATCCACCACCAATGGAAATACCTGTTCGTCCACTGACACCAGGAAGAGGGATAGGGGCGGCACCGCCAACCTCAATCTCACCCTTGGAGAAAGCAACATCACCAGCAAGAGGACCAAGACCAGCGACCTCAAGACCAGATCGAACCATGTAACCGCTCTGAGGGAGCTGAGGATTATCACGTCTCTCTCTGAGGAATGTGTGCTTAATGGCGCTCTTAATAGAGTCACCGGCATCTGCTCGCACAGTTGGGCTGGCACCCTCGGCCAGACCGGTGATTTGACGCCAGATACCCGAGTACTCAACGGACTGCTTGTCACGCTGTTCGTTAAGCCAAGAGAAACGCAGAGTTCCGCCCTTAAGAACTTCTTCATGCGATGCCCATGGCTTCTCAGCAGCCGAAGCCAGACCCTCCAGCGATATCCTCATATCAGGGTTGCTGAAGACGGGCGCTGTGAGGTTGGCGCTGTAAGCCGAGCGTGTGCGTGTACCAGCTTTGGCATTCAACTCCAGCATCTCGGCACCACCAAACATGTTTCGCCATAGCAGCGAACCGTAGGCAGATCCTTCTCCATTACCGACATCGGTACCAGTTTGCAGCTTGAATCGTGAAAGCTCCTTGACTCGGATGTCGATGTTGACGTCGGTGGGGGAGGTGGAGGGGTCTGTCTGCTGTGCGGAAGTAAGGAAGACTTCGGGTTGAGGTTGGAAGATTTCTATAAGTCGGTTAGTTTCGTGGTTTGATGAGGTTATCGAGAAAACATACGAAGACCATCGAGCTTGTTGCTGATAACACGGAGCTGGTCTACAACTCCTCCAACGGTTGAGTTTTCGTTGTTCTTATCTGCAACAAGTGGGTGGAAAATGGGGTCGAGGAATTCCATTCGTGTATTGACCGCACCATGAACTCGAAGCTCGTTAACGGTCATGGGCGCCAATTGCTGATCATTGATCTAAACCAAATTAGCTCTGATCGAGGAAACTATGTATGTCTCGGAGTACATACCACCCGCGCCATACGCCGTTGCTTAGCTTCATCTTGTGTTTGTTGAAATTCGGGCCTCGACTCTGCCTCGTGCAACAAAGAACCGGTGTCGGAATGAAGCTTGCTGAAAGGGTCCATAGCCTATTGCATGTTAGACAATTCGCTCTTGCAAAGTTTGGGGTTGGAATATAATTACCGGACCCCTAGTCGAGCCAGGAAGTGCAGCCATTTTTGCAGCCAACGAACCGAGATGTTACTTGCAAGCCCTCACGATGCCGTTTTGAAGTGTCGAACCACTTAGGTTGGACCCCGGGCAGCTTCCAATTAACGATTCGGTACGTACTCTCCGAGCTCCGACCCTGATAATCCTGTGGCTCGCCTTGGATTGTGGCGCTTACCTCTTTTTGCTTTGGGTTCCTGTTCCTGATAAACTTCGTCATAACAGCATGTGATGCACAGCCACAAACACTATCCGGACCTAGCGGGACCCCAGCGCCTAGGATACGTCGCTCCCTGGGTTCCTCTCTATTCATCCATTCTCAACTCCGTTTCGTCTTCACATCACCCGTGTAGCATATAACATCCCAAAGGTTTGGAGCATTCGGAAAAAGCGCTCTCTTTTTTCTTTTTCACTTTCCTTCCCTAGACGACGATCTCTCCTTTAGACTAGATCTTCTTTCGACGTCTTGCGACTCACGCGACCCGCAATCTGTCCCATTCTCTTTGACCTCTCTACGCCCAACACTTGACGATCGTCAGTATGGCCAGCAAAGCCGCCACCAAGCGTGTATGTATTATTGATCTCGTTAACCCAATGCGCCGTACTAATCTTCGCTTATAGTTGACACGCGAATATAAAACTATCTCAGAGAACCCCCCTCCTTATATCGTCGCTCACCCATCCGAGTCTAACATTCTTGAGTACGTTACGTCACGGGCGAATCTCTTGATCGCGAGTCAACTTTACTGACATTATTACTAGATGGCACTATATTATCACCGGGCCTGAGAACACTCCTTATCATGGCGGCCAGTACTGGGGTACTCTCATGTTCCCCCCGAACTACCCATTCGCTCCTCCTGCCATCCGCATGCACACCCCTTCCGGACGATTCCAGCCCTCGACGCGCCTATGTCTGTCAATCTCCGATTTCCACCCCAAGTCCTTTAACCCTGCCTGGGAAGTCTCTACCATTCTGATCGGACTGCTCTCATTCATGACAAGTGAAGAGATGACAACTGGATCCGTTTCAAGCACAGCTGCCGAACGAAAATATCTTGCCGCTCGATCGCGCTGGTGGAACTCAACTGGCAACGGCTCACATTTGAAGAGCAACCCTCAAAAGGGCAATGTTAAGGCTGGCGACGGCGGTGCCAAGTTCCGAGGAGAGTGGCCCGAGGTCGATGCCGAGAACTGGGAGTGGATGACCAAGAACAAGGTTGACCCTGTTACCGGCAACCGATTAGATGCTGACAACAATGGATCTTGTCGACCTCAGTTGGGCATTGCTGGAACCAGCGGACACCAAACACAAGCCGTTGTCGATGTTGTCAACCAACAAAGAGATGCGGGTGCAGGATTTATATTCCGCAACAAACTGTTATGTGCCGGTGCGGCCATCTTCCTCTACGTCCTTGTCGCTAGGATTATAAGCGGCGACGAGTAATTTGAGAGTATATTAATGGGATGGGAGTTTATGTTTCAACGCAACTCTTCGGGATTTTATTCAATGGCGGGCTGGCGGGCGCAACTTGGTCCAACAAACCAAACTTACCTGCAAACTCGCGTCTTAGTAAGGCGTTCAGGGCATGTTCAGCAAATGCTTCAATATTTCAGTGCTGACAATCTGCTTTGCGAACGGCATGATTAGAGCAGTGATTAGATAGCAATATTTAATACAGCGCGTAGACTTAAATGCAAGACATGCGTTCTCGGGTTAAGCTTTGATGCAAGGGATGAACAAGTGTCCAGTCACTAGGCTTTGGTCAATCAGAAGCATAATGCAGCAGGCAGCAATGTTGAAGGCAGCCGACATGTATGATCCGCGGGCAAACTTGCGGTTCGGCCTATCAAGATCGACATAAATGAAACTTTTGCTGTTGATGAGGGACATCGGAAGCCGGATGGATGGCTGCTGCTGCTTGTTGATGACTGTACAGTATCCGTCTAAGGGTGCTCAAGCCCGGGCTGTTTGCTATGGTCACCGAAAACTTTGAAAGATCAACACAACACACGAAATAATTAAATTGTTTGAAAGAAACTTTACAGTGACTCATGAATCTAATAATTCTGTCATCCCAGTCTCAGTCTCAACTTTTTGCTACCCCTTGGTCAATTGCCAGTGACGGGAGTGGACCGGGAGGCTGTTTACCGCGCTAATCCCACTACCGCTAGGCCCCTAAACCTTAGTGGATCTACCTGCGGGGAGGCTTCAAGAAAAATTGTGACGAAAGCCCCAATACCTTGCGACTGTTCTCCATCTTTAGAAGCCGTTGGAAGCACAGCACCTTCAACCAATTTGACCTCTCGACATCATCATTCTCCAGGTCATAATTCTAGCCATCACCCATCACCCTTCCATCGCGCAAGGCTCTGTTGAAGTCTTGATACTCTTACCCTCATTCCTTAATCACCCTCATTGAAGATACCCACCTTTCATCCAAGACATTTTGCTCCTGGTTGAGCTCTTGCTCTCCGCACAAAAACAGCTGCAGACCCGGACCCTCATTTCTAGTGTATCGCCAGTTCGCCTCCGATCCACGGCCACGTTTTCCAAGCCCATATCCGACCGCAGGGCTTCTCGACGACATCGACCACGATTGCTCTCCATGCCTCTTCCTCTAGATCCGTAGAGCTTCCCTCCCTCCGAATCCTCCGTTGAGGTCTGGGCCATTGCCATTGCCCACCTCCCCTCCCTGTTCGTCGATAACTTCCCCGCCGAACCGCAAACGATCCCGCCCATGAGATGGCGCCCAACGGCACCACGAAGCCTCGTCGACCTGGAGGGAGCAAGCTTGCTCACTCCTCCAAGCCCTCCGTCGTTCCTGCTATTCCACTGCCCTATTTGAAGCGTCAGGAAGCTGCCGCCGCTCGGGCCAGTGCTGCCTCTGCCACGACCCAGGAACCCGATGCGACTCCGGCCTCCGAATTGAAGCTCACGAATGGTAATGAGGTTAAGAAGGCTGAATCTGTAGCTTCTGCCGCGGTTGCTAGCTCAGTTTCCAGCCCAGTTTCGACTTCAGCTCCCAAGGCTAAGAAGGAAGTTCCCAAGACCAAGGCGGATAGTCACTCCAAGGCTAAAAATGACACTGCCGAGCCACCCAAACCGAACAATTCATCTGGTACGAATGAAATCTGCCTCGACAAAACTCAAATTTGGAACTCTATACTGACGCAAAGTTACCCAGCCACAGTCGCAGCTGTCCCCAAGCAGGCTACCATCAGCGAGAAGGAAGACACCCACAAAAACTCTGCAGTCTCAGACCACGCCGATCAGTCCACCACCAAGAACCAAACTGGTGCTGGAGCTCAAACCTCCGACAAGGTCCCTGTTGAAATGAACGAAAAGCCAAACGGCATCGTGGGTAAGGGTGAAGGCAAAGCTCAGGCTGGTGAGGTGCCTCAATTTTATGAAGAGTATCTCAATACTCACAACTCAAATCTAGACAACCAGCATCCTCCAAAGATGAACAAGACTCGACCCCCATCCGCTGTCCCACCTGGTCGATACCAGCTGCCTCCCGCTTTCACACCTTCTGGCCGACCCATGGGGCCAACTGCGAACGGCGATATGCGTGGCCCTCGACCCCCGATGCCTAACGGCCCGCCCCTTCACCAGCCGCATCCCAGCAATGGAAGCATCCATTTCGGTGCTTTCCATGGCTCGACAAGCTCATCTCCAGCTCCTCTGTCTGGAGGCATCGCCCCTCCTCCTGGTATGCCAGTACCCAATGGTCAACCTCCCTACATGGCCCCTGGTACCAATGGATTTCCCATGATGAGTTACGGTGCGGAACACGTTCCTGTAACCACTTTCGATAACTACGGAAGACCCACGATGGCTTATGGACCGATGGATTCATTCCCCCCATTTGGCAACAACTTTGGACCTCCCACTCCGCACAGCTACCATGATTCACAGGCATCCGGTCCTCCAGATGATGCCAGCGTTTATGGCCAATTCGCTTCAGCCCCAATGCGAAACGGTGTTTCGGGCCCAGTGGAGGACACCCAGTCGCCAAATCACCCCGGTCGAATGTTCGGAGGTCCTGAATACCGGCCCATGATGTCGAACGCCGGTCCTCCTCCACACATGATGTCTCCCATGGATGACGCCGAAGGACTGGTTGAATACTTCCGACGCCAATTTGGAGCTCCTGAGTTTGCCGACTGTGTTCTGGAACTCCAGTATGCCAACAAGCAAGCTCCAATTCACATGCCTGGTCATCGAATCATCTTCGCCCGCAGTTCCGAGCTCGCAAACGCCATGTCAAAGGGGCTTTCTCGACCCAGCATGACATCCCTTCCTGCTATTGTTCTCGAAACAGACAGCAAATGGATCCAGTCAGAATCGTTCTACTTTGCCATACAGCGCCTCTATGGACTACCTCTCTTTGATCCATCTCACGGTGACCCCAAGCAGAGTGCTGCCACCGACGCTGGCTCACTCATGGAGCGATTCGACTTTGCCCTGGGATATGCTGCCTCTGGACATCTCCTTCACTGGGACCCGGTCACTCGACGTGGATGTGAGCTTGCCATTCAGCTCTTAAACTTGCAGACGGTAGAGAAGGCTCTGGAGTTTGCTCTGGAGGGTCATCGGGATGAAGGTTCCTATGATGTTTTCAAGTATGGTGATGGATCTCGAACCATTCTCAACGAGATCATCTCTTTCATTGCCAACAACCTTCACCCTAACTTCAAGATTGACACTTCAGTTACCGACCCCTCGAACTGCGCTCGTCTCCCCCAAGCTGCCCCGACTAGCAACGCCACGACCCGCAAGCTTTCGCCCCCACCAATTGCTAGAGGAACTTCGGTGCATCTGGGCAAGGGACGTCGCTCTCAGCAAATTTCGGGTATCCAGTTTGGTGACCTTTCTCTGACCGAAGGTAAGATGTCGCCATCTTCTGACGCCTCGGGTGCGTCTCAGCAGCGAACACCACTCAATGCGGTTCTTTCTCGCGTTCTTCTCAACCTCCCCTTCGAGACACTCAAGGCGCTGTTGGAGAATGCAACCAACAAAGGAAACGCATGGCCCAACGCTGATGCAGTCTTCCGCGCTGTCAAGGACACAGTGGCTGAGAGAGAGCGACGTCGATTCCGCCTTGTTCAGATGGTCAAGAGCCAACAGATCCCACAATGGGAGATCGTCTCGAACCAGCTTTCCACCCCGGAGCCACGCAACTACATCGGTCCCTGGGGTGCTCTCGGCTGGCAGGAGGAGATCCTTCCTTTTGGACCTTCAGAGAGCCCAACTTTTACCCGGACTTGGGCTCCTTTCACGAACTCGCAAACGACAACCCAAGCGGCATATCCTTGAAAGCAACTTGGTTAATGCTGCGCTTTCTTTTCGATTTGATGGATGATATTATGGGTTTATGTGGACAATGATGAAACATCACATCACATCATCTCCGCTGCTAGTTACGTGACTGTACACATACTTATCAGAGCCTTGGGTACGCGAGTGCGCTCTGACTACTCTCATTGCAAACATGTCATACTTGAGGAATCCTTTGGCAAGGCTGTCGTGCGGCGATACGATGCGATGCGCTTGGGAGACCTTTGGTTGATGAACGGCGTTTGGGGACATGTCATCATTAGGGCCTTTGAAGCGAGGAATGTTTTTAATGACTGGGACTGGACTTTGGGGTACGGAAGGCAAAAGAAAAGAAGAAACAAAAAGTATTTTAATGATTCTACATGCATGCCAGGGCTCACATGGTGGTTCACTCTCACTCGTCCTGGCATCACATCACGCACGGTTGAGGACATGATTAGGATGGAGGGTTATGATGAATGATGAGTGATTTTGGAAGTTTAAAAAAGGTCAGGTAGTTAGGGCATCGGATGGAGTATGCGTTGCTGTCTCTCGATTTGAGAGATGCGTAGTAAGATGATTAGCATCTTTGAGAATGGCTTGATACCCCAGATTACCTGTGCCCAACTCCATGATGATGCAACGCTTGACTACGCTTTAATGCTTTAACGGTCTAGTTCTATCGGGTTAGAAGCCTCTTTTGGTAGGTTGAACTAGCTGGACCGAGAAGTTGGAAAGTCGTTTGTTCTTTCATGTGATGGTGATGGTCTTGGCTGAAGAATAGCAGTCAATCAGCTATCCGAGGGCGGGGAACCCCTGTAAAATTGACCCATTCTGGACACTCTATTCGTCAATAGGGCATGACTTTAATTAACTGGGACAATCTCAGCAGGGTCTTGTTATCCATGCGTTCCTGTAGTGGGCTAAGCCTAAGCCCAAGCCCAGAAGCCGAGGTCTTGAATCTCCACTTTACGTCGTCTTGCTCATTTCCAGGTTCTTGGTGATTTCACCCTCCTGTTCCCATCTCTCCCTCCGTCATTGATAACAGATGTGAGTGCATCGATCTGGACTCTCAGCTATTTCGCTGCACAACTCGAGTCTAGATCTTTCGATTGTTATTGTCTTTCAGACGTACTTGATGGCTATTGCTCGAATGCGCCGCTGGAGCTCAGCTCGTGGAACCGCGCACACGCCATCGCGAAGCAACCGATAAACTACACGATCCTTAACCGAACTGACGATAATAATAACAACCACCACATCCGCTCCTTACCAACAACAAATATCATGGATTACTCCGTGTCTTCTAGCGATGCCTCGAGCTCGCGATCTTCCAGATCATCCGCTGCTACGAACGATCCTGTTCTTCGAAACACGCTGCGTTACACCATATCAGCTCACGAATATGCTGCTCTTCATAAATACGTTATCTCGCGCTCGCGCGTGCTTCGAAAATCAACGCCTACACCGAATCGCGTGGAGAAAGCCCTGAAGCCTCCGAAGGGAGGCGATGATTATAATGCTAGGACGATTCGCCATGCGCTGCGGGTGTTTGTGATGACGTTTTTGGGTATGAAGGGATGGGACGCTGTCGCGAAGAGAATGGGCAAGGAGGAGTGAGTAGCTCACCGATGAAGTCTGATATACACCGCTAATACGTCTTGACAGAGCCAACACAAGTGGGAAAAAGAAGCCCTTCTACAAGTCTCCAGCCCTGAGATTATCTATCTCTCTATCTACCATTCTTCTCCTTTACAGAATCCTTTTCCGCTTCTTTACTCGACTGCGCGTGCATCTGCTCGACCCCCAAGTCGAGCCATTCCGCTCGCGCAACCCTCGAACTGCAGCGATGCTGACATCGCCTTCTGCGCCCGCCATCGGTGCCTCATTCGCCGGTCTTGCTCTAGGTATTTACCCAGCCCAGAAGATGCGAGTGACCATCGCCATTTACACCATCTTCCGTGCTTTGGAGTTTGGCTGGAACTTCTGTGAGGCTGATGGTCTTATCTGGGGCAAGAAGAATGGTCTCAAGAGGGAGAGACCTTGGTGGTTTGGAAGCTGGATGCTGCAGCCTTTTGCTTTTGGACAGCTTCTTCACGCGGCTGTCTTTGACCGGGACTGTTTCCCTAAGATTGGAGACTTGTTCTTCAACAGCTCATCGGCTTATCTGCACCCACGACCTCAGGATTGGCCGCAAGGTCTTAAGTGGCCTCAGACTTCTGAGATTGTTGATAGCTTGGCTCAAATGGCACGCCTCAACTGGCCGTGAGTACACAATTCTGTGAAGAAAGACTTATTACTGATTTATTTATAGTGCCTACGTCTCACCGACTTTGTTCCCTGGAAAGGAGGTTCTTCCTCCCAGCATCAGTGTTATTGGACCTTTGACATCTCGAGCTCACCCACTCATCACATCGCTTTCATGCGCAACTCTGCACCCTGGCGACCCATCGTGCGCCCGAACTTATCTGACTTTCTGGCTTCAATCATTCCCACCATTTGCTCGATTCTTCGTCGCGGTCTTCTCAGCTCTCACCGTCATTCCCAAGTTCTCCAGCCTCTACCACAGCCCCTTGGCGACTCTGCAGCAGATCGTCACCAAGGCTCTCCGCATGTCCACTTTCGCAACCGGTGCCCTCTCCACAGCCTGGGCTTCGCTCTGCTTCTTCCAGCAATGGCTACCCCGCCACGTTCTAGCAACCCAGCGCGTCTTCCTCGGCGGTTTCTTCGCTGGTCTCTGGGCCTTTATCGAGCGAAAGAACGGTCGCGGAATGTTCCTGTACAGCGCCCGCACTAGCGTCGACAGCCTCTGGAAGGTTGGTGTCAAGCGACGCTGGTGGAAGAGCATGAAGGGTGGAGACGTCTGGGTCTTTATGCTGGCTCTTATGGTCACTGGTGTTGTCTACGAGAAGGATGCGCAGGCAATCCGCGAGACGAACTGGCGAAAGGGTGTTAGCTGGCTTCAGGGTCAGGGCTTCAAGGATTGGGGTGCTGAAGAGGATGAGGAGGATGAGGATAGGGATAAGCAGGAGTAAGCGATGTGTGATGTTTGATGAAAGTATGGTGTTGGGCGCATTTGATGTTGCTTTTTCTAGCATGGGATTTGGAAAGGCATCGCTTGAGAGCTTGATGTCCTGGGTTTATAGTTGCATATCACATTTAATGGTAGTATTTATTTTATCCAAAACTCTTTCTTTTTATTCTTCAATCTGATTGTCTGCCAGCAGACTGCCTATATGAAATACCAACTTTTACATGGGAAACATAACCTACAATCCATCCAAAGAGAATTCTGCTCTATACTTACCTACATCCAACTGTGAATTCCAGGGACGTCAGGGTGTCAGAAGAATTGTTCTCTAAGGCTTAGGCTACAGAAATAAAGTAGCCTAATTGCTAGACTAAGCTTGCATAAGATGACTAAATTATTTCGTTTCTTATACTGTCGCCGGCTAATTCTTCTGACGCCCACCTGAGGGAGTCAACCGCGCCGTAACTGCTTCTCTACAAGTTCTTCTCTTCAACGACTTACCACCATATGCTGCAGAACCGAAAGCAGGATGAATACGTAGATGCTGGAGACAGCAAAGAAGAGCAGCGACATGATAATGAAGAAAACATCGTCCCAAGCACTACACCCACCGTCAAGATGTTCGTCCATAGTATGTGCGCGGAGTAGCATACTAGTCTCGCTCTCGTCAACCCACGGCGATCGAGGAGTCGACGGATCCTCAGTGCCAAAGGTTCCATAACGACTTGCTGGAAGAGTCGCATCGGTGATGTATCCATAACCACCACCAGCACTACGCGTCAGAAATGGGCGAGGAGAGTATGCTACGTATCCGACGGTATTGACACCATCATCCGTAGTAGGAACCTCCGGCGTCGCGACAAGTGGGTGTGGCATCCGTTGTCGTACATGTTGGATCTCAAGACCATCATCGCTAGAATCGTCAGAGAAATGGCCAACAGCGCCCTGCTCAGGCACAGGGCTCCAATCTTGAGTCACTATAGTCCAACCATGAACTGGGGAGATATCAGGGGAAGGAGCGTACTCATAGTTAGGCGAAAAGGGGTTCGACGATGGGCCAAATTCTTCCTGGGCTGATACAAATGGCTCATCAAGTGAGAAGTTGTCAGGAGACATGGAATTGAGCTCCTCCAAAGATGGCTCTAAGGACGGCGAAACTGGGGAGTCAAGAGAATTGTCCTCGTACTCATCTGAGAAGGGGTTAGACCAAAGGCTGACGCCGCCAGCGGACATGGGATCTTCTGAGCTTGGCTGTGCGATAACAGACCAACCCTCGCTCTCTGTACTAGCGGAGGCAAGGACAAACTCATACTCACCGAGAGCGTCAGTGTGCGCAGTATCATTCTCATCCAGGGGCGATACGCAGAAGGTTGGTTCGGGAGATCCAAGCACACTTAAAGGAGACACAAGGATGTACCCTTGCTCAGAAGGCTGAGCTTCACTATCCAACTGTCTATCGACATCGAGCGACCTACGCTCGATGGGCGAAGACAAAGGACTCACGTCGCCGCACTCGGCGAGCAACTGCACCCAGAAGGTATGGCTAGACAGCTGAGAGTTTACCACAGGCAACTTAGCCTTTGCCTCGGTGTCCACATCGGCCAAGTCGAGAGGAGAGGGCCTATGACTGCGCTTACATTGCGAGAAAGATGAGGGGTTGTCGATGAAGGTTGGTCGACGAAGGGGAAGAGGCTCATGGTAATGCTGACGACCGCTAGGAAAGAAAACCATGATTGCGATATGGGTTGATTTTAGCAGAAAAGTGAAAAAGGTTAAAGAAGGAGAGGAGCTTTACAAACCTTGATGATCAGATCAAAATGAGTTGTGGTGTTATTTTAGCCTGTGTGTAAGTAACCGGTACAAAGCTCAGGCTCGAAGATGGGTGGAAGTGTGAGGGTGAAGAAACTTTAGAAGTTGATGAAGAAAGAAAAGAGATATTGACATTCACATTTCCAAGTTATATAGTAATTCTAGACAGTGTCTAGTGGGAGTGTCTTTGAACAATGGTTGAGAACAAAGAATACGTTGAAGATATTCGCACGAACATGTGGCCCGTGTTCTTCGAAGAACTTCTTTATGTTCACTCCTTGATATTGAGTTCTCCTTTGTCGACTCATTGTTCAGTTAATAAGACTTAAAACGCTTCTTCACAAACCTATTGGTATTCCATTGGAAAAGAGCACACAACCAGAGGACGAGAGATTTGTTCAAAGAAAGTTTTGAACAGGCTAAATATTCACGTCTAGGACAGACATTTCCCTCTCCAGAACGTTTCCCAAGCATATTCGTATTTCTTGCTATAAGAACCTGTTGCTATACACCCGCTTGCCATACACAAGTTGCTTGCTCTACAGCCTTGGATTTCTCACCATCTATTCATTATCTCTACACATATCTGACACAATGGAATCTTCTACACAGCCCTTCCGTGTGCCAAAATTCTCAGAGAACCTTGATCTCCCACAAGAAGTCATCGATCATCCTCTCTCAAGATCTTTAGAGGACGTTCTTCAGGAACATGATGCACATGTTGCATCTTCCACAAACAGCATAACCACTTTATGTTCTCTACTAAAGACTTATAAATCTAAACGCAAGACAAATACATCTTCTACAAACCAGGGCGGTGTCTTTGACCTCAAGACAGCAGCCGTCGAACGTCAGGCTAAAAAGGGTCGACTGCTTATCTATCGTCAACGACTTGCAAGGCGATATGCCAGATTGCAAACCGCGCTTTGCTCTAAGCTCAGGGGGAAAGTACCCAAAGCCTCTGATCTCAAGGTCCCTGAACTCAAGACCTCTGAGAAGTAAGATCTTCTCCATAGAAGAAGATCGTTGAGAGTATCTTTGAGGGTCAAAGACAAAACCTCAACATATTGGACACATACGATCAACGGTCGATAGCAAAGACGAAATCCATGTTGTACGGGTAAGCACGCTGAGACCTCCTGGACTAGCCAAGCCAGCAAACGCAGTTCAGACCGGCGGCTACAGACCTACACTACTGCCGTTTACTAGTCAAGGTTATTGCAAAAGGGAAGAGGTACATACCAATATACGAACACTCGCTTCCAGAGCCCGTATGGGCTACAAATTAGGTTGCCCTCTGCTTAGCAAGCCCCTGGCATAGACCCCGAAGGGTCACCGGACACCGAAATCAACTTCTGATAATCTGGCCGAGAACAAAATGAAGAACAGAAACTATTTCGGTTCCGCGAAGCCTCCTTCTGAAGAAAGAAGCGACTCTCGCACTTCACAGCGACATATTGCGTTCCAAGAGAAGGACTATCAAGCATCTACTTCGACACACGACATCCACCCAGGCTAGCCTCGGAAAGCCCCCAGAGGGCATAGTTCAAATACCGTCTACAAAGATTAAAGAGTTGGTCAAGAAGAGGTCTTAAAGAAGAGAAGGAGCAAAAAGGAAGGGCAAGGAAGAAGCCATATGCATAGGCATGCAAGTTTAGGATGGCGGAGTCAACATTGGGGTTTTATACATGTGTGGAAGACTATCGCAACCACATCTCTTTATCATTTACTACAAGCAAGCGAATAAGTGTTGGATGATTTGTACTCTTGAATATAGCATTAACAAGACAAAACATGAATTAATTAAACCGATAACTCACAACGCCTCCCAATACCTATCCATCCATTCATAACATCATTATCATAAATCAAATACATCCCTCAATTTCTTATCCCAGTTACTCTCATCTCCCAATTTTCTCAAAACATCAGATAACCCATCACAATGTCCGTCAACTTCCATGTCATTCATTTGCGCCGTGTCCCAAGAAGCGATAAAATATAAATTCACTGCGTCAATCATGAATGCGTTCCAAAAGAAGCCACTGTGAGATGTTAGTTAAGTTACTAAGAGGGAGGGGAAATGTTGCTTACCAGTCTGGCCAGTCGTAGCGAGCGACAGGTTCAAATGTCTTGAAATGTGATGGTCCGCCTGAGAAGCTTGCGGCCATGGATACGTCCCAGACGAATGCTTGTCTGAATGATGCGTCGGCGGCGGCTGGGCCTTCGTCGTCGAGCTTTTGGATCACTTTGTTCCAAGGGACGTGCTCATATTGCTTTCCTTCATCTCTTTCAGCTAGCATGCGCTGAAGAAACTCCATAACTGTCTCGTTGCGAATAACTTCTGTCATGTTAAGTACCCATTGGACGGTAGGACCGTCAATGCTCATCGGTGGAGGAAGAAGTTTGTTCATCCATTTCGGTACAAACGGCCATGAGCGACCGCTTTCCCAGACGTTGAGGAGCGCGTGGGAAGAACCAGTTTGAAGAACGTTGAAAAGAATGATAGCGCTCTTGGTGAATAGTGAAGGATGGATATAATGTTCATTCTGCAGCTTTGTGAGACCCGACAATGCCAGAACGCGACCAGATCGTGGGTACTGGAACTCATTTGCGCGACACTCCCACTCGCCGTTCCAGACTTGACTGCGAATTTGACGTCGTTCTCTGGCATATGATGACCCTTCATCATTACAAATCATCATACCAGGTGCCTTCTGTGGAGGCCATAGTGCGCGACCGTAGCGAGAGATACCTCGAAGCTTTCGAACATGGAAAGCAACACTGTTCTGCGCAGGCTCACTGTCCTCATATTGAGTAAACAGATCGGAAAAGAGCCGGTAGGGTGTCAGTGCAGGGATGTTTGTGTTTATGTCTTGGATCCAGTGATCGAGATCGTGGTACCAGTTCGTGATTGACAGCGCATCAATAACAGAGTGATTAAAAGTAAAGCAAAGAAAACCCTGCCCGCCAAACGTCCTCACCAACTCCGCCTGAAACATAAACGGCGACGAATGACTATGTCCAGAGCCATCCTTCAAGATCTCCCATGCATCTTCCTCAGTTTCGACCTCAACCTCGTGAACAAGCTGGGCGAGGAGAGCAGGACTGGAAGCCAGCACAGCGTGAAACGGTATACGGTTCGAGTCAGGGAACACAACGGTCCTGAGCATCGGCCTCGAGGCCAGCGCCTTTTCGAGGGCGCGCAGAATCTGATGCTGAGCAACGTTGCAGATGCGAAAGACCATGCGGTTGTGGTAGGACTGCGGACGGGATCCAATCGCCGTCCGATGCAGCGAGTGTCGGATGGGTAGGACGTCTTCGATGTCCGAGGCGGAGAGGCCAGCGCGTACCACGGCGCGTCTGGCGTGGTAGAACGTGTCTTTGTCCTTGTCCTTGAAATCCCTGGGGAGAGTCGTGATTTCTTGAGTATAGCTTGGAGCGGCTTGAATGAGTTGTTTGGTTTGCTGGAAGTTGGACTTTGGGATCTCGGGAGCGATGACAAGGCGTGCTTGTTGGAACTTTCGAGAGACGAGGAGCTGCGCCTGTTTCTCGATGGTATCGTTCTCGAGAAAGTCTTGTAGATAGAGTCTTTGACCGCAGACACGTAGTACCTGATCGCAGTAGCGTAGCAGAGTAATGCTGTCAGCGAGATACTTGAAGCTCTCTGTTATCGCGGGTCGAGTTCCAGTAAGTTGTTCGCAAATGCCGAGTAACTTCTGTACAAACGGCGGCGGTGCAGCGCCTTTGGTGATAGCTGCCTTGGCGACCACCATCTTGGACGGAGATTTTGGTTGTCGATGTTCCAGAATTAACTTCTTGAGATGCTCCTTCTTCACTTTTCCAAGCGATGTCAAAGGAAACGCCTTGAGACCAAGTTCTTCGAGTGTGTATACGCCATCCAAAGCGTAACGTTGATCTGCACTTCTAGCCTTTTCGATAACTTGCGATTTTGTAGCATCGTCTGGTAGAACAACAACGGCGACAGGGACTTGGCCAGCCAAATCATCTGGTACGCCAACAACTTGAACCTGGCGATATATTAGCGAGACCCCTGCCATAATGGATATGATGGCTTACCTGTAGTCCTTGGAGCTGCTGAAGCTCCTGTTCAATCTTGATGGGATAAATATTCTGACCACCCCGGATGATGAGATCTTTATACCGACCAAGAATATACACAATTCCCTTGTCATCAATTCTGGCTTGGTCGCCTGTCACTAACCAATTGCCTGTTTCGTCAGTGTACATGGCCCCATCAGGATCCCTGTTGTAATATTTTGATATGACAGATGTGCCGCCAATATGTAATTCGCCGATCTCCGATCGGGGTAGTATTTCACGCGTTTCGGGCCGGCAGATCCTCACTGCAGCCCCTGGCAAAACCTTGCCAACTCCCGGATGCCAGCTGTCGACCAAATCAGGGTCGGTTCTCTTCCAGGTGATGATGGGAGCGCCTTCGCTCATGCCGAATACTTGGATTGCCATTTGCGCGCCGAGACCGTCGCAACAGAGTCGGATGTCTTCTGGGCCGATTGATGTGCCTCCGATGGTGACGATGCGAAGATCGAGTTGATCTACGCTGGGGAAGTTGGGATGCGCCATCAGGGCTTTGACGAGGGTGGGAGTGGCGGACATTATGTGGCATCGCTCTTGCACGAGGGCTTCGAGCGTGGCTCCCACGTTGAAGGTTCTGGAGGGAAGGACGGCTGAGCCGCTCCAACGCCATGCGCGGAGAGCGTTGTTGATCGCGAACATGTGCGAGACGGGTGTGTGGATAAGCCATCTCAACTTTCCCATGGTGTTGACTTCTGGGTCAAAGTCACAGCACTGGGATATGACGTTTTTGTTTGTATGCCAACATCCTTTGGGCTGGCCTGTTGTTCCGCTGGTGAAGATGATCAATGCTGCGTCGTCTTCTTCGCTGGTATGTGCTTCCACCCCGTTTGTGATCTTGGGCGTCGACTCTAACAACTCGTCTCCAGGACTGAGTACCTCGGATAGCTCCAACCAACCTTCGAACTTCTCCCCTGTACACACTATACGGATGGTCGACTCCAGGAACTGGGCGTCGGGGAGATCAAGCGCCTTCGCACCCTCATCGTCTTGTGCCACCACCACATGTGGCTTAATAGACAATATCGTCGCCTTAGCATCTCTCGCAACCGTTGCATCGACAGGCACAAATGTCATCCGCATTTTGGCCGCCACCCAGAAGAACAACGCCCACTCGGCACAGTTACCAAGCACAACGGCCAGCCGCATTCCAGGACGACAACCCAGACGGTCCAAGGTCTCGGCTACTCGCTCTGCTTTGTCCTTGAGTTCAGTATAGGTCCATGCGAGGTACGACCTATCGTTGCCGTTGAGGCTAGGCGAAAGATCACTGTTAGACAAGTGACCGCGTGGCTGCCACAGCGAGACAATGGCGTCGCCATCCGGCTTCAACGCCACGGCGTTTTCGAATACGTCCCATAGCGTCAGGTGTAAGTCAAGGACAGGCTCGCCAAAGACTTGAGATATAGAGGGTTCATGCTCATTTATGGAGGAGGCGTCGTCGGTAGGTGGGACAGTCGACACCATCATGTGGCCAAGAACAATGCAACACTGAGAATGGAATGAGAAGGAAGAGAGGGAACAAGAAAAGAGAAGAGAAAAAAGAGGCTGAATCAAAGGAAAGGATATTGGAAACACGCATGTAAGTGGCACAGAAACCGACAAAGATTTACAGCCAGATAGAAAGAGTCCATGACCGAGGGGGTAAGAGAAGAGGCTTGATGGGGTGGTGCAGGGTTAAATACGATGCGACAGTCGATCATTAAAACGGGCAGGGGGATAGGCTATTCAGCTGACTACCTAGGTACCTATCCATAGAAAGATAGAAGGGCAGGAATGAGAGAAGCACAGCAGCTGAAGCACTAAAAGATAGAGCCTATCTCGTTGTAGTTTAGTAGGGTACACTGCTAGTCATTAGGTACAGTACAAGTACACTAACACTACATCTGCAGCGATCCCCAATTAGTTATTGACCAGAATCCATGTCAGATCAATCAATGCAACCAGATTTGATTGTCACATCTTGGAAGGATCCGACAGCTTGGGCCGCCCGAGCCCGGCTGACACTGTACACGTCGGAGAGGGAGTTGATGAGTTACACTGATCCTAGGGTCTATCCTATTAGAAAGTCAGACTGTCAGCCACTCGCCCTGGCAGCCAACGAAGGAGCCGCATGTATTTTCGTCTGCAACACAGCACAGCCTATTCCGGGGTATCACTATATTAAGTGACTTACTCAGGTTAGAGACAAGAAGAGAGAGACAGACAGAAAAGACAAGAACGAACGCAGGATCTTGTAAAGCACGGGGCGTGTATGTGTACGTGCACTTGCACTTCTGTACTAACGCCATAACACAACCAACATTACTTTTTACCTGAGACACCGGTTCCTAATGCAGAAACTCAATTACTCGGGGATCGACCTAGCCGTGCGATAGCGTGAGGCGGTAGAATGGGACTAGGTACGGATGAACTGTTTTGTCTATTCTTCTTGGCGTTTTGTTTCCAAACAGATGTCATCAAAGGTCCGAATATGACCACTCACAACATGTAGATGCATAGAGGTAAGAGTAGCAAGGATTGATACTAGGTACCATCTATCATCTATGGTTGATGTATCCTATCATACCGTGTCATGATACCTGGTATAGATATCGGTGTAGATATTCATGGATCTGTAGATATTCATCACTCTGTATAGTACTTCTTTTACCAATAATATTGTAGCCTCACATTTACCCGCCAACAAACCCTTGAAAAAGAAACGTCAGTGCTCTGCTCCCCCATGCTCCATTGCGGGCCGTCAAACGCCTCGTCAACCAGGAAAAAGCACTTTAAGAAGGCTGAAAATACTACAACGGTCAGCTAACCTAAGCTTACTTAGGTAGTCAATATAATTTACTCTGTTCCCCACCATCTCCTCTTCTGAAACAAATAAGTGAATTGGTCAGATATGCAAGACATCCCCACGGACCAGAGTTATTAGAACAGACCATTAAAACAAGGCTTGTTCTTATATGCTAACGGCACATTTGCCTTTTATAGATTTGTATAGCCTTTGTATATCCGGTTGAACCGTCAGTCAATGTCTGTTGGTCTTATGGGTGTATGCTAGTCAGTCCTCCTTCCAGCACATTAACGAGTATTGACTTATGCAAATTGAGATAGGTCATGTACAAGGTTGTCAATGACGACAACCTTGTACCAAGCCCTGCATAGATTAGTAGATCAATATACTGATCCCATGTCTCGTCCTGTACTGGCTCCAATGTCTTGTCTTGTATTGTCTTGAGGTGAATTACGCTGTCTCGGTCTGTGCCGCATCTGAAATCATCTTGCGTACGTTGCGTATTCATGCCGGACCTCATGCTCATGCCGGACCTCATGCTCATGCCGGAACCGCAGCTGTCACTTCCCGCGGTACTCTCTATAAACCCATGTCTGACTACTAGTACCTATCCCATACCCCTGGCATGGCCAGATTAGAAGCCGTCATCACCCATTCGTGTCACAACATCCTGCTCTTTTTTGACGTGGCGGATCGAATATATGTCTTCTCAGGCCAAGCAATTACGAGTACAGCCGGTATGCAGGCCCTTGTCCATAGAGTAGGGAAGTACAGAACTGCGTATTCGATCGACGCCTGCCCCTATCCCCTTTGTTCATAGCTCATAAAGATAGATTTCTCTACAAATGATCCCATAATTCCCTGCTTTTTCAGTCGCACAGCAGGAGTGTATTGGTAGTGACAGGACCTGCTTTGAAGGGTTGTGTTGTGGGGGCAGGATATACTAGGGATCCCTATTCTAAGCAGACCGAGCCCTTCCCCATGGACAACCCTTCTTCATTGGGTTTCTGGAAATAAAATATATGCATACACCAAAAATGGGAAACTTCCTATCAGCCCTCTTTTTCTATTTTCCCATTGTTGGTTATGCGAGTGTTGGATGCATCTCGGGCGTCACGATACTTCGTTCCCATGATGCTGGACATGGACATGGACATGACCTTGACAGGGACAAGGACAAAGGGGGGCGTATGTTGGGCTCAATTATCTTTGTGGTCCAGATCTGGGACATTTGATTCAGGCATTCGGGGATAATAATTCGACTGTATGTTTTTCCTTCTTTGCTTTTTTTTCTCATCGAGGTACTTTATCCTGCCTAATCCCACACAGTCAGTGGCTTTGGCTCTTTCCCATTTTCTTCAAGCAAGCCTCCTTCCTTCCTCAGACATCATGTTCAGCCTACTTTTTCTTCAGTTCCTCCAGCAGCACTTTATTGCCACTGCCTGCCTCCTCTTTCTTCCGATCCCTCTCCGTGCACTTGAGACATACTTCCGAAGATGGAGACTCGCACAAGCTCAAGGCTGTCAAGATGCTGCGAGCAAAGTCCCCGTGAAAGATCCCATCGTTGGCTTCGACTTCCTATACAAGGTTATCTTCGGTGAAGCTCCGGAATGGTATCTGGATAGCACGTGGCAGGCCTTCAAGCAAATGGGAACTACATACATAGAAAGAAGATGGTCATGGCAGTGTGTCTACACATGCGACCCTCAGAATCTCAAGCAGATCCTCGCTGCAGCTTGTGAAGACTTTGATCTTCCAGAGTTTCGAACTTCAGTCATTGGCAATGTCTTTGGACAAGGCATCTTTGTCTTATCCGGACATACATGGAAGCACGCCCGGCAGATACTGAGACAGAGTTTCAGGAAAGACAATCCCGCCCCGTTCCTAGAGACTCTGGAGCGGAACTTTCAAGCATTCTCAAAACATGTTCCAACAGATGGCTCTGAAGTCGATCTCCAGCCTCTGTTCCTAGCTCTCACTATGGATGTCTCCACGGAGTTTCTCATGGGACACTCGACCAACATGCTCAGTGAGACAGCAGATCATACCAGAGAGCAGCGATTTGTTGATGATTACATGATCTGCTCTGAGGAGATCATTCAACAGATGCAGCTTGGTCCTCTGCACCGTCTCAAGTTCAGCTTTACAGCAAAGAGGGCTAAGAAGAGGGTGTACGAATACCTCGATACCTTCATCGAAGAGTCCCTAAACAGTCCCAAGGACGGTTCGGAAGGCACTTTCCTCACAGACATGATGGCCATAGTGGACGACAGGAAAGGCCTGAGTGATCACATTCTTCACATTCTCCTAGCAAGCCGCGATACAACATCAAGTCTCCTAAGCAACCTCTTTTTCTTTCTAGCAAAGAACCCAAGAATATACGCCAGACTCAGAGACGAAGTCACCAAAGCGGCAGGCCAAGAACCCCCTACAGCAAACCAACTAAAAGAAATGACATATTTAAAATGGTGTGTCAACGAATGTAAGCCAAACTTCCAATCAGCCCTATAACCGTTATTCTGACAAAACAGCCCTGAGGCTGCATCCTGTCATTCCCACAAACGCCCGCGTCGCAGTCAGGGACACCACCATCCCCCGTGGTGGCGGCGCCGACGGACAATCGCCACTCTTCATTTCCAAAGGAACAGCCATGTTCTACAACGTGTACGCCATGCATCGCAACAAAGACGTTTTTGGTCCTGAGCCTGAAGAGTTTGTGCCGGAGAGGTGGCAGGATCTGAGACCTGGCTGGGGCTATCTTCCCTTCAACGGCGGAGCTCGAGCTTGTATCGGACGTAAGCTGCCCCTTCACTGACATAGTATTGAAAGCTGACAAGTGGCTATAGAACAATATGCTCTACTGGAAACGCACTACGTTGTGGCTAGGATGGTGCAGACTTACTCGCAGCTTGAGTCGCGTGATGATCAGGAGTGGATAGAACTGTATGCCTTGGCACTATGTTCCAAAAACGGCACCCGAGTGGCTGCTAGGATATGAGGAGTATATGGTTCTGGAGTTTATGCAATGATTACTGTATTTCTGTTGGTCGATATACCTGGACTAGGGGATTATCTGGAGGAGTATCTAATGCTGGTTCACTAGGTAATGGGTTTACGGGTCTACACGAGAGATGATATAATGGCAAAGTAGATATTTAGTTCTTACATGGTATGATTTTATGATTACCTTGTTAGCGTCTATTTTTGCTTCCTGTTTTATAATATGACCTTAACTCATCTGGCCACTGATGTTTAATAACTAATATCTTACTTACATCCGTTCGGACTCGAATAAGCCTTTGGACCATACATCTAAGATTGTATGGATAAATTGACTTACAAACATTTGTCAGTGTAAGCATGTACTCGCCATACCTCCGCCATGTTCATCATGTGCTATCTGAGAGGCAACATCCAATACCAACCTCGTTCCTGACACAACCACACTCCAACTTGTAATTCGCTATAAATTACAACCCACCATCAAATAGAATATCCTCAATGACTTACACAAACCCCCAATTTCATGCCTTAGCAAAAATAGCAGTCTATGCGCTGTCAACTCATCCCATATAACTCGGACCAACAAAACTCCACTATATTAAGCATATACACTATGCGAATCAAGGGTCTATCCGTGCTCACCGTATTTGCATGATGCCATCTATTGGATATACTTTATGCCCAGCATGTCTCATCCCATGTCATCCCATCAAATGTATACGTAAGTTCAATTAACCATAGGAACCGGAACATCATCCGATGTCACCTCCTTGAAAGACACGCCTCTGTCTAACATGCCACCGTCCGAAACTATGTACCAGACGTGTCCGCAGTAAATCCAGCTCGTCCAGTACATGCAGCTCACCCAATTTGTTTCAGCTCTTCTCTCCGGGGCGCATGTTCTCCGAAGCCGTCAGTCAGGGGCAGCGCGTGACACTTGTGCAACATACTCGGTCGACGAGGTTGATATTTGGTGTACAACCTCAAGGCTGACCGTGGTTGTTTCCATGTTTCTCAGCCCCTCTCTCCCCTGGGCTTCCGAAAATAGTCGGCTGGGTTTTGAGGCTCGTGTCGTGTTGAGGTCAGCCTTGCTATGGCTGAGTAGAGGAATATTATTGTTCGCTGGGGGTCTTGATCGATTGTTGAGATAAAGAGCGGAAGAACAGGTTGCCTGACAGCTCGAGAGCTAGTAGGTTCCAAGCAGGAATGAGGGATCCTGCTCTTGCGTCAGGTTGAGGTCGGCGGATGGCAGTTCCAATCCCACGGGAGCCATGCCTGGGTAAGACACCATTGCCACGGCCAAAGGTCATATCTCACGTTCGACAGATTTCACGGCACGTTGGTCAAAGTAGTCTCAAGTTTTGTGCTACTACTTGCTCCTCATTCCGTAGTAACTTCGAATTTCCCTCGATTTATCAGACCAAATTGAAAGTACCTAATCTGAAAATCATGGTTCCGTAAATCATTAACTGTACTCAGATTGACTGAACTTTGTACCCACGTAGTCCCATGCCCCCAAGACATTTTCCAAGCTGCCGTTGTTGGCTGCCTGACAAATGTCAAAACCAAACGCCAGAGGGAAGATGGCAACAGATGTGCCATAGGTGTGCCGTGACTCCGGCTCCTGCCCTGAAGATGACGGCCCAATCCCAGCACCGTATCTAAACGATCAAAAAGTCCATATGCAGATCTCTCAGAGTCTGTACCCAACTCGTCATCGGCATCCCTTCAGCTTGAACACTCCAAAGCATTTGCAAAGCGTCTCTCGCCGCATACAAGAAACCCCAAGGACTCTCAATCATAAGCTTCTTGATCTGAACCGTAACCCAATCCTTCATCTCCGGCGTTCTGGCGCACGCTCCAAAGACAAAGGTCACCCACGTTGTCGCCTTCAAATTGATGTCGTCGTCGGGGATCATACACAACACTTGATGCAACTCCGCGAATATTGCGTCCGCCAGTTCCTCGCCGACCCAAGCCCCCACAGTTGGTATCGCGTGTAGAATGTAGAGACAGATGGCCAGTCGATGAGAGGTCGCTACTCGAAAACGACTTAATACTGGATCCTGGTCGGATAATGTGATCGTGCTGAAATTGATATCTTGTGCCCATGGAAGAACGTCAAAATTTCGAGCTCGGTCTAATAATGCTGCTCCGGCAGCGGTAACCATATCGGCCGAAACGACATCATCGTTTTTCGTATTAGATAGTCGCGCTGCGATAAGCATGATTTCGAGGAGTTCGGGTGGGCAGCAATAATAGCTATTTGATGTTTTGCCAAGTATTTTTAATGCTTCACATGAGTCGAAATATGAATGGGAATCTGATGCCGTGGGTCTGAATGTTGACTCCAGTATATAGTATCTGATACAGGTTAGCACACAGTTAGCAGCGGGGTCTTCTCAACTCACATAAAGCAGTCAGATACAATGTAGTCTCTTAAGCTCTCATCTATATCTGACACTGGTCCCAGCAGCTTCATGATCTTTCCAGCGCCATCAAAATGGGTCTTCCAGTTGTGTTTTCCCGACTCTATCAGCTCTACATTGATCAGGAACAAGATCGCTGCCAGAACAATGTCACCTCCAATAGACTCGATGCTCTGCAAAGCGGAGGGTAACATCCGTAAGACCTGGTGCTTGGCCTCGAGGGCGTCCATCAGCAGATTTCTCGGACCTAGCCCCCTCTCCAGCGACTCCGAAGACAACCATGGCCTCGAGCGGTTGTACATGTGCGTCGCTGAAGCAGCAATGATGACCTGACGTAGCAGAGGTTGGGCCTGAGTAAATTTGAGTAGGTTTCGAAACGGGTTGTCGGGAACATCGTAGGCTACAAAATCTCGACTGAGCCGCGCATCAACTGGAAGCAGTCAGTACATGTCTCTCTCATTCCCTTTGTTACTTTCTCGGGGCCAATGAAGACCAAGGGCTGCGTACAATAAGCGAGATACTGTCTGTGGTTGCTCGTAATGTCTTGGTACAAGGGATCGACGAGCACCCACGGGGTCGAGGTTTCCGATGCCAGGGGACAGTTATTGTTGGTGGTACAGACGAGTTGCGTATCACCACTCGCTAGGGGGGTTGCATCATCATCACCACCATTATTTTGATCATCGATGTAGTTGTCATTGAATATGTCCACTTCAGAGCCAGATTCAGACTCAGCTTCTGAAGTCTCTGTAACCTCGTCGACTTGAGAGAGAGCGGGCGCTATAAATGCAGGTGATGATGATGGAACAGACGGTGAAGCAATGGAGGAAGCAGAGGAGGAGGAGGCTGGAGAGTTAGAAGAAAGTGAAGAAACGGAAGATAGCGAAGCTCTCGAACGAGCTGTGGTAGGGCGAGCTGGTGTGTACAAGGCAGCGCTCGACTGCTGTCCGGCCAATCTGCCTCTTGAAGCAACGGCACCCGTCCACTGGAAGATTTGAGAGTAGCCAAGACAATCCACACCTTTTGCTTCGCACTTTGCGCAGTGGGGAAGCAAACGGTCACAGCGAAGCCTTCGGCGTCGACAGTTATGGCATGGCTTGTCGGCAACTGGACCAGAAGGTACTTTTTTCCCCTTCTTCCTACCACCTGGAGCCATGGGGATACCCCGTAGCAAAATACCAGGAAGGTTGCAGTGCAATAAATGCAGCGATTGATTGAATTGGATAGCAGTAAGACAAGGGTTTCAGCTTCAGCGTATAAGCGTAAAGTAGAGTACCACTTATGGGATGCGGCGTAGAAGGGACCACTATTACAGGATCAACTGGTGTTCGTCAATCGAACGATGAGTGCAGCTTTAATTCCGTAGTGATAGAGGCTCTTTTTGCCAAGTGCAGTTCAGGATCTGAGTTTCCAACATCAATTGTTGGTGCTTGTTTCGCCTTGTAATCGCCTGGCCGGAGCCGGGCGGGGATACCATGTCCGGAACAGACTAGCCGTATAAGGCAGCTAAATTGCAACTTTTTGGCCATCGCCTCCTCTTCTGACATTGCCGGCTGCCGGTAGTTTTGTCTGATCTCGAATGATAGATGATAAGTCCATCAAAGCAGCTGATAGCCAGTCTAGAACCTTCAGCAGGAGACTGGAAGTTGCCATTCTTGACGGGTTTCTCCGAATTAGATGACCATCTTCGGAAATAATCAATATACTTGAAAGATCAGGATACAAATAGCATTTATTCCCGAGATCTCCGTACCAGTAATCAGATCCGAAAAGTTTCAGGATGTTCGCTCCGATTGTCGAGTAAGGTGACATTGTTTAAGGCGTGGTTGACCTAGCTGAGCTGGATCTGAGAACCGATAGATTCCAACGGTCAGCTCGGATTAAACCTTATTACGGAGTCAGGCTCTTTTCTCGTATATTCCATTCATTCCTAACTCACAAGTACCCTCCAACTCAATAACACCTACCTCCAAGTCTCTAGACTTTAGTTGATGTCGGAGTCTTCCCAGCGAATAGATCTGAGATCAAACCGCCGTTGCCCGTTGTCCCGAAATACCTCATCGCCGTCTCCGTCAAGGTAATAAGACTAGCGGCGAGGGTGTAGGGTAACCAATGCTCGTGCAGCCCTTTCGTTGCTGGATACTTCTGTCGATAATCTCCTAAGCCCTTGTAACGATGCAATTTTTGTCGCCCAATATGGGCGTTCTTGTCCTGGCGGGACGCTGTACTGAATCGTCGGATGAGATGGCCTGAGGGCGACAAGTTTCATGAGCGTCGTCAAATATAGTCTAGAACAGCTTCAGGAATTATGAAGTTCCGCCACGGGCACATATTGGGAGACACTCGAAGTAATGAGAAAGCGAAAACAGACACATGGTACGATTTCTGAATATTCAAAGCCAGCTGTCAGTTGCTTAGGCAATTTGTTCTGTTCTCGTGTTCAGACCAACTTGTTGCCACCACGATGATAGAAATGAAGGTATGGAATGCGCTTCAGAACGTCGCGACCGACCTCTCGGATGATATTCCATCGACTCTCAAAGTCCCCTACAGCAAGGCTAATCTCCTTGGCTAAGCTACATGGCTAGTAAGGCGCCAGGAAGCATATAGGCGTGGTGCTTCGACATGATCGCAGCTTTGCATCGTCGGGCGGGATCGTAGCCGGGGCTTCAAGGAATGGCTCGCAGAGCTACGGACCGGTCACTTGCGATCGGAGGGAGACTGACAGAGATGGTGTTTTTCGTTTTCGTTGATGTCGGATCTGGTTTGTGTAGTCGGCGGCGTTGACAAATGCGATAGGGGTTTTCTGATGACACTCGTCAAGTGAAGAAGTCTTGAAGAATTTGGGTGAAGTAGAGGCAGCGAGAAAAGCCCAACGGCCAAAGGAATGGTGGCAGGAGTGGCTCCTTCCAAGATACAAATGGGTGCACCTGCCTGCCGGTTGGCGCCGATGCGCATTCAAGAGCCCACATGCCTCCTCGAAAAAACCAGCAAAGGAAATTACTGCCAAAGCCCCCAAACTCCAGTATCAATAAGCTCGCCTCTCTTGGACTTTAATTCTTCCACTCTTCTCCAATCGAAGCGGGAAGTGTCATATTATGGAAGCTACTCGGAGTGAACGAGCTGCCCACAAATGAACAACAACAGCACTGAGCCACGGTATTTTTGGCAACTTATCCAAATCCTTCAATTACTGGTATCATAAATCCATGTAAATTCATTTCCATCCACCGAAACAAGAGGAGAAGTTTGTCGCTAACTCATAACAACCTCGGTTTAGACCCTCCTGAATCCAGCACGACCACCAAGACCAACTATGTCTCATGATACTTTGGCTATCTCTTATCCCGCCTCTATATATGAACCTTTGGACCACAAGCTCATGGGCTCTAATCGCAAAGCGACTACTTGTGTTGGCATGAAGAGGATACGTGTATAGACAAGTGGCAATGTATTGTGTCCACTGTCCACTGTCGATGTCGGACGTGACTCAATAGAACATCTCTGTTGATGTAGCTGGGATAAAAGCTGTCATCTCGATTATGTCCACAGAGAGTCTTGCTGAGCGAATTGACTGGATACAGTCATTTTAAACATGGGATAAGATGCTTAGTTCATCAGTGCCTCTATCTGTGAGAACCGACCGATGTTTACTACCATGATGGAACTCAGAAATATTGGCCCAGCTTAGGGACTTAAATATTCCATACAACCTGCAGTCAAGGCTTATGAGTAAAATGATTGCGAGGAAGGACCAATTTCAGCTTATTTCGAGCGCGACCAAGCAGGACGCTGCGATCTTTCCCCAGATCTCAACGGCAGAGCCCCACCAGCCACAAACTTCCCAACGACATGTGTGGCGGTACACAGTCACTGAGACGGCGTCGTCCAGACCTCACCGCGATACATCCTAGATTGTTCGTTACCGCCAAAATGTTTCGTTCTCTGAGGGTTTGAGGTTGAACATAGTATTGCTTCGCCTTTGAAGCGCGAGTTCGTCAGCCCAGCAGAGTACAGCGACATTCAAGAACAGACCACATCAGCTATGCAACGATTAGGTTACAAACTGCCACTTGTCTTGGTCCAAGTCATTATGATTAGAGAAGAAGGCCGGGTTCCTATAGCTCTAATATATCAGGTCACCCAATTCCAAGCTCGATCTATCCCTGAGATCACTCCACGATGCCTAAAGTTACGGCCTCTAAGTGGGCCTGTTATACTAAATTCGATGCAGTTATTTGTGTTTCCTTATGCTCCCTTAGGTAAGTTAGTGTAGGTCTTTAGATAACTCATCTAATGTGGAGGCCGCTATGTGGTACTCTCGTGTGAGATTCTCCTCCTGCTGCCGCGTTGACACGCAGAGAGCTTCGCTGACCCTTGAGAAAGGCAACGCAACAGCTTTTGAAGTATGCAGAGTCCACTTGGGCGAAGGCAGAAGAGCAGCAGAAGTATAAGTACAGCAAATACCATATACTAAGGATCCACATCCAGGCGACAGTGAATCACTCACTCATCTCCAATCTACAGGTATAAATACAGCCCTTTGATCCATTTCTTTTCTCCTTTCTTTCTCTTTCTTCTTTCATCAACATCACCGCAACAATGTCGACAGAAGCCGACACCAACAACGCGGGCGAGCAGGCCTCTCCTGTGCCCAAGACACCCAAGAAGAAACCAGTCATCGCCAAAGATGACAATGAAGCTATTGCCGACCGCCTTCAGCGTGCTATTGATTGCATTCCAGATGGCGCCAAGATAAAGACACAGCTGTACAACAATGTCGTCGCGCATATCAGGAAGGCCAACCTGCGCCGCGCATGGGTTGACACCAGTCTGAGCAAGATGTTCATGGGCTGGTCCGAATTTGCCGAACCGAACGAGCGCCCCAAGCTAGACTACATGATCGCAGCTATAGCGGTCTACGACATGTTTGGAGTGGAACACCAGAAGTTCGCCCTTGAGGTAACAAAGCGCGGCCTCCGAGAGTGGGTGAACAAGAAACTCGAAGTTCCAGCTCCAGCAGCGACGTCTTCCAAGCCTACTGCACCCGAAGTCCCTAAAATCAAGACGGAGCCAGGCTCCCAGAGCGCCGAATTAAACAAGATCCGCCAGTCAATTGAAGGCGGGAATGGATCTACTCTTCCTACTGGATCCAAGCGCCCTGCTCCTAGCGAATCTTTAGAGCCCGCGAACAAACGCGCAGACTTCGGTACCAACCAGACGCTTGGAACCCCTAAACCGACCGTTCCCATGCCTAAACTTCCTCAGCAGCCTATCATCTACCGAGAAGCAGGAGTGCAAACCGACCAGTCGCTCGCTTTAGGAGAAGCTCGTGAGGCTATGGAAAAAGCAACTGCAAGAATGGAACGACAGACTCAAGTACTGGAAGGACACAACGCTATGTTCAATGAGCTTGCAGGACGCACCACCATCACTTCAACCAGGCCTAGCGTCAATCACGCTCACCAGGCGCTTCAGTTTCAGGGGGAGGCTCAAGAGATCTTTCCTGTTCAGTACATCAATCGTCAGCAAGGCCCCTCCTCCTTCTATGGACGAGGTCAGGATCCCGGCGCAAGTGGTGGGTTCTTCAGATTCTGATAATTGGAGAGATATTGGAAGGGAGTGGATTGATTCAATGGGATGGCAGCATACACAGGTTGAAATATTTTTGCTTCGGGGTTAATAATTCTGGGGTTTGCTGGCGTATGGAATAATTTGAGATCATGGGATGGAAGGTATGTATCATTTGGAGGTGATTATTAAGGAAAGTGCATACATGGCGTTTTACTATTCGACTACTAGAAAGTAATATATTATTGCTATATCCCAAATTGAAGGAATTTGCTTTACTTGTGGACTTCTCGAGAAACTGGTGACAATAACATTTCAGTCTACCAGTCTACTTAACTAATATCTGACAATAGCCTCATGTCGGTCATCCGGATGTTGAATCCACCACTGACATCCCAATTAGACTCCACGTGTAAGATCAGACTAATAAAGATAGAGCGAATGACATGTGAAACGCCCGTCGACAAACCTTCATGATCAAAAAGTCAGAAAATGCCTCTTTAGCCGCTGCTGCCTTTACCGGAGGTCTCTACCGAAGGTATGCTCCGATTCAGGCGCAACGCAATTTCCACAAGTGTCTTATAAAATGCTCGACGATGACAGGTGAGAGATATCGAATATCAAAAAGTTTACCCCATACTGTTTCATAATAGCCTCTGTCCGGGGTGGGAGGGATCCATGCACGGGTGGCGCAACACGCGGGGGTGTAGCGTAGCGTAGCGTCTCGTCTGGGGGGCCCTAGATGCAGATGCAGTTGCAGGACCCTCCCAATGCAACAGCTTGCAGAGAGAGAGTGTGTGAAAGAGGAAAACGTTTCTATCACACCCGATTCGTTGCTGAGAGCTGTACCGACAGGAATGCGTCATCCCGCTCGCCGCTAAAGATGTTAACCTGAGGTTTGTTCTTACAAGAGTCGACTGTTCAACTGTCGATGTGAGTCGAGACTGCGGAAGACGGATGCATCCATGTCAACCCTGGGGCGAATAAGATATTGGATCACAAGAAAATCTGGGGTTGGTGTAGTCAGATCGGCAATTCTTGTTCCTCTAGCTACAAAACACAAAGTCCTACGAGATGGACAGCCGGCAGTGTGCTGTGTCTTACCCCGCAAATGAAGCTTACAGAGGCTGATCATCTTTGAATCTGGGGACGATCTTGTCAATTGTAAACGCCCGACTGACGATGTGCCGCGAGGCGCAGCTCTGCAGTCATCGTCATTGTCTCAACAAATTCACAGGTTGTGGTTGTAAGACAGCTATGATACAGGATATACAGATGAACATCTCTCGGATGCAATGGTGTCTTCCGCGTGGGTCGATAAAATATGCATATGTGCGGCTTCGGATGCATGCAGTGGCAGAAAGATGGAAACTGGAGTAGGAAAGCTGAAATCTTACAAGAGAGACACACACTACACATTTCAGCCAAAATTTGGGGGTTAGCCTTGTCTGGACATGATGGACGGGGGTCAATTCTTGTCTCTTGTTTAGTGGCTTGAGAAAAAGAGACGGGAGGATCTTTGCCTGTTGATTTAAGCGCTTGGGTTCCATGGCATGGATCAACATCTTGCTCGTGAAGATTGGTTGGTCTACAACCTCGTCACGATGTCTCACTCTCTTTTCTCTGCTCGGTCGACCTCTCCGACTCATAAAATAAGCTAGCCACTTTGTACGCACATCGTCATTGCACGATGACGTAGGGGCAGTCGACATGGGGGAAGGAACTGCCTTAGCCTGTGACGCCAGGGTCTAAGGCAGTTAAATTAGCCTGATGAGCAAGAGCCGCAGGGCGAAAAGAAAAGAAATAAGAAAGACATAAGGCGGCGAAAAGAAAAAAGAAGGCGAATGTTGTCGCAATGATCAAAAGAGAAAAGAAAATAAACATACATACCAGCAGCAATGTCAATCACTCCAATTGAGATCGATTGATATCCAAACATATCGTACTGTAAAAAGTATATGTCTTTGCCTTTCATCTCCAACCAGTCAAAAGCCTAGAATTCATCACTCGCCCACCCATCGATTTTCTTGTGTTCCCCCCGCCCCTCACTCCCCCTTGTGTAGTAAAGCGAAAAAAATGTAACGCCAGGGAAAGGGTTGGTTGCCTTGTCTAGTAGCGTCGTGCCAAGACAGCGTGTAAGTCAAGCAAACCACCAATCGAACTGCCCACTTGGCCTGAGGCTCGGGGATAAAATAGCGTGTAAGTGGATTTCCTCTAACACGCACGGCAAGAGAGATGGGCTTGGGCTTGGGCATGGACTCTCGGATGACACCCCCATCCTCTGATTCACCCGCCCCCGAACTTCCGATCAACACCTCCGAGGGTCCTACCTTCTCTTGAGAGAAAAAAAGCTCCAAGGGGTGTGTCCTTGCCTCTTGTCTCCTTCTCCTTCGACTATTTATATTCCTCTCTTCCTCCCATCTTTTATCCTCTTGTTTTCCTCTCATCATCAACCACAAGCCTCAACTCCAAGAACTTCTTCAACTCACAACCAAACTACATCTTTAAGAACATCTTCAACTACTACACCAAATACCCAACATGCCTGCCTACGAGTACTGCTGCCAGTGTGGAGGCATGATTGTCATCAGCACCACCTGCACCGCTTGCGGTCACAAGCAGTGCAACAACTGCCCTCTGTGCTAAATGCCTTCACTGAGGAGTCTCTACGACGACGACAACTATCTCACTCCTTCTCTCACTGCTTCGACACCTGCTATGGATCAGACTAGAAGCTGCAACACCATGAGATGAGAGTCTGGAACACTCGCTCCAATGGGACACGACAACCTGGCGACTTTCAATGATGGCGCACCTACTTGCCTTCATCTTTCTCTACTTCTCTACCTTGACCCGGTCGTCACCTTCACTTCTTCGACTTGATTGATACCTTATTCCATCGGCAAAACTGGTTTTCTCAGGTCTTATTATTTTTGGTCTTCGGCGAAGGTTTCTCTCTGCTTGCGAGGCGCACAAAGGAAGAAATGACGTCGGTGGTCTTTTTCTGCAAGGGCGTTTTACTCTACTGTATCTTGCTTCTACGCTTTGGGACTTGTCTCGGGGGAAGGAAACGGAACGGAATGGGCTTTTTCAACTGTACAAATATCGATACCCGCAGTCTATTTTGGCGACTGCTTGAGAATTAGGGACAAGAACAATACCAAAGCTTTTTTTTTTCTTACAAATATCTTAAGCCAAAGTTTCTCAAAATTCCGAATAATCCACTTCTCGGCGTCTTTTCGCCCGGCGCTTTGATGGTCTTGTACTTGCTCGAGTAATTCATCTGTAAACGGATCTGTTGTTTTGGTGAGTGGGATTCAAACGCTCCAATCACATGCTCAAATTTTCAACCACATCGCTATTTCGCCACCCACTGAACCCTTGAAAAGACCCTTGTTTCAGAAGGGACAGACCCCCAAAAACCTGGACCGTGAGTTCTTGCCGGTCTCGTCCGAAAGACCAACCCGGAAACTCCCTCAATTACATAAAACCGCCAACCTCACGTCGGCCCTTTTACAAGCTGCAAAGCCCACTCATCGCCACGTAGCAGTGAAAAGAGAAGGAAAATAATTTTTCAACTGGGTTTTCGTAGGGCTGAGGGCTTAATAGCCTTGGTTTGATGTTGGGACGTGAACGGTGGTGGTGGGTATGCTCTTAGCCGCGTTCAACGACTTGAAAGGATATATCCAACACAAGTCTGTGTGTCTCGGGGATTTCCAAATACTCGGGAATGTACGTTTATCTGTCGATTCTATGTGCGTCTAGCTGGTTGTCCAAAGGAAACTTGAAAAAGAGACAAAGGCACGGGTTGGTACATTGTCGTCACTGTTCTTTGTTACGAGTAACATTTCTCTTCGCAGGATAATATCCAAGAACGTCTCTGACGTACATATCTTTCTAACCAGTCCATACCTTCGTAGTCGTAATAGAGGTAACCGCCATTCTTTGTATGTCCTGACCGTAATGCGAGTATGGGATAACCTCATCATTGAACCTGGCTGATGTTCTAATGGAAGTTCAGCGAATGATACTGCGCTGGGCGGACGTTGCAAAAGGGACTGAACAATAATATCACGTCTTTAATCCTCGGCACTGACGTTGAACGCGAATGTCATCTTTGGTATATAATAGTTTTGATGGCCAATGTGATCTCAATTGACATGGTATTTCCGTTACGCCTTTTGGCCGTCTGCTTCCAATCCTATACGTGCAAAAAACCAAACACCTCTTCCAAGCCTTTGAATGCATGCCCGCTTATTCCTTTCCATTCTGCTTCCAAACATTGCTTCCTTCCACGCCTGCCCTGTCGCCAGTTTCATGAATCAAAGGCCTGCTTGATTCTCTGACTAGCCGGGCTCTCAGTTGCGCCTGAATACTAGATCCCCGGTATCCCTCAAACACTCATGTAAGTCCCTCCCAAACCGAAACGCGCGGGTGACAAAAGTCTCAACCCTCGGAATACACATCAATGTCTAGACCCGCGGTCCAGCACTTTGCTGGGGCTGAGTCTTGGGATTAGGTTTTAAGGTGAAAAGACAACAAAATAAGGAAAGGGGCCGTGAGGTATCTTCGTCGTTAACCCATCGTTATGGGCGAAATATGAATTAATAGAATCGAAATGTTTTGAACGCGGTTTCTTTGTACCGCTAAATCATGCCACCGGGAAGCACGTTGCTGCTCGTGCTAGGAGGCATAGGCGGAGGAGCCATCGGTGGCGGAGGGTTTTGGAGCATCGATCTCGCTCGAGCGTTTACGTTAGCCTCACTAGTGGCTTTGCGTAATCGTTGGCGATATTGTCCTGCGCCTTCATCATCTTCACCTCGGAAGCCACGTTGTTCCATGGGGTTACCGGGGCTCATAGGTCGATGGTGGGTGTTCATGGTGGCATCACCGAGCGCAGCACCTGTGTTCTTGCGTCGGGGGTTGATAGGGGGTAGAGGAGGGGCAGTCATGTTGCTGTGAAGGTTGGGAGTAGAGACCGCACCACCGCTGAGAGCAGCCAGTCCAGGTCGAGGACCCATCTGCGAACCGAAAGGCTTCATCGAAGGTTCCGACATATCTCGGTTTCGCATCATGCCGCCTGGCATAGGAGGTCCGGGGCCATAAGGCCGTTGGGATCCCGGGCCATGGCTGGGGAAGCCGTTGGGGGATGGCGTCCCGTTAAGGGGTGAGATGGGCGATGGCTGGCCGAGATCATAACCATGAGCAGGGTGAATATGCAAGCTGTTCTCTGGGCGATTAAAACGTCCAGGAGAGGCGTTTCCGGGATACGGCTGCTGAGGAGGCATGTGCGGTGACCGTCGCATTTCCTGGCCAGGCGCCATGGGTGCTCTCATCATCGGGCCTTGTCGAGGTTTACCATTGACTCCAACTGGGGAGCCCAAGGGGGGTCCTTGGTATTCATCACGAGCGAAGGATCCATTTCTGAGACGAGGTGGTCGACTGCCTGAGCGTCCTCCGCTGCTTGCTTCAGAACCGCTTCGGTCACGCTCAGAGGGTGCCCTAGATCCTGAGCGGGAACCGGCACGAGAGCCGGCACGAGAGCCACCGTTGGCTCTGGATTCCTCGCTGGGAACACGGTTGTACGAGATTGGAGGGTAAGGTCGGCGCTCCTGAGATGGTGCTCGGGATGACGATCCGGTTTGAGCTCTCTCCCTGGTGGTTACAGGAGGATTCTGAGGACCCTGGCGACGTTGCTGAACCTCAAGCTCTTTCATTCTTTGGAGTTCCCTGCGGGCTTGACGGAAAGCCTTGAGACCGGCATGAGGAGCCTCCTTATCATCCGAGTTAGCATCGTTCAGTCCCTCGGGGGATTGTGTCATTCTGTCCGCCTCAAAGGTATCTCGAGGGGGGGAAACAGCTGAAGCTGGTGATGTGCCCCGAAGACCAAGGAGCTTCTTCGCCTTCGACTGACCGGCAGTCTCTCGACCTCTTTCGCCTAAGGAGCTGATGCTAGACTTGGACTTCAAAATACCCAGCGCGTTCGGGCGTGGGGGTGGTGGCAGTTCAGATAGAGGAGGGGTTTCTGGTGCAGTAGCGCCGCTGTCAGACTCGACGAATGAGGTCAATCTCTCCCTAACACGTCGCGCGCCGTCAGCGAGATGGCGAGCAAAATCGTCTGTCTCCTCTTCCTGCTCTGGCTGATGGGTCTGTTTCGGTTCCTGGACAGGCTCGGGTGCAGGCATAGCTTGCGATTCCATACGACCAGAAGAGAGGGTGGGACTAGTCACGCTGCCGTCGATTGACATAGCCAGGTCTCTCTCAATCGATTCCCATGCATTGGAGTCAAGGGATTTTGGCTCATACGCATGTGCGTCAGGTCGCTCGGGAGGGAAACGGGAGGACAAGTCAATATCGTTGGGCATGCTGCCATAAATTGATGAGGCGCCACTGTCTGATCGTAGATGCTGCCTGACCATGCCACTCAATCCTCCTGATGTTGGTCCTAAGGTGGGAGAGTCCTTGGGCATGTTGTCTGTCTTGACAGATGCCACGTCTCCAGGCCCATCACTAATTATCAGAGGCGTTGGCATAGCAGACCGTCTAAAAGCTGGGTGTTGCACATCCGCTGGCCTCTCAACAGTGACTTGAGGGGTAGTGGCGGAAAGATCGGGGCTGCGGACCGACTCATCATCGTCGTCGTGGAAGAAGGTCGAAGTCTGAGACTCTTCATGAACTGTAGGCTCGGTCTGGAAATCGCTCTTCTCCACATGTGAACGGTGGGTAGAGGGAGAACGAGAACGAGAGCCCGACAAAGAAGGGTTGGAATCGTTACGGAACCGCTGGGTGGGGGTTTCCCGGCCTTGCTGCATTTGCACTTGCCGTTGAGCAAATCTTGACTCATCATATTGACTGTTGTTTCTGCTGAGCATGATGCTTCGGTCGAGGGGCTGAATCTCTCCGGTTTCACTGATAGGGGGGCTGAGAGGGGGTGTGGCACCAAAGGCCTTCTGGTCCATATTGGGGAACTTGTTCACAGAATCCGCGGGACTCATCTGAGATGAGGATGGAGGGCTGAACGATCGTAGGTTAGGAGCACTAGCCTTCGCCAACACTGAACGAGTCATGAAACGATCACCAAATGTTGCGCTTGAAGGAGATGGCACGAGAGGAGTAAGATCTGGTGTTCTGCTTCCAAGAGTCCGCTTCGATAGGGTGTCGATTCTTGAGAGTGCCGACGTTTGTTGGTCTTGTAGATCTTGATTCAGACTTTGCTCATACAATCGACGGGTTCGAGTCACGGTTCTTTCCACTGGAGGTGTCGGACTCGCAGTACGGAATGTGTTGGCGAAAGACTCTCGGTCCTTCTGAGAAGAGCTGATAGAAGTAGCAGCTGTGGAGTCCCGAGCTGCAGACGGGCCGGAGGAAGTCGTTGAGTTGGTCTCCCTCTTACGGTCGTAATCTGTCTGAGAGGGAGACTCGGGCCTTCCTGCCTCAGACTCAATCGACTCGCTTTGTTGCAGATCTAACGACTGACGATCCTTCTCAGATTGTCGCCATTTTTGGAAAGCTGACTGGGCCACATCGTCGCCATAGAGAACACGGCCACTCATAGCCCCCTTGTTTCCTCCAGTGCCGATTTTGTACACCTTTTGTCGGCCTCCGAACAGATTGTTTCCTTCAATTGGTTTTGAGCGGCCCATGACACTCCCGTTTATTGAGGAAGCGTCGTCGTTTGATGCCACGGATTCGCGCGCAAATGGAGCTCTCACTGATTCAACCTCAGCAATGTCTCCCAGTCCAGCAGCAAAGCCAAAGTCCATCATCCTCGATTGCCTATTGGGAAACAGAACGCTATCGTCACTGGCTTTGCCAAGCTTTGTGTTGGGATCATCTTGCTCTCGGAGCATAGAGAATCGCGCTGAAAGGTTAGTCATAAGAAGACTTGTTCGAAAATCGTCGGTTGAGGGAAGAGCTGTTGTAAGATCGAGTTCTTTCTTGGGCTCCTCTTCAGGAGCCTTCTTCTTGCCGAACATCCTGAAGGGGCTTGAAGATTCGGACTCAATCGAGGGCCGAGGAGCCTCAACCTCATCCTTGCTCTTCTTCTTGTTTCTGAACCGATTCATGGTGAATGATAAGATCCGAGGATGAAACGTTATTTTGCCTCGGTCGTATGATATCGCAGAAATATGTGTTGCGGAAGCTTTAATTCATCACAGGAGATAGATTCGTCGAAGTCGAATTAGACTAGTAAATGCACCAATCCTGCTTCGAACACTGTTTCAATTAGCTTGCTGACTTATTTCATAGGACGAATTCGAGAAAATGAGAATTTTGTAGAGCAAGTGGTACTTGATTTTGATCAAGAAATGTGGTGATGAGTTTGGGTCGAAATTGGTATATGGGCAGTATGGAACAGCTCATCCAAAGACAAGCATGGGACAATTTCGTACCTGCTCGAATTCTAAGCTAATAAAAGCCTATGTTGAACCAGAAGTCTGGATGTAATTTCGAAATCTTGGATGTACGTTGATTCGATGGTCGCGAGGCACGGGAGGCCAGTATTATTCGCACTCGACGATTTCGAACAGAGGGTGTTGTCGCTGGATCTGTCGTCGATCGATATCTTCGTGGAGTAGTCTATTTGTGCGATGTGAAAGTTTGTTGCGGACCGAAGACGGGCGACTGCAGGCGAGGGTCTCTTGTAAGAGAGATGAGGAAAAGCAGGTAACCGAGTGGTGACTAAACGAGAACAGATGGAGTCCAGAAATGGAAACGAACGAGGCAAGTTTGGCAGATAAAGGAGTCTGTCTCAAACTTGAGGAGAAGAATGAACAAAGCAAGTCGAGCGAGTTTTCCGCTAAATGCTCGACGTTGTGGTGAGTCTAGTAGGCCCTGTTCGGTTTGGTCTGGTCTGGTCTGCGGATCTTAAGGGAGGACGCAGTCACCGGGTGCAAAGTCCGAGAGGAGGGATTATCAAATGTGACTTTGGTCGGCAGTTTGATTTGATGTTTAATCCGGGGTACGACTGGATCAACACGCGAGACTCGACTTGACTCGACTCGGCTCGGGTAACGATTGATTTGAAGTAGTGAAAAGTAACGAAAGGACGAAAAAGAATGAGTGAATGAGGTTGGTGAATGGTCGAACAACGGGAGAAAAGACCGTTTAGGGACGAGTTGTTTGAGCCAATGGAACCAACAAACAGGCAAGCACTGAAGTTTTTCTTCTTTAAGGTAGCAGGCAAGATGAGAAATTGGTGACCACGATGAAGGGGGGATTAGATTGACAGGGCGCCCCAGTGCAAAAACGAAGGAAGGAAGGGATGAGAGAGGTGGGGTGTGCCAGGAACAAGGGGGAAAGAGGGTGTGGGGACAGGAGCGGCTAGTCGTAAAGGGGAAAGGTAGTGGGAGATACAACAGGCGATATGGCAGGTTCGCATCAGGCTCGCTGCATGAGCGTGTTAATTCATACAATATGTTCTTTTCATGTCATGATGCATTACAAAATGCATCAACCGCATGGTATCTATCTGGTGAAAATCAAAGCGGAGAGACAATACAGAATGATACAGAAGTAGAGCTTCTGTGTATTGTTGCCCTCAATGAAACGATAGATCATGGTAACCAGGATACCTTAAGCTCAGTGAGATGGTGTTAATGGGCCCCGTGCAGTGGTAGGCAAGAGGTACATATGCAAACGCGAGTACGCAGCAGAAAACAGGACGAACAGTCCATCTGTTGGGTACCAGCTGCACAGGGGACGGAACATGCAAGCACCAAAAAGGGGTGTCACTAGAGAATGTAGGGGGTGGGAGCCTACCGTCTCCGACATGGTGCGGCAAGGGAGGAAAGAACCAACAAGCAGCGCGGTCCTCGTTGCAACTGTCAAGGTCCTGTAAACTGGAGGCTTCCAAGCTCTCGACCATTTCTTAACAGGGCTTCCAGCGTTGTTTGGTGGACTGCCGTGGCTCCCAGGTCCCAGAACAGTGGGAGAGGATTCCCTCGGACCTCCACTAATGAATGATTTTCAACATGGAAGGAGCCCGACCGGGCCCAACAGATCGTGGACCTCACCCACTTCCACAATTAATGTGCCTACTGCAAGGCGCTGGAATTCTTCATGATTTGTTTAACAAGGCAGACATGCATATCGGCTATGTCACCTTGACTTCATACGATTCAGAACACCCCGGAGTAAACAATCAGCTCGGACAGGTGTCTCCTTTTTTACGCGTCAACGATCAGGAGAACAAGAATCCATCCTTGACCGTGGAATGAGCAGCCAAAGAAGCGTCGCAGACATGATATCGTACTATAGCACATTCACCAGCTCCTCGTGTGATGAGCACAAGGTACAACGCCTGTCCGACGTACCAATTTAACATATCCCAGGTCACCGTCCGAAGCCCGCCACAAACCATATGCGTGTCGCACCGCAAACGCCAAGTCTCTCCCGTCTTACATACCCGTCTGCCACAGCTTCTGGCCAGTTTTGAAGGCACCTCAAGGGACGGAACTACGGAGAAAGCCCAGACGCCCAGTCGTATCTAGAAAATATTCTGTCTGCTGCTTGAACTCTAGTACAAAAAGACAAGGTTTGTAGAGATGCCTCTGACGTTTACAAAACCAGGATTCGTCGCAAATACCCAAGTGCAACCCTATCATGCTTCAAAAAGCGACGCAGAGTCTTCTATTGGCTGTGTTATCCGACACTTCACACAAAGAAGCAATGTTATCAGCCCTTCGATGTCGCCCAGCTGCCATGCTTGGCTCAACAGCAATCAGGGGCCAGTGGCTCACATTTCCAGGCGGGCGGCTTTGGGGCTTGAAACCTTCTCCACTCAGACGAGAACAGCCGTTGCAGAAGCTACTGCAAGGAACGGTGTTTGGTCACATTGTCGTCTCATGCCATCCGTTCCCTAGCGTACTGACGGGTACAACGCTTAGACTCCGTCAAGACTCTAAACTCATTTCGAGTGGGGGATACAGACGGTGCGAACTCAAAAAACAAGTCAAGAAAAGATCCCCTGACAAGCAGGAATTAGGCTTCGATGAACTGCAGCCGTTTTTGAGGTCTAGCGGACTATCATAAGGGTACAAAATATTACCGCGATGCTTGTGAACATTGCTTCTGCTTCGGAGGCTACAACGCTCTTCACGACGCTCGTTGCATTCAGCTTTGCAACAGACGTTGATTCTCTTGCATTGCATTTCTCGTATTGTGAGCCCATCTGCCTATCCAGCAGGGTTTTGTGGTATCAAATGAAATGCAGATGGCAGCGTTGCAGTCAGTGTCCACTTATCTGTCAGCACTTGTTCAAAGATCCTCCTACCGTCCGCAATATACAACGATCATACATATGTATGTCAGGACCCATGCACTTATTCCTAGATGAGCGTCGACTCTAAAGTCAATGCTACACTCAGGTAGGTGGTTCGTTGATGGCAGTAGGTGGTGGTTGTTAATTGATTTCAGACAAAAGGAAATATCGCCACAGGGCCCCCTGAGTTAACAGTTACATGGCCGGGAACTAAGATTCCCGTTCTACAACTTTGACGATAGGCCGTTACATTGGCCTAGATTCCTATGAATACAACTACAGATTATTGACCTGGTCCCTGCTCTGGCTGCTTACTTCAAGATCAACTGGCTCTTCGACGAATCAGGTCTGAACGACCAATACCTTCTTTCCTTTGCCTCAAACATCTCCGACTAGTGTCCAGATCTGCAGTCTTCTTCTGGTTTTGCTTCAGCTTGTCTTGGATTATGTTTGAAGACAAAAAAGAAATATAGCCCACTGTACGTTTGATCGGGTAGTATCGCCATTTGCACCTGGACCTGGCTCCCTTTTTCGAGATCGCCTCAGAGGTGCAATCAACCTTGCTCGCCGGGACATGGCTTACCAGATCATTAATGATCCAAAGATCCGCATTGACAAGAGATGAAGGCGCTCCACTCCCGGGCTTGAAGAATTATCATCTCACTCAGCACAGCAAAGCCGCACAGATCGTATGGAGGAAATGGTTCTCAAGGGTTCAATTTCTCTAAGACATTCTTCGTCCCCAAGCGCCTTGCCGCTGTTCTGACGCATATTATTACAAAGTGGCTTCAGTACGCAGAAATAGCTTGCGGTCAGGAAATTTGCCGCTGCTCGAGTCTGCAATTGATGTTTCAATGCTTTTGTTCATTTCCGGATGACTATGGAATTATCAATCCTCATGCCTTGGCTTTCCTATCTATTTGCTACAGGAACGCAAATACTTTCCATTGTTGGATCCCCGGAAAGTCTACAATCCAGGCTCCATCCTTGGGTATCTTTCAGAAGGCGCTCCTCTGCGGCCAGCGCTCGCTGACTCCGACATGTCAGACGTACCCCTATCAGCTCAAGCTCCCTTGGTCGGCGGCAACGGTGAGCTTTCCGCGAGCCAATAGGAGGTCTGTGCCTGAAGCTAGCCCTTTCGCGACTTTAGTCTCCAATCTTGACTGCAACTCTCAAGGGTGTGTGTTATCCCCTGGTGCCTGCGTCTGCACACATGGATTTTACCTCTTGTTGGAAAGGTGACATCGTCCAAATCGGATCTACCAACCTTCATCTGCAAACTCACACGACGATGCTAACACGCGGAGAATCTTCCTCCTTCTCGTCATCGACAACCATCAGCAGTGACCAGCATATCCCTTCCAATATACCAACCTATCAGTTTCGCTCGCTCACATGGTCGACATTTAACTCGCACAGAGCTGTTTACACTAGCGACCCCTCAATATTTGTTCACAAAACACTGGGAGCTAGTTCAGGCCGTTTACGCGCTACACACATTCGACGAGATGTCTCCATTTTCTATCCACAAAAGAGACCAGATTTTTCACGAGAACGAACGTTCAGGCACGAGAGATAACTCAGCTTGGCTTAGGCGATCCTAATTCACTAGCCGTCGGCTCTTTTCTCTGGTTGATCATAACTAAGAAGAGGATAGAGCTGACACCCCGGTTTCTCACCCAACTCGCTGGGACCGGCTCGCCTCGCCAACAACCGACATGATGACATTCAATCTTCGAGCCCTATCAGTCTAGACGCCTTGTTCACAGCCTTGCTCGCTGCTACCGTGTTGTCGTGATCTTACCAATGCCTATCCGTACGGGCGCTTTGATTACTGATGCATCTTCATTGCATTCCGTCTTGCGGTGGTAGCGGTGATCCTATTTATCCCAGCATGAGTCCAGTGTGGTGGTTATGGAATGGTCTTGGAACTTTCCACGCAATATGCATATCCCAGCATATGTCTAGGCTGACTTACTGTCATATATTACCACGCACAGCGTAGGTTATTCGTCATTATTCCGTTTTTCTACCATCCAATTTCTTTTATGAAATGGACGCGAGCCTACCGACTTCTCTCCGCCACACCGGAGACCGTCTATTACTGAAACACAGCATACCCATTACCCTCGTATCTCCTCCTCCGACACTTCAATTTCTCACTGAGGGCCTTTGTTCAGTCATCTGCGTCATCTTCAATGGTTCTTTCATCTCTTCGGTCCCGACCCCAGTCTAGGATCCCAGGTCTCTTTCCCCCGGCCCCTGCTCACACTAACAGTAATACCAGGGGACCATAATCTCCGCATAACAGCAAACATCAATCCATTTAACCATCGCGATGCAGTTCCATTCATGGTTAGGCCGACACGTGGTAATGAATTCTCTTCAATTCCGGTCCACACCTTGACCTCGGATCGGGTCTTGACGACTCCGTCAATCGCTCAGAAAGTTAAACGTTCCGTTTAATAATTTCCAAGACAGTCCACTCACGCGGGGTTGGTGGGTGACAGAAGCAAATATTCCGATGAAGGTTTGGGATAGGAACCTGGACTGTTTCAACACGCGACACAAGGCAAAGTAAAGTTAGCAAGACGATACACGAATTCGGGTTTCGGTCCGACGCCCTATTGTTGGTTTCGGAACAAAGAGCACCGCGGGTCTCTCTGTTCACGATTTCTCCAAGACTCGACTGGGTAGATAAGGTTGTATTGTATTGCCGGCGGCACCGTGGAACTGCTCACTGCTACCTCGCAAAGTTGCAGAGATTCAAATTTGAATCTGCATAGGAACGGCAACTCTGGCCAGCAAGTGCTCCAAGGGTCCAGCTGTCAAATCTCTGTCACCCGATGATCGTAGCCGAGATCGCCGGCAGCTGCGTCTTTCCACGCCTACGGTCGGGCAACTATGACCACCGGCACTGTCGCAACGGCGAATCTAACAGAGATCGGCATATGGCAAGACTGCCGATGCGCTGGCTGAGGATACTGCTGAGGAGCCACCCGAGGCATTACATATGATCATCTTACACATATCCATCAGAGGAAACATCCAAACGTTTTACTCAACATTCGTTTCTCGACCCATTACCCGGTAAAGCACATGATGTCAAGATACTCTCGGTACACGGACCCATCATCAGAAATGGTTGCGGTTACCCCAGCGCGGACTTTTGGCGGAGTCCAACTTCACCTGACTAGCCAGGCAAACTCCCGAGAGACCTTAAGTGAGGCGAACGGCAGTCTTGTTCATACACTTCTAGCAATCTGTCCACAAGTAGTAAGTCTACGGTACGACTTTCTTACCATCATCATTCCGTGATTAAAGGATGGATCCTGTGGTAAGCGAAGGCACCAAGCATCGTATCTGACCCAAAGACGGGATGACCTTGCCGGTCCAAAGATCATTTGGTAATCGTACTGGGTGCCCTTGGTATTCTGTAACAGTGGTGATATCATTCGTATTCTTCTATAAATCATCTATAACCTTTCCGAATAGAACAGCCATTGACGCCTTTACCCATGTAACCGCTATCGCTTAAAAACACTGGAACTGGAGAACAACTCTTGGGCGAACCCTCATCGTTGGGCGCCACTATCCTGAATTATCTCGAGCGTCAAGTATACTTGACTCGCAAAAATCTGAGAGACGAGATACATCGTTGGCTCATATCGTCCTAGATGAATTCTTGAGCCACGTATCTTTCGCACCCTAAAACTTGAATGTTTCACGCACCCGGTAGGAAGCGAAGCTCTCGAAAAGAACCGCCTTGAGGTTCTTGGTAGACTCTCAGCGGTACTATTAAGGCAAGTCTTGGTCTTGATTCTTCTCGCTGAACTCCCGTCTCTTGCGGAAAGCGTAGCCGGGGTGGCCGGCGTTAAGAAGAAGAACAGCAATGCACATCATACTATGAAAAGTCAGCAATGTGCCTTTCACACAACAGTGATACAACTTACCAAGATTCAAGAGCGATATAAAGATCCTCATCTCGGAACAGAGCACTAAAGTACCCTTGTCCAAGCTCAGCAATACGATAACCGCATCGAATAAGAATAAATATCGTTGAAGCAAACAGGAAGGTAAGGAACGTCACGATCGGCTTATCGAGACGGTTTCGCGAGGACGACTTCGAGGCCTTGATAACGTAGTCGATGAACAAGGCGCAGAAGCAGATTAGGGTGACGACTTGGAAGATCAGGCCGGCTAGCGAGATGTCTTCGCCGGTCTTGACATCTTTATGGGTTGAGGCGACGCAGGAGAGGGCGCCGCCGACAGCTTGGAGGATGAGGGAGATTATATCGGAGGGGATGAAGATCCAGTAGAAGTACTGAGGTGGGAAGCGAGAGATGCTTGAGTCGACGTGGTTGATACTGGTAAGTGTTAGTTGATTCCTAGGCAACTGGTGTGACTAGTTGACTTACACCTGGGATAACAAGACATAAATGGCCGCAGAGAAGAAGACTGGCGCAACGGTAATACAAACTATCAAAGTCAGTAAATCCTCCCTTCCATCTAACCAGCGAGCACATACTAATCTGCATCAAAAAGCCATTAAAGTCAAAAGGATTATCATGGATAATAAAACGTCCAACGTATCCGATAATCTCGAGTATACACCCCGCGATCATGCTCGCCATGAACCCCCATGTCCGCATCCGAATGCCCTGGAAGGCATGGGTAATTAATGATAAGCCGAAAACGCCTGCGAAGACTGCGTTGGCGGGGATGCTGGGTTGATATCGTAGAATGCTCGCTTCGAGGGGACATGTGTCGAGTGTGCAGTTGGCGTCGGGGCCGAATGAGATGAGCCCGTTGGGCAGCCTTGACATACTCATTTTGGTGTTCGTTTATGGTAAGGCAGATGATGAAGAATTTTCCTAGATGGTCACGGTATTGTATGCTTGTGAGTCAATTCTTTGTGCTCAATATTCGGTGTCGTTAATAGTTCTTGTCTTGCGTACTATATCATACATTCTCCTCAATGCAACGGCCCTCCCAACCCTTTTAAAGAGCCACAGTTTCAAGTTTTCAAGATCTGAAAACCCCCCGTCGGCCCAAAGATCATCAATCCGGCTCCGCGGACAGTCACACATAGTTACGTCGTCACTCTACAGGTCTTGTTTCCAATGCAGTGGATACCAAGATTTCAGCTGCGGTGTGGGTCGGTGACTCCGTTGCATCCGGGCTCGGGCGTCCGCGGGCGGCGGCAGTATGAGGCTGAGTTTAAGTTTCTATATATGGTATGATTGGAAGATCTGATAATGACAGGCGTATGAGCTGAGGGATGGTAGTCTTTGAGGAGGTCGGTATGTGGGAGGATTAGGGGTACCGGTGGTTGGAATACTTTCGGCAGTTTTCGAGGTTGGTGAGTACTGGAGTGGTGATATGATATTTGGAAGTAACGTCTGATGGCATTCGTATCAATTCGACAAATTACCGACTCATACATAGTAGTTATTTGTTACAGTCTGTCACCTAAGTATACCTTGATGTAACTCGGCCGAAGCGAACGATCCCGTCGAGCCCATCCCGGCCAAATGGTACCTTTATTTTAGACTTATTTCACGATGCCAAAGCTCAGATACTCCCGGACCCGAACTCAATCGAGTCGTTCGTATCATTAGTGTGGCTGCGGCTGGCTTTAAAATGCTTCTCGGGGATAAAACTATCCGACTACTGTAGGGTATTCCTCGCGGCTTCAAGAAATGAAAGCTGCAATCATTCATGATGAAGAATATCTACTTCTGCGATATTATCAGATCCATTTTCACTATAGATTCAAGAGAAACTTGATGAGGTTTGCTATTCTCCGCTATCTTGAAGTCAATTGTCGGGCTCGGCCAAGACGGCGCTGAGTCTTGGCCCGGAACGGAGCCGGAGTTGAAGAATATTTTCGGGCTCCGGACCAACCACATTAGAAACCACAGACCCGATATCTCGGTCGATATTATATACAATCTCGTTTTATTTGTAAATTGCTTATTCTCGTGTCTTTATTAATAAACGCACATTCCCCTTGCCAAGATGTCTTGGTTGAATCAGTTAACCGAGCGCGGAAATGTCATTGCTTAATCGTAAGCGCGGTTATATATTTCACCCGTCTTTGCGAACATGGAAGCTCCTTTCTGGTATATGAATATTGATGCCTACGTACTACTCTGTAGGCTACTGCTATTATCGTCCACAGACATGTAAACACTTGTCTTGAAGGTAGGGCTGACTAACTCAAGGCTTACAACCATGACGCAGAAGGCAATATACATTGAAGCGATATGAGCAATAAAATAACATGCTATCATGGTAATCTCGTCTCGACTCATCGACACTGGACTTGATCACGAGGCTCAAGATTCTCTGCAGGTGATCTCTCTAGCTATCTGTAGCACTCAGATCCAGTGGAGTCATCTATCCACTACCGTCACGCGAAAATAGCTGCCCCGCCCCCGCTTACCTGAGCTTCCGGCGCCCACTCTTCACCCGTTTTCAGCTCAGGCTCTCATCAGCTGCTACGTTATCATAGATTCCATTTCTTCAACAACACCTACCAATACTTTTCTTCTAACCTTCTTCTCCTTCGTCGGTGTTCTCTCTTCTTCCTCGGAAACCTAGCTTCTCCAGACGAACGAGGGTCATCTCCTCAAGACCTTCGCAGCCATGTTTGACCTTTTTCCTATGCTCTTATCGTAAGTTTTAAGCTTCGGCCTTATCACGCTTCGTCATGAGACGTCATTGCGCAACGACTCCCGATATCAATGGATCTGATTAATTGACTGTTTGTCTACAATAGTTCTGTCGCTTCATTTCTGTTTCCCATCTTTGCATCTTATAAAGCGCTCAACTCTCATGATCCCGCCCAGCTTACGCCATGGTTGATGTACTGGGTTGTCCTCAGCTGCTGTCTCCTTGCTGAGTCTTGGGTCTGGTTTATCATCTCATGGTGAGTACAAACATTCCACAAGAAGCGGTTACCTATACTTATGCGTGCTCAGGATTCCATTCTATGGTTATTTCCGTCTAATGTTCCTCCTCTACCTCATCCTCCCCCAAACCCAAGGCGCCAAGTTCCTGTACGAGGAATACGTACACCCCTACCTTGAGAAGAACGAGACGCAGATCGACGACTTCATCGCAAGCGCACATGAGCGCTTGACTGCTGCCGGAATATCTTACCTCAAGCTCGCCATCGAGCAGTTCAGAGTCAAGGTCCTGGGTCTGCCACCCTCCGAGCCCGAGTCGCCTCCTCCCGAGACAAACCAGGGTTACACACAGTCCCTTCTCTCACGATTCAACGTCCCCGGCTCGCGATGGGCCGCCAACAACAGCGGTAATGCCGGCACCGACTTTTACAGCCTGCTTTCCAGCGCTGTAGCTGCTGCTACCAGTGCAGGTGCTGCCACCGGTGGAAGTGGTCAATCAGCCGGTACCAGGACGATGGGCGGAGAACCTAGAAACCCCGAGGCATTGATCCCCCCGCATCTGCGCGAGTCTGGTGCAAGGATGGACTTTATCTCCACACAGCGCGACCGTTTGAATGTTCTTCTTTCCGCACTCGATCGCGAAGCACAAGATCTCCGCTCCGAAGCTTCGCGCGCTCAAGCAAACACAGGACCTCGCCGCGATCCCATGGCGTACGGAGGCTACGATAACAACGACGACGAAGAACCTACCCAGCGACCACCTAGTGGACTGAGCGGGTGGAGTGGTATCAGCAAGAGTCGCAGCGAGACCGATTTCGAGAGAATTGATGCTGATACTAGTTCGGATGAGGACCATCAGATGCGCAGGAGAAACATGGGTGCTGGTCAGAGGAACACATCAGGTTCGTGGGTTCCCTGGGGCTGGGGCGGTGATGCAGCACAGGGAGGCGCCAGCTCGACTGGAAGAGAAAGATAGGTACTTCGCTCTGGAAAGTGGGTTTTGCAGGAGTTTGGGTCTTGCTATTAGACATGGTATTTGCCTTTTGATATGGCCTCCAATGGAGGATCACGGTTCCAACCAATGGACATGCATATCTATAGACGAGAAGTTCGGTGTACATATCCCATGCTTCTCAAAACCCTGGTTCCCATCCATTTCCTGAATTTCTACAGCATCGCTCCATGCGCCCGTACCATATCTAGCTGGTACTTCCATCGTACATACATAACCATATCATACATGCCATATTTTACCGTCTATGCAAAAGTAAAGTGAGGGGAGTGTTTAGACAAGCTTGTAAGGGTACACTGCCTCAGCAAGACCCTTTTTGTACCAGAATGTCCTCTTCTTCTTGGTGGTCGCGTGCTCAACCCATCGCTCCTCCATGTAATTCTTTCTGAACCAGCGGATGAAGACAGGATCCCATAGCTCAGAGGCAATACCGAGATCCTTGCAGCAACGCATCAGGGCGTTGGACTTGGCACCCTCGATAGCAGCGGGGACACCTTCAGCGCTGAAAAAGTTGTTTTCACCCTGAGATTGAGATACCATGCTTTTACAAGTTAGTTACTGTTATTTCCAGTTCAGGAATCAGAACTTACCGGCCGTTAACAATAAGGGCATACTCTCGCGTGACAATGTTCTGTCCCACGACAACCTCTCCACGATGAACCATGCCCCATCCCATAGGTCCAAAAGCCTCGTTCAAGCGTCTTCGGTACTTCACCTCGGGCAGATAGATAATTCCATCGGGCTTAACCTCCACATCGTCCACGTCGACAGGTCTTGACAGAACCTCGCTCTGCTCAACGGTGACAGGCTTGACTCCGAGGCCGTAAAAGCTCGTCTCCCAATTAATATCATGTGTGCTATCAACGTCCGTCTCGCTAGATTCGCTCAACGTGTTCTTCGACGTAAAAACAGCCGTGTGAGGGTTCGCTAGCTTGCTGCTAGTCGCAGGTTTGGAAGGGAAAGTCGTTGTTTTAGGCGCAGGAGCAGCAGGCTTGGCAGCAGTAGAAGCTCTCACGGGCGCAGGTCTTGGCGTAGTAGCAGGTCTAGCAGCGGTCGTAGTGCGCGGTGTGTATTTGGGCTTTGTGATGACATCTTCCTGGTTCACTTGCGTGGGGTCCTGGGAAGGGTTTTGCAGGGTAACGTCTGACTCGGCGGAGAAGAATCGAGCGATCGAACGGTTGCATTGAGAAGGGATTTGCCTTCTAGCAGCGAATAATGATCTTCGAGGCACAAACATTGTGAATATGTGGTGTTGTGAAGGTTTTTGGTGGCTTGGAGACAGAAGCTTGCATGAAGCTCTGGCGATAATTTGAGATATGACGGGTGGATAGATTGTCCGGTGGAGACAAAGACAGTGTGGAGACAGTGTTGAGGAGTCATGATGCCTTCATTATTGACGATTTGAGAGGTAAGATAGTCTAATGTGTTTGTTGTACATTTTTATACAGTGTTGATACATCTTCCGTCTATAGTTACATTCCATTCAGCCTCTTAGTTGTCTTTGGTCGCTGTGCGCTCATCGTTGTTGTGAGATTTCCAGCACTGTTTGAATGCCTCCATCTACAATAACGTCAGTTAAGTCCATGACATCTAAACATTATTGCAAAGAGAGAACCGGTATAGGTAGAGTGAAATAAAATAATAGATTGATTGAGGAACTCACCTCTGCAGTGCATGCGCGCCAATCCTTCTTCTCAAAATAGCAATCCGTCATTTTGGCATTCTCATCTAAGTTGATGAGCGTTAGCAATTCCCCAACAAAACAGAGACACAACAAAGTCGGATAGTCACGGTCTCAAGTCAAAGACCTCTCATAAACCTCATCCATCTTCTCTTCTTCTCTCGTCTTTTTTGTGTTGATCAAACTCACCTGCGCATCCGGTGCTAAAAATCCGCTTGTCCCTACATCGGCGGTTAGAAAGGCCTCGGCTTTCGGGAAAAGAGTGACTTGTACTCACCACTCATCTGGCTCATCATCGTCTTCGGCTTGTGCGCTCCGTTGCGCATTGCTCTCGTCTTTGCTCATTTCTTGATCTGTTCACGAAAGACCGTGGTATTTGAGTCGGATTATCTTGTGTTGTTGGAAAGAGGTTAAAAGGTGGTTCGAGGGGCGGAGATTTGGTCAAGGCGACATCTTAGCAAAAGTCAAGTGACAACATTCATCCGATTGTATAACAACAATACCCAGGAAATCACTCAAAACTTCACCATGGCACCGGCTAGGCTGAATGTGCTTGTTTATACAGGTGGGATTTCTTACATTCTTTACGTGGAATACCCCTCACTGACTCTTTAAGGCCTTGGTACAACCGTTGAGTCAGTAAAGCATTGTATCTGGTCTCTTCGTCGTCTTCTCGGACCAAACTATGCTGTCATCCCAATCACCGAGAACATCGTCCTTAAGGAACCTTGGCAGGCGACATGTGCTCTACTGGTCTTCCCAGGTGGCGGTGATCTTGGCTACTGCCAGGCTCTGAATGGTGAGGGGAACCGCCGCATCAGCGACTATGTCCGTCGAGGCGGTTCGTACCTGGGTTTCTGCGCCGGTGGCTACTACGGAACTCAAAGGTGCGAATTCGAAGTCGGTAACAAACCTATGGAAGTCGTTGGACGAAGAGAGCTGGGTTTCTTCCCCGGAACGTGTCGAGGTGGTGCGTTCAAGGGTTTTGAATACAAGAGCGAGAAGGGAGCCAGAGCTGTGCGATTGACTGTGGCGAAGGACGCTTTTGAGCAAGAGGTTGCTTCTGAGATTACGTCTTACTACAACGGAGGTGGTGTTTTTGTGGATGCTGCTTCGGTCAAGGACAGAAATGTTGAGGTTCTGGCTACCTATGATGAGGAGATTGATGTTGATGGTGGAGATGGGAAAGCAGCGGTTGTTCTCTGCACCGTTGGTGATGGAAAGGCTTTGCTTACTGGGCCTCATCCTGAGTACAGAATACACTATGCCATCCATATACAGATTTACTGACATTGCATAGGTTCGCTGCAGCCAACTTGAATCCCCAGCCAAGTCTTCCCGGCTACGACGAACTCGTCAGCCAACTCGCAGCCGCCGACAAAGACCGAGCCACCTTCCTCAAAGGCTGTCTCACAAAGCTCGGTCTCGAAGTCAGCCCTCATGAAGCAGGAGTACCATCCCTATCTCGCCTTCACCTCTCCTCCATCTCCGACACAGGTGTATCTGAGTTACTAACCGACTGGAGCGACATCATCACCAAAGAAGATGGCGAGGAGTGGATCCGGGCAGAGACAGACAGTTTCCACATCCAGAACGAAGACACGATTTGGAGTCTGGAAGGTCTTCAGCAATCGCTACCTGATACGAATGAGTCCAGTATTTCTGAGAATGGCAGTATTGACTATAGCAAGATTACCAAGAAGATCGTTCCGCATGAGAAGGGTCTTCCTCATCCTAAGCTTACGCCGCATTTCAACCATGGTCTTTTCTTCTCGAGTTTGAAGCGTTATCGACAGATTGAGCCGACTGCGAGGAGCTGGGGTGATATGCTCATGTATGGCGAAGTCGTGACGAGCACAAACACTATGCTTGAGAAGTACGACAGCCCTTCAACTGCTGGAAACTTGGACCTAACAGATACCAGGAACCCAAAACTCATGCCCAAACTTCCCAGTGGTTTCACTGTATCGGCCACAACTCAAGTCGCTGGTCGAGGCCGTGGTTCAAACGTCTGGATTGCTCCTCCAGGCATGCTCATCTTCTCAACCGTCATCAACCACCCCGCTCATCTTGCCGTGTCCCGCCCTGTGGTATTCATCCAGTACATCACAGCTATTGCTATTGTTGAAGCAATCCAGTCTTATGATCGCGGCTACGAAAACGTTCCCGTCAAGCTAAAGTGGCCCAATGATATCTGTAAGTTGTCTTGCTAGCTGCAGTAGAGTAAAAGCTCACATATCTAGATGCTCTTGATCCTACCAAATCCCAAGAGAAACCTCACTACACTAAAGTCGGTGGTATTCTCTCCCAATGCCTTTACTTCGACGGAAACTACCAAATAATTCTCGGCGTGGGTGTAAACACCCTCAACTCCCGTCCCACAATGTCCATCTCCGACCTCGTAACCCCAGGAGCACCAGATCTCCATGTCGAAACCCTTCTAGCCCGCGTCCTCACTCGGATAGAGGCTATCTACGCACAGTTCCTTCGCGAAGGTTTCTCTAACGATCTTGAATCTCGATACTACCGCCATTGGCTGCATACGAGACAGGAGGTCAGTCTGGAGGCCGAGGGTGGTGTGAGGGCGCGTGTATTGGGAATTACAAAGGATTGGGGAATGTTGAAGGTTGAGGAGATAGATGCTACTGGAAGGGCGGTTGGTAAGACTTGGTCTTTGCAGAGTGATGAGAATAGCTTTGATTACTGGAAGGGACTAGTTAGGAGGAAGACGTAGGTCAAATGAACTGCATCTTCTAAGTAATATTAAACGCTCATATCAAATAAAGCTACGTAACTGCAAGAAATAGGACTCCGTATATCCACATGTATAAGATTGCCAGTATCGCACACTCATTGTCTTACATCATCCCATCCCTGAGGTACACACCCCGGATTAGTTTCCGCAAGCGGACAGTTATATGGTCCGTGATGGTGGTCGAAAGGTCCATTGTCAAGCCTGATGTTGATGTTATTCTGGTTTTCTCTAGAAGATGCATTTCTCCTGCCACGAACAACAAAAGCTATCAAAATCAGGATGATGATCATGAATGCAAAGACAGCACCGACTATGACACCTGCCCACTCGGCATTTGACGTAGATGGCTCTGGAATACTTGACTCGGTTGGCCATGACCACTCCGCCGAGCTTGTTGTGTCAGACCAGCTACTGCTTGTCGTATCTGAGCTACTGCTGGAGGGGTCATTGTGACTTGAGGCGCTGATGGTTGTAGCGTCAGGGCTTTCGGTGTTTTGGCTCAAAGTAGTACTTTGAACCGATCTGATACTTGAAGTCGAAGCAGAGCTTTGGCTTGTCTGCGTGATACTGGAGCTCTCTCCAGACTCGCTGGTAGTAGCGGTACCATCAATCTGAGTCCACCAAGGGCTATGCGGTAGGATGCTTATTGAAGGTACAACTGTGCTTTTTGTGGACTTGCTGGTAGTAGTATCAGTCGAAGCAGGGCTATTTGGTGGTAAAATGATTGTGAATATCTCCGCGTAAGTCGACCCAACCAGATCTCCTGTACGATGAGCAGTGTCTGCAGGGGCTCTCTCGATATACGTTAATTGTTGGCGTTCAAATGTCTGAGTCCTGCCGGACTCATCTCTGTAGACGGAAGTCCATGCAGGTACGGTGGCGGCAGGTTTCAAGCCTGGAGGAATGGTTTCGTAGAATTTGCCAGAGGTGTCGATGTATGAACGGGGCTTGTTCCTGTGTTGAGGTAGGGTTGTCGAGGAAGCATCATCTGGGGGGTCTTGTTGATGCTCCATTGTAAAAGGTAGAGACAGAAACTCCGTTAAAGTCGTCTTGAAGGAATCTAGTTACTGGAGGTTGTATGTATTAGATACGAGATGTTGTTCGGTTCAAGGGGCTTGTGTTGCTTGTACAAGAACACAAGGAACATAGTTGAGAATTTATAAACACCGAGAAAATCCAACTGCGATAATTAGCACTGACTGTTGGACATGCAAAGCTGCTCATCGTTGACTAGAGCGATTGCTGGTCATTGATTAATAGACGAGTGTTTGCGTTGAGATGAACTTAGCCGAATCACTACGCGATGGAAAGAGCTTCTTTCAACAGAAGTAGCCCTTTCTGTTCACAGTAGATAATTGACCTCATTCGCCTACAAGAAGCGATAACACTGAGTCGGTCGCCTTTTTGGCATCCTGTCCACCGTTATATATGCCACTGGCATAGCCTAATAGCAGCCCATAGAACAGTAAGGTGAACCTATCCACGCATCTTTGCAAGGCCCCTTGAATCATCTTAGTATAGTTGAAAAGTACTTAAAGTCCATATGGCTCCTCCCTTAGACCAAGATATCTAGATATAGATACCAAACTCGGTTCGCTACTAAGCACCACACGAGAACATATGATACCTCTACGGTTTCCGGTAGTCGAGTACATGTAGGCGAACTGACATTCTTACTCTGGCATTTTCTTACCTTTGTGTTAGGAACGAAACAAACCACCAGTCTCCAACCACGGCAACGCAGAATCCGATCCAGGCCAAGTTCGAGGATACGTACGGGATGCTAAAACAGCAAGAAACGGAATCTGACTCGGGCAACCCGGAGACTCACACCTACGTCTCATCGGAAACATCTAGCTACTCTGTTATCGGAGTGACTACGATAGAGAGTACCTTTGCGACTACGGTATTCCCAACCGAGACGTCTTCATCAAGTGAGTCTTCAACATTGGAATCTACGACCGAGATACCCCATACGGTCACTCTTGAACATACTTCAACAGTAACCGTCGATAAAATGACCACTGTCGCCACTGCATGGGTCAGCAGTCATGGCCCTGATATCGTCGTTCCAGGATCAACTGATATAATCACCTCAAGCTTACCAACTTCGACCGCTGCGCCATCTTCGAAGTCTCCTCTGAGCATCGTGGAGTTGGTCGGCGTCGTGATCGGTACAATATGTCTACTACTCATGATATGTCTCCCAATACTTTTTGTCTTGTGGCGACGTCGACGTTCTCCTCCGTCAGATAGCCGGAACAATATTAACATAAGAGTCAATAACAACGGCAGATCTCGATGGTCACATTCAGACAACTCTATGCCAACTCCACTACCAGTAACTGAGCCCATAGAACTTAATGAAATAAACACAGAGACAGTGAAGAGACCTCTCACTCGTGTTATGAGTCCACCACCGCATTACAGCGACTACTGGAAGGGAGAGAATGAAGATTATGAGGTGGGAGTCAGAGGCACTGGAGGTGAGCCCTCTGGATCACAGTATTACGAACCTCACTACAGTGATCCCAAGGGTAAGGGAAAGGCGCGTGACGATGGGTGTTGAGTGCTTGTAGTCAGCTGTGATAGCCCTACAGATTGGGTTTGGTTTGGTGGTGTTAACCTTTGACATATTCCCACGCGGTATCTCGCGATCAGATATAAGAAATATTTTATTTAGATCACATAGAAACATGACCCTTAAACTTAAAGAGCCTTCGCCTTACACTTTGTCTCATGACAGTGAAAAGAACCCCCAATTTAGGTAGTTATAGCGAAAAGTTCACACGCTTCATCGCACGGACATCCCTTGTCTCAACCATGATCGTCCGTCCGTGAAAGAGAGGAATACACGTCTTTCTGAGACGCTAATTGAATAAGAGCTGCAAGATCGCCTTAATGGCTTGTTACAGAATACCATGTCCCCATGCGTAGTCGTGTGACGTGACAAACACTCTCACGATGCAGCAAACAACTGACGCAAAACTCAACGAGCATGCATTCACCAAACCTTCATAAATATCACATTTCTTTTAAAAAGGTTGTTTGGAAGAATAGTCTCTGAGACAAATAATAAAATGGTTCTTCCCCCGGATTGAGACGTATGGTCGCAAACTTCACCTTCATCTTCCTCCCAGACATCTCAGCTTTTATCCAAGCTATCTTCACATCCTGACCCTGTTTAAAGATAACAGTTGGAAACCATGTTAAGAAATAGTCTCCTCGTGGCTGGCACAGCGCTGGCGACATCCTATCCTGTTATAGCGAGTTGCACAGATAGATTTGGATATGTTTCTAAAGCTGGTTGCGATGCGACGCCGTAAGTCACCCCGATTGAGATACTCATCATAAGTCCTTTACTAATATGTCTCACCCTTAGAGAATGGAATATGCCATACTTTCCAGAAGACGACTCAATAGCAGCAGATATCCTAGAAGATGACACGAGAGTAGCCGGTGTCCCAGGTCCCGAAACCATCGATACTCCTTCAAGAAGGGCAAAACCTGAGATCCCAGAGCCCAAGCCAGTTTTCCCTGATATTCCTGAATGGAGCGCTCGCTTTCTTGAATCTACATCTGCAACTACAACTACCATAACTACGACTGCCGACATTCCCACCGTTATCTTCCCATCTATTGTTCCACCGACTCAGACATCTGTACGTGTTCCGTCAGTCTTCATCACCAGGACAGCAGCGTCGCCGCAGTGGTCAACTCTACCAGACCCTGATGAAAACAGTTCTGCAACAGAATCAAGTCAGTCGACGACAATCTCACAGCCGCAGCCAACTACAACAGTTTCTGGTCCTCCAAAGGTAACTGCAACAGCGACACCTGAGCAGTCTCATTCTTGGATAGGCGCCACAGTAGGTGCCATCGTAGGAGGTCTGGCGTTCCTGATTCTCGCCTACTTCATCGTGTTCTACGCCTGCCGACGCTATCGAAAGAAGAAGGACGAAGATCCCGCGCCTCGACCAGAAATCGTCCATCCTTTCAGGAATGTGCAGGTCTCCCCTCCGAGACCTCAACGGCCTGCAGTTTCCGTATACACTGACCCCAGGACCGCTGTATATCGCAACCAAACGATCCCTGAGCAACAGGACATTACAGATGCCGTGGAAAGGGACCAAGCGACTCCTGTGCCCCAGGACCCTTGGGCTCCTGTCCAGCGAGACGCTATTTCACGTCAGAGCGTGTCGTACTTCAATACCGACAGTCCATCTCTCCGCGGAGATCGACGTAGTGCATGGGGAGAAGCATTCCGGGCGTGGATGAGAGTACCTGATCGGGCCTCTCGAAATAATGAAGACATGAGTGAGATTGGCCAGCCAGCGGGGACATACCCTGCTCTTATCAATAGCCCTGCGCCCCCCTCTGCTTATTCTGAGAGTCTATATAGTCAGAATGGGCCACCGGTGAGGCCACATAGCTCTCGCCCGCTTGGTGGTAACTGGATTTGATCTTGGTCGTTTGTCGCTGGAGTCTGGAGTTGGTATACCCATAATGGCTATTTGGTTCAGTGTTTTTCATGACTTGTCGCCACCCATCAGCGAAGTCCCTAATACAGATTATCAAACACACCTTATCCGACTTTCCGCTCATCTCATAAGTCTGATTCGTATAAAGTGAAATGCCCTCAAGTTATTCGTGTCCTGTGCAGTCCCAAGTAATTATTGCCCTCACTTGCAACAAATCGATAATCCCAAATACTCCGTTCAATATCGTACAGTTGTATTAAACATAAGATAGCATAGGTCGTCTGTTCTGTCTTTTTTCTTCGTCTAAGAACCAACCTCGAGCGGCTCATCACGCCGCCGATAACCCAATAAACGCCGTGCCATGCCGCAGTCGAGTGAAGATGTACATGTATACATGGAGAAACTCCCTCCCTCTCCAAAAACCCCTCCAAACTCCCATCAGGAGGCCCTGTTTCATAGTCCAAGGGCCAAATCGTACAAGTGCGGCGTGCCGCTTTTTGTTTTCCGCAGGACAATATTTCTCCTCCGCTAGATATCCAAGGAGATGTGACTAGTCCTTGTAGACCTTGGGCTTGAAACCCTCTTTGATCTCAGCCTCTTGCTCCATTTTCTCCCTTATAGGACCAATTTCTCGCTCGAATCTTTCCTTTGCTCTCACAATCTTGCTCTGGAGATAGAAACTGCCGCCCTTTTGGGGATCGTTGGCGTCGAACAGTCGCTTGTAGCGGGACAACACCTCCTCGACGTTGGCTTGTCCACCAGCCGGGGGCTTGACGTTGAGGATCTTGCATGCCTCATCGAGGGTCATGCCTGAGGAGAGAGAAGCTCCGCCGGAGGTGTTGCCAGCCTTGGCCTGGGCGCGCTGGTAGGCGGAAGCAGCTTGGGCCTGCTTGTAGGCGGCGACGAAGGATCGACCGAGGATTCGGGAGCCTGTCAAGAAGGCTGTGACGACGAACTTGTGCGCCTGGTTCCCAAAAGTGTTAGCAGGCCAATTTATCGAAGGCGGCGAATCGAGATATAAAAGTCATGGCGGGACCTGGTGTAAGCGCATACCATTGTGAAGTGATTATGGGGGAATTCGAATGTCGGAAGGGGAAAGGTGGAGATATCGCCCTAGGAAGCGACGTTGAAATAGCGTAGCGGCCCTCGTTTCGCAACGAGGAGGAAGATCGGATCGTGATGGCGTCTCGAGACTTTTTCCCCGGGTGCAAAGTTGGGTTTGCGGATCATTCCGAGGTCGGAATTTTGCACCCGCCGAACCACCGGCAGCCAAAGACCTTCCGGTGATTAGCCGGCCATGTTGAGGTGGGGGCCTTACCGTGGTTCACCGAGCTTCACCGAGAGAATGCCCCGCGATGGAGCTGGCAGAATGGATATAGCTGACCACAATGAAGACGTTAGTCAAAACAGTAGAAACAAGGGAGAAAATAGTTTGAGATTTTCTTCAAGTATCAGAGTACTTGGCAATATTTCCATACAGTGAATAAGTCTTCTTTATACACACATTTGGTCTGAGATCTTCATTTTGTAAGCAATTTCTGTCCTACCGGTAGTCTTATAGGGTAACTCACCAACAAGCAGAATAATCCAACTTAATCCCCTTTCAAACACCCCAGATACATAAAATGGCATCAACTCCCCAAGACGTAGCTGTCTTGATTCAGCGGGAAGGCAGTGGAGTTTCACCAGATGCCTACGACGCAAGCAACGAAGCTCAGGATGCTGTTACAAGAAGAACCAAACTATTATCACCAGTTCTTGAGGCTCTTAAGACGCAAGATGCTTCGACGTTAGAGGCTACAGCGAAGGCATTGGGTGATGGAAGCCGAGATGGTCAGTTACTCTCACAAGTGCTCTGGACATTGCTAACTTGGATGCAGTTGCTTGGAGACTACCCTATGGTGATTCAGGCATTCTCGAGTTCTTTCTTGATATCCTTGCATCTGAGGAACCTCAAAGTCACGGTGTGAAAGTTCAGGCTTTGCGTGTTACTGGAAACTCCTGTGCTGATACAGATGCAAACCGGGCTCGTGTTGTCGAAGGAAAGTACATCATTCCTTTCATCAACCATCTTCAGGATAAGAGCCTTGTTCCATACTTGATTCCCGTTCTCTACAATGTTCTTGTTGAGTATGGTAAGTAATCTCCCGGTTGGATGAAGCTCAGAACTGACATCCCTAGAACCTGCTCAACGTCTCGCATCGCAGTCAAGACTCAGCAGTCACCTTATTGCTCTTCTGCAATCACCCAACCTGTCCGACTACAGCCCTCTAGTCACCTACTTTTGCAAAATTCTGGCTCTTCTTATTACCCAAGATGGCGAGGCAGATCTCGCAGACCCGGACACAGTCTCTACTCTCCTTAAGCTGGCTACCAGTCCCGACCACAGCTCTGATATCGAGGACTTCATGGCCCTTGTGTCCACTGCAGCCAGCTACCTCGCCAATGAATCTTTCCAGGAGCGACTCGTGAAGTCAAAGCAGTTGGACGTCTTTGTCAAGGCCTTCTACATCGCACACACTCAATTCGATGCAGAGCTTGATGATGAGGAGACTGCCAAGGAGCTTGGACAGCTTTGTACTTCGCTACTGACGACGCTGGCAGATCTCACAGGCAGCGACTATTTCCCTGCTCTCTACGCCCTCGAGAGTTCTGTGCCCCAGTCTCTGATGAAGTGGTTGAAGGAACCTCATGTCATTCTTCAGTCAGCTGCTTGTCTAGCTCTTGGCAACCTCTCCCGTTCGGACCAGGCTTCTACTGCTTTCGTGCAGAAGCACCAGGCTCATGTTCCTCTCATGGCCATCCTCTCTGATAAGGAGATTACTGATGCCCAGCTCCTTCATTCGGCACTCTCATTCCTCAAGAACCTGGCGATTCCAGCACAGAACAAGCCATTGCTTGGAGATCTGCTAGAGCCTGAGAGTGTACCACGGATATTGAATATCGATACTCTTCCTCAAGTCCAGTTCTCGGCTGTGTCGCTAGTCCGCTTGCTTCTTGTCAACTCTCCCGACAACGTCCGTCGGGTAACAACACCCAGGACTGTAGAGGTTGAGGGATCTTCGAAGAAGCACACAACTGTGCACGATATTGTTTCCTTGTTTGAGCGCTCCGATACAGAGCCCACTAGGCTTGAGGCCGCACGTAGCGTTGCTACTGTATGCCGTGTGCTCCATACTGCACCAGTTGATGAGGTCCTCTCAGGATATAACTCTGAGAGCTCCGAGACACAGTCGAGAGACCTGTTCTATGCTGAGCATGATCTTTCCCAGATACTCTCCTTCCTGATCACCCAGGAGAAGTGGCCCATCCTCAAGTCTGAGGCATGGTTCGTCTTTGCTCTCCTATCACGATCCAAAGATGGCGCACAGGTTGTTGCCAAGGTATTCGACGTATCTGGAGCCATGGATGCCTTAAACTTTGCAGTCACTGGTAAAGCCAAATCAGACGATCAAGCACCCCAAATTGAGGCTGGCGAGCCAGAGGTTCCTCCAGCTATTCCCGAGGAACTTGCTCTGGAACCCCAACAGGTGGACCCCAAGCAGCAGGCCAACATGGCCAAGGTGGATAGAGAGAATTGCCTGGTATTGTGTACCGAGATTGTCAAGAATGGGGAAACTCTTGAATCAGCCCAGATGAGTCACCTGCAAAGTTTGATTAGACAAGGAACCGAATTGCTGGGGAAGAAGGTGGATGAGTAGATTTAAGCATAGATAGGATAAGCACAAAATGGCATTAGACATCACATCACATCACAGCAAGCATGAACCGAATTGAGATCATAACAAGTAACTTTTAACAAGCAGAGACACCATATGCACTTAATGCATCCATTGACCGAGTGGTATGACAGAACAAAGCCGGTGATCATGCAGTAAATTTCTTGAGCTGGACCTAGAGTATCCTTCCTCCAACCCAGGCCAGGCCTTTCATCAGAGCCTCGAACCGACGTTGCCCATGCCTCAGTGACATAAAGAGCAAAACCCTCAAACACCAGTTCCCTTTTTGCAAGTTTATTTCTTGGCCGTCTCGGCCTCGGCAGCATCGCGAATGCGCTTCTGGCGGGCACCCTCGTAACGGGCGTTGGCACGAGAGACACGGAGAGTTCGGTAAGCACCGGCCTCGATGTTCTTGGGCATGTCGCTCTTGGAGATCTCCTTGAAAGCGATGTCGGTGGGGGCGATAGGGAGGGCAGCGGAGATCTGAGAAACCTTCTCGATCTTGGAGACGTCGGTCTTGGTGTCACCCTTCTTGGGGGCGTTAGATCGGCGGGGAAGGAGGATCAGCTTCTCCTGGTAGGCCTTGAGGCGGGCGACATTGGCGGCAAGGGACTCCTCGGAAAGGTTCTGGCGGCGGAAGTCGACGGCAATACCGATGGTGGGAGCGAAAGCCTTGGGGATACCGGCCTCCTGCAAAGACAGTCAGATCTGATCGATTTCGGGTTTTTCGAGTCGTTTTAATTCGACTCAGATATCTTTCATACCTTGAGCTCAGCCAGGGTGAAACCACGGCCGGAGCGGACACGACGGTTGTACTTGATGGTAGGGCATCGGACAACGGGTCGGAGCTTGTCGACAGGTCGGGGAGCAAGGGCAGCGGCCTTGGCCTGACGAGCTGTGCGTCTTCTGCTCTTCTTACCGGGCTATTCCAATAGTCAATATTTGTGTGCCTTTGAAGAGTTTCCAGAAAATCGAATCATGATCGATCGTTCTTCTCGTTGGGAGTGTCGCCATACCTGGTCGAAGTGGGTTCGAACCCGGCGTTGCCAATCCTTGCGGAAATCTATTCGAGGAGTCAGTCCCTCGTGTTCTCTTCTATCACATCGTCCATCGTGGGTTTGGTGGTGACTAACGGTTGCTGACGAGCTTCTGGTTGTATCGGATCGTCTGTAGAAATTCGAGTCAGCGAATGCTGGCAAATACGATGGCGATAATCATCTCATCGCATCGCAATGGGCGCGTATATCCATACCATTTTGTCGGCTTACCGTGCTCCGATTGTCGTTGTCGGGTCGTGAGGCGTGGAAATTTCGAAGAGTCGAGGCTTGTCAAATTCCATAGAAGGGTTTTCGTGCCCTACGCTGCAAAAATCTGGTGGGGTCTAGCGAGCTTAGCGGCAACTGCGGGTCACGTGCTGTGGGCTTTTTGTGCTGATTGCACCTTCTCAAAATTTCAAATTTCATGAGCGGGAAAATGTTGGAGCGGAAGCCGTCAGACCTGCAGGGTCTAGGTAGACTAGAACTGTGGAGACGTCATTGAAGGAGATGGCGCCGCTTCCAGTTGCTGTCAGGCAAGGGCTTCAATTGAAGGTAATAGTATGTCTGAGGGATATTCGTATTGGATTGAATGCCCAAAAGCAGACCGATGGAATTATCCTTGCGGGAGGTCTATGGATTCAAGAAGCTCAATCCTCTATTCTTTTGTTGACTTTGACTCTCCCAAACCTTACGGTTCGAAAGTGTATATCCACCAAAATGGATGTTGTCTTACAAGTACTGATTGACCTTCGCGCAGGCATGTCTGTCTGATTACCAAGTCGTCATCAAGAAATTGTCGTTATATCCTCTCATTATGGGAAGAAATATCCAGAGGAATCATTGCTCTTTTGTCTTTCGACTCATCAAACCAATGCAGAGCTTAATTGTCTTTATATGGGAGGTACCGTAATTGGCATGCTTCTAACAACCTAAGTCACTGGCTGTTTTCATAGCTGATTGAGCACATAGCGAAGTAACCAACCCAGTCGAGGCGAAACCTTCTGATAATGAATGTGCGCAGTAGTAAAAGGAGCGGGCTTGCAGGCTTTGCAAGAGAAATCATGATGGGCCAAGGGCGGTTTGAACTAGAGCCTCACTGGTTATACAAGACGATGGTTGTCGAACGTGTAAGTGATACGAAGAACCTCACCATCAAACCACGTTCTCTAGGCACATACAGAAGACGAGATCTCCCTTCTTCCGCAGGGCGATATTAAGACTGGAATGCAATGAAGCAAACCCATTCGAGAGCTAATTTCTACTCTTGAGAACAAATGCGCATGAAGGGAAAGAGTCTGGTGGTGGCTCTGGTCACCATGGTTTGGTTCAGGGCAACTTGGGACGTATGGTGATGCGAGCATCGACCCAAAACAGGCAATGTGTGAATTGAGGTAGTTGAATATATGCCGAGTATGAACAACATAATTTAATCAGTGACACTTCTTCTTAAACATTTTCAGCAAACTTCCAATTATTCATGACAGTGGAGGTGTAGGTTATCACACACGATGGACAATAGGCTGTGTCGCACCATCAAGTCCTTCTCCAACCACAGTTGTTAGTGGTCGTGACGCTAGCAAAAGTCTCCTCTTTAACACAAACCTTTAAAGCTTGTTTCCTTTGTTGAAGACAATCACTGCAGAATAAACACATTTTATGGAAAGAGCGTTTCAGTGATACTTTGACACTTGCGCAGGTGCACAATTCCAGGCAACCGCGCAAGTGGTCCTTCCGCAGGCAGCAATCTCCCAGCCCCTGCGCGCGCCTCAGGTTCAAGGCATCAAGGCGGGCTCCAGAAATCTATAAAGCCCGCCTTTCCTCGCCCGCTTTTGATTTCGATTTCCTTTTCTCTTCATACTTACCTTGTTCCGAGGAAGCCAGATCAAGAATTGGTTTCCTCAGTATGGAAGGCCTGCATTGCACATCGCGGAGTCGTTTCCATACTCCATTGCTCTTCGGGGCCATGGGGGGCGTAATTTTTGATTTCTTCCATGACTTTTCATTGTGTAGGGGGCTTGATGCCGTCTCATGAAGAAGAGTTCCAGCGTAACCGTGATGCTGCTGTGAATAAAGTGCTGTCTGAATGCCGCTCTACATGCCAAATTTCTCTACATATTATGCACCACCAGTATCTGTATCGCGCTGTCAATCGAAGCTTGGGCACCGTACATAGACACGGTTGATGCTGTTGATCATAGGTGGAAGCCAAGGTCATGATGCCTGTTTGGAGGTTTGGTGCAAATTAGCTTGTCCCTTCGCCTATCGCCTCCGCGAGCCCCAATTAATCCTCCATCTTGAACTTTTCTCTCGCGACGCATCATTAATTTCACATGAAGGGCAGCGGGTCGTAGAGTGCGTCGCTTGTCTGCTTGTCGAGCGCTTCCGTAGATGCTAGAGAGTACCAGACTTCATGCAAGGTCCCTGCGAGGCGCAGAATACTCACCAGCCAAATGAACTACCAACATGAAGGACTTGCATAAAATATTAAATAATTGATGGTCAACATCATCATCGTTTCGATCTCAGTGAACCTTTCTATGTCGTCTACAGCCCACCTCCTCTAACCCGAACCTACGCCGCACCAATCAAATACCCACAATTCCTCTCTGCACGCCAGTTTGACGACCCGAAAAATCTCATGACACCACTTCCCACTCCATCCCGAGTCGACGACGACAAGACCCCACGACGAACCGCAAAATTCGGGTTCCTACAGCCGCCCATAGAGATCAATTGTTTGCTTTCTCGAGATCATAACAGCAGCAATGGCTTCTAAAATTGGCCCCAGGACCGTCAAGGACGCCACCCGCTTTACGTCCACAGTTCCCCACGCAACCTCCAAAACCGTCCAAAGAACAGCGCGCATCCCAGGCGAGACACCCGAGCAGCGCGTGAGGAGACTGCGTCAGGCTCACTTGGCCGCTCAGAATGCTCAGGTTAGCAAGGCCGATAGGATCATTGATGCGGGAAGGAGATTCTTCGATGTTGCGCATCGATGGACTGTAGGAGGCATTGTGACATTCACAGGTACGCCAGTATGACGAAATAGACATTGCAGGATAGCATGCTGATGAAGGATCAATAGTTGTCGCTGGTGTTGTCTCCGTATACTCTGTTTGGGACATGGTACAATATAACCGAGCCCGCCGCGCCGAATGGATCGAAGCCCAGAAGCGACTCGAAGCCGATGAGCTCGCCATGGCCCGTCTTGCTTATATCAAGGGCGAAGCTACCGAGGACCAGATCCTTCTCGTCGAGGAGGCCAACCAAGCAGCCGAAGCACGAGGCGAGAAGCTACCACCCCTGCTCGCTGCTCCCGAGCACCGCACACATTTCGAGGAGAACATCAAGCCCACATTCCAGGGCAAGACCGAAGAGAGCGCTACAAAGACATCAAGTGGAAAGGGTGTGTTAGGAGTTTTCTCCGGTGTGTTAGGAGGTGGATCGAAGAAGGAGGAGGTTAAGGAAGAAGCAACACAGGGATTGGCAGAGGCACAGACACAGTTGACGAAGTTGGCCGCTGACGGCAAGGAGAAGTTGGACCAAGTGATCCAAGCGGAGCGGGAGAACCAACAAAGAGGAGGCCCTCTAGACCAGCTAGGCACACAGCCCGCGGCTTCTGGCAAGTCATGGTGGAAGTTCTGGTGAAGTGTATAAAATATAATTGGAAAGACAAACGGCTGGCAACACGAGGCATACAAAGCGGGCTGTACGTGGTGGGAAAGAAACTAAAAAGGAGTGTATCATATGTGTAGATCGGCAGTGCATTAGACGGCGTCGGGGGACCATCTTGTATGTACCATTAAGGGGAAACCCCTACTTTACCATCTATTCAATATTAAGCGACTAAACAGTAACATAGTTCCTGAGGTGCTTGAGTGAGATATGCAACGCTCAGTCCTCGGTGTAGCAGACTGACTCTTCTAAGACCAGGGACGAAATAATTAAGTCACTTTGTGCTCCTTTAGGCCAGCTCTTACGCTGTCTTTTATTTCACGGTAATGGGCGTTATCATCCACCTCAGGGGGCAAGCGCAATAATGATTCAAAATTTGTTTGTTCGTCTATTATACATGTACAGATAGATATACACGGTCATACACCTCTGTTCTGTTCATACACCTCATAATTTTACTTCCCTTAAGCCTTACCAGTCAACCAATCCCGCTCCTTATTCTTACCGTATCCCCCTGTTCCAGTAACAGGCAGATCACGCTTCCGCAACTCCTCCTCAATGACCTTCCATCGACCAACTGAGACCTCGCGGTCGATGGGTGTGACTCTCCGGCTGTGCACTGTGACATTTTGGAGCTTGGAGAAGCCCTTCTGCTCCTCGAGAACCTCGGCGAGCTTCTTGCCGCGCTTGTTGATGGTTAGGGCGACGGTGATCAGTTCCTTGGGGGTGTTGGCTGCGGCGAGCTTCACGTCGGGGATAAAATGGCCGGTGAGTTGGTAGAGACGCTTGCGAATCTGTATTTTGTTAGTTCAAATTCAATTCGGTAAGATACGATGTACTTACGGCGAACTTGAGGTGGTCGTTGCCCAGAGAGGCCTTCTTCCATGAGGGGTCCAAAGCATTAAGCATTTCCTTGGCCTCCTCGGGTGAAATCTCAACCCTCTCCTCGTCAGGCCTAGCCTTGAGCTCCTCAGTAACAACTCGGAAGTGAGTGTTCAACATAGGCTGGCCATTATTCTCGAATCGAATACTGACGGCTAGTGTTCGGTCCAGGTGGGATCTTTTGCCCATGGGCCACTTCTTGGCCGCATATTCCTCAAGGAGACCTCGCTGCTGGTATGAAAGCGACTCGACCAGAGCCTGACGCAGGTAAACCTCCAAAACCGCCTGATCCTGCACCTTTACTGCCTTGCCGAAACCCTGGAATTCGCTCTCCTCACCCCAATGTCCGGGCTGCTCCCACCATGTCTTAAGAGGCTCGATTTCCTCCAAATCCTCAATTGTTGTCGCAGGGATATAATCAGTAGCGACGGACTCGATCTCCTTCTCGGTCAAAGCCTCGGAATGGGTGGGGGGCAGGACCAGGCGGGTGTTGCGAACAGCGCCAGGTCTGCGGTCGCTTTGTGACGCTTCCAGGGCCTCGTTAGGCAAGCTCGTGGGCTCAGGCTCCGGACGTTGAGTGTAGGGATCCTCAGCACCAGGAGCCTCGCCTTTCCACAGCTGCTTTCGGATCCATTGTGTCTTGCTATCGAGAGCGTTGACGGGGGTGGAGGTTGAGAAAGTGGCGCGGGCGACGAAGGGAACTCGGTTAACGGGGACAACGGCCGATGGTAGCGAGGCAAAAGCACCTACTCTCGGTATTCGAGGCATTGTGAGGTGGTGAATTGGAGGGGTCCTGAGGTCGAAAAGAATCGTGATGGGGTCATTCGTTGGAGGTACAAGTCGATATGGAACTTTTTCCAGTGTGGTGGTATTGGCCAATGGGAATGTACGAGGCTGAGGGTGGATACTGGGGTCTGACCCACTCCATCGTCAACTATCGATAGCCTCAAGTGATTGACGTGCGACCTCCCATGTCCGATAAGCAACTACGACAGCTCCATATTAGCCGAGATGGCACGAATATCGCTACTTATTCTCCTACTGGGAGCATTCATCTCGCTGGCCGCAGCATGTACGCGCGAATCTACAACAACACTTTCCAATAGCTAACACTTCCCAGCTGCGCCCACCTTTTGCAAATGCACATGCTTTAAGAACAGCACCATCATCCCGCTCGGTCCCAAAGACGAAACCCTCCGCCGCTCTGTCGATCTTCCAACAATCGAGCTTGAGCCGCGCTCAAAGTCTAAATCATGTTCTGAGTGCACCAAGGCCTTCTGTCTTAAGCAGGGCATCGACTTCTGCAAAGACGCGACTGAGGAGGATGTCACGACCATGTGCTTCCAGCGCGACAGCAACAAGGACAAGATCATAGTCTGGGCGTTCATCGCTGGAACTCTCGGATTGCTGGGCTGGGCTGCTTTCAAGAAGGTTATGGCGCTACGGGGACCTACGTTTCCCAGGCAGAATAGCAACTATGCTCCTATGCAAGGGAACTTCCGATGAGTTTACGAACAAGGCGAATATCGGACTCGTCTTGGTTGAGCCAGGCGCGATTTGTCAGTTTTGGGTATTGGGTAGATGGGGCTTTTGGCGTTGGTTGAGATATCATCACTTTAACATGGGGTTGACCCCTATCATAGCACAGGTTAGGATCATTCATGAGTTATGCGTTAAAACCAGACCAGGCATCGTGACAATTTCAATGCAACCTATATACGCCGACTTTTTCTACCTCCTGACCTTTTCTTACTAGGTCTAGTCATTAACTCCCAAAATCTTATACGACATTTTATCCATTTACATTCCGCTTCTGTTCACGCCACAATAACCGTTTAAGAACCGTTGACCGAGCGACGAGTGCGAACAGCGTCAGCGAGATCCTCGAGAACGGTAACGGTATCCTCCCAGCCAATGCAAGCATCAGTGATGCTGACACCGCGCTTGAGAGCGGCGGGACCCTCGGCGGGGACCTTCTGGTTACCCTCGCCAATGTTGGACTCAATCATGACACCAACGATGGCCTTCTCACCATCGCGGAGCTGGTCACCAACGACCTTGGCAACCTTTGGCTGGTTTCTGTGGTCCTTGGAAGAGTTTCCTGGCGCAAGTTAGTGTTGAGACTTTTCAAAGGGTCAGCAAACGTACCGTGGGAGCAGTCAATCATGATAGCCTCCTTCTGCTTCTTGTCCTGGAGGACCTTCTTAGCAGCCTGGACGCTCTCCTTGTCGAAGTTGGTGCCCTTGGTTCCACCACGGAGGATGACGAAGCAGTGCTCGTTACCCTTGGTTCGGGTGATAGCAGCAAGACCCTGCTTGGTGACACCCATGAAGTGGTGCTGAGCAGCGGCGGCACCAATAGCGTCAATGGCAACACCAAGGCTGCCGTCGGTACCGTTCTTGAAGCCGACGGGGAAAGAAAGACCAGAGGCAAGCTCACGGTGAAGTTGAGACTCGGTGGTACGGGCACCAATGGCACCGACGGAGATACAGTCGGCAAGGAACTGAGGAGAGATGGTGTCGAGCATCTCAGTAGCAATTGGAAGACCCTTGCTGGTGAGGTCAACGAAAAGCTGGCGAGAAACGCGGAGACCCTTGTTGATCTTGAAAGAGTTGTCGATATCGGGGTCGTTGATGAGACCCTTCCAGCCAACGGTTGTTCGGGGCTTCTCGAGGTAGGCGCGCATCACAATGCAAAGGTCGTTGGAGAGTCTGTCAGAGACCTCCTTAAGTCTGGAAGCGTATTCCTGGGCAGTAGCGGGGTCGTGGATGGAGCAAGGACCGACGACGACGAGAAGTCTGTCGCTCTGGCCGAGGACGATGTCGGCAGCATCTTGACGGCCCTTGACAACTGTGTTGGTGGCCTTCTCGGGGAGAGGGATTTCGGAGGTGAGAAGCTGGGGAGGGATCAGAGGATCCTGTCCGAGGACTGGTCTATGTTAGTCAATGGACTTGATGTGTCGGTGTATGAGTTTGGGAGCGGGAGGACTGCGACAATACGCAATGGCTGTCCTCTCACAAGCCAATGATGCTGACAAGCTTGCTCATGAGAGGCATCGCCACATGGTGTCATGAGTCCTCCGCACAATTCCACCACAGCTTTAACAAAGCAGCAACTCAATGGCAAAAGACTAACCTCTGGTGTCATCGGCGGCAATGGTGACCATATCGACGGCTGAAGGCATTGTGAATATGTGAGCTGAGATGTTCTTGATCTTGTTGCAACTAGAAATTTTGATATGGAGGGGTCCGATTTAGATTTACCTTTGAGCGGGTAGTGGTAGTTATTTAGTGTGTAGCTCCGCGGAGTAGGCGATGAATAGGTGACTCAAAGTAAACTTTCAAGACAAACGCCACAAGAAGATATTCGGGTTGATGCGAACAAGAAGAGGTTGTTGAGATATCAGCCCAAGCAAGTAGTAGACACACTTTTTTTTCTGCTCGTCTACCTTAGGGTGACTCAAAAGTTCTGGATGCTCTCAGCCCAAGGCCACAGGGTAGCACCACACCGGAGGAGCTTCGGAGGGGAACCCCACCGAGGGGTCAAGGGCGGTTTTTTGCAGGGGAGTTGTATGCAAAATACATTGGATTGACTACGTCAGGGTTCTAGAATTTCACAATTATCAATGGTCTAAGCTCAATTGGCTCCGGTTTGGGTCCGTAGTGACAATTTCTCGGTTACGCGAGGCAAAAGAAAATAGTCGAGTAGGCGACTTTATATCTGACATGTGGACGGCTTGAAGCCATATACACTCCGTACATACATATACGGACGGGCATACCGCCTATGTCGGAGGCTTGAAGTTACTATTACAGTAGTGAAGCTGCATGCAAGGAACGGGTGATCACTTTTACCGCCCTCTGTTCTACCAATTCCGTCCGAAAGTGCAACCTCCTCAAAGCTGTGGGAGGTCATCATGCCGTCGCTTCACTGTCGTATTGCATTAGCCTTCTCTTGGTGGTTTACTAAGGTCTCGAGCATATTGAGGCCATTCCGTCGAGTCCAGTCCAGTAGCAACTGACCAACCACTGAGTACCTATTCACCACCCTTTCTTGACTTCAATCTCCAATCTCCAGATCTCTTATTAATCTTGATCACGGTCACGCCGTTCGGTCTTACGGAGTAGCAATAATTTCTTATCCGGGGTCCAAGGGTCTGATCTAAGAAACTAGGGTAATCAAGTAATGTCACTAAGCACCACTATTCTCCCTACCAATAGACGCGTCTCGGAAAACAACGTGAGATAACATACGATAATCAATCGCATCCCTTGTGAAGTAATATGAGCAATTGGTCTTTATGGGAGAAAAGTGGGAGAAGGGAGAAGGGAGAAGGTGACGTCGGCATGCAAGAATATTTGTGACAGGGTCTCTTTGGTATCGTGGCGGCTTGCAAATCTCCCCACGTTTAGGAGTTTAGAGGGTTCATCAGTTGCACAGAGGAATGTGTGTCGCCAAAGAAAGGGGGGGTAATGAACCACCAAAACATGGGAAATTACGTGGGGGAACGGACTTGAAATAAACAATGCTACTACGAACATATCGTGTTACAAACGGGAAAAGAGTTTGTATCTGTTACTGATCTCAAGAATCTCGGTCCAAGATTGGGCACAACACTACCCTACAGCACAGACCGGAAGGTCATTGACCGAGGACTACTAACTGGACTAAGGGATCTGATCTGAGCCAAGTACAGAAGTTGTCTCAGATGTTCGAACCAAGATCAACAAGACAAGACAAGCCCGTTGCAACGTCTCAGAAAAAAGTCGTGTCCTACCTTGACGGAAAGACGGAAATCGAATAAGCGAAACACGACTGAAACCTAGACTTATTAGACATTCAAGTTCCGTTGAACAGCACAACATGTCGACTCAACTCTCACAAATTCTTGTCAAACGTAGTAGTGAACCGCGTTGCGTCTGAGGACTAGGAGCCTCGTACTGCGGATCTGTTGGTCCGTGATACCCTTGTAGTTAGTCCAGGCTGTCCACTCAGCCAGCCCAGCCAAGCCTAGCCCGGCCTCTTGACTTTCTCGTGATTAACCATGAGCCATGAGCATGAGCATGATGAGCATAGGTAGCATAGCATGACTGTCAAGGGTCAATTAGATCATCGTTCCTCCTCCATCAAGGGATCGCTCATTGATATGGACATTCGGGTTCTCGGCGATCCCCACGACGGAGCCGAGACTGAGAGGAATCCGATCGACTGGTGAAGTGAAGCGAATGCGCGCCATGGCTTGGTCTGGTCTGGTTTGGTCTCCATTCACAAACTTTGGCCTTGCCATTTCCTGTCTTCATTCACTGAGAACCAACCTAACCAACCCCTTTCCTCCTTGACTGTGACGTTCTTTCTCTTGATTCAATCTTTTTTTCTCTTGTTCAGCTTTTGATAAGCTTTTCATCGTTGTTTCACTTTACTGCTCTAATCGTCAATTGCTGTGCTGTGCATGACATTCGTTTCCTTTTTTGTTGGTCTTTGTTTACTTTCGTCCGATATTTACATTCACATTTACTTACCAGTCTGCCAGTCTCGCTTCACCAACACCGAGACAAGACCCTCAAATACCTTGAATGATAACCCAAGACATTATAGACCGCCCTACTACATATTTCCCCGCTCCTTCCAATTGTCTCACTATTTTTATTCTTTTTGCCTGATTTGCTGTTGGTCCCTCATCTCTTGCATCGCACCTCCTCAAGTGACAGCCAGCCCCAAAAAGAGCACCCCCCCAGCCTCTCCTCACTGCCTGCCTGCACTGACCCCTCCACTGTTGGCTTACTGCCTGCGTTCCAAGCTTCCCTCCGATCCACTACCTGCCGTGGCTGCGTGGCTTCCTTCCTTGACCGACGACAGGCCGCCACTTCCTCGTGAACTCAACTCTAACGATCGGGACCCTCAACTTTCTTTCTACTTTGACCAACCCAACCCAACCTCTTACACTTGGATCTGTCATTGACGTTTATATCCATTCATCCAATATTTTGTCCACAACATCAACATCAGGCCCGATACATCTTGATCTGATCCCGCCCATCACATTACTGTACTCTATTGCATCGTCTTGCATCGGAATCGGATACCCCCGCTGTAACGCTACTGGTTACTGGTTACTGCACACTGTACCACGACTTTCCCGGGACCTTTTGTATCCACCCGCATCAATACGCAGGGTCTGGTACTAAACGACGACCGACATCTTGTTCAATACGGAACTAATCCAGATCTTTCAAAGTGCTGGGCAGCAAATTCTCTGTGACAAACCGGCTACGACGACAAGATGTTCGCCCAGCAGCACGCCAGTTTTGAGCAGCGCAAGCGAGGCCGGGAAGACGATGAACTTGCTGCCAACGGCATGAGCTTCGGTGAGCACCGAAATGTAAGTCATGACAGCCTAGGCACCAAGCCTAAGAGACAAAATACTTTAGCCACTTTATGCCAGCTTAGACTAGCAGTTAGGCTATTTTATTTGTTTGCTCTCCTAAGCTTTAGAAGATTACTGACTTTTTGAAGAAACGACTGCAGTGTCTCCCCCTCCGTGCGCTCCCTCGAACCTCCTCGGCGTCACAGGACCAAGGATATTCCGATATGAATATGATGCAAGCGCAAACACAACAAGGATCGGACCGATTGAGTATGATGCAGATGGAGACCGACTGTAATTCCAACGGGCGCATGCCTACACCCATTCAGCCCAGCTTTGCCGCCCAGGTTAGAGGCCAGCAGGCTCATGGCCCTAACGGCGTCGCCAATCTTGGCCACCAAAACACCGGCTTCCACGAGGACCAGAGCGTTCCTCGAACAATGGCTGGAGGATGGCAAGCCGCACAGAATGAACGACGCCTCCCTTCTCCCATCTGTGAAGATGACAATACCATGGCATGCGAACCCATTACCCCCGTCAACAACCGATTCGACGCCAGCGTTCATATATCCCCAGGGATGGAACATCCCAACGTGAGAGTCGAGCCTTCACCTCCTCATGATGTAGAGCATCATATGATGGATGTAGAAGAACCTCACGAGAGCGATCCTTCTCCTCCTCGAAGAGGTCACATACGCAGTCGACACACGGTTAACAACTGGACTTGGCAGCCCGGCATGAAGAAGAGCTTCAGCATAGGATTTCGCTCAGACTGTGAAAAGTGCCGGTTGAAGGTCCCGGGTCACTTCAATCACATTATCGTCTCTTAGGACGACGGCGACCAGACGATTATTGTGGACCCTAAGGTTTACCCTTCTCTTTAGGATATTGTCGTAAGACCACTTGATCGCAAGGGCAAGAAGAGAAGATTCTTTTTCCAGTAGCTTATTATTTATATCTTGTTAGGCGTTATTAGGGATAGGAGCGGTATCATTAGCGAGAGGTATTTGAACCCAGGCAACATAGGGTACCTATTATTAGATTAATTGATCATTATGAACCTAAAAGACGAAGCCTCAGATCCTAAGAGACGAAATGTTAGATCCTACAAAACGAAATGTTAGATCCTAAGAGACGAAATGATCTAAGATCCTAAGAGACAAAATGACCAGATCGTAGAAGACGAAATACATATCCTAAGAGACTAGACAATTTTACCAGTTTAGATTAGCACTCAGCCTTTTGTTCTTGGTATCATAAGCATTGGGGGACAATTCTCGTACGTTGTTACAAGTTTATTCATTCATATGTAATCATCTCCCGGCGCAAAACTCCGTCTATGCAATATTTTACAGATATTTGTTCTGGGCAAGCCACTGCTTAACGTCCTCCTTATCTCTGGCGAGCCAGTTTTGCTTGGCCTTCATAGCATCAAGACTTTGAGCCAACTCAAGCTCGAATCCCTTGTTGCCCTTCTCCTCAAAGAAGCTCTTGACGTCGTCGATCTGGTCGGCGTGTGTGAATGAGCTTGTTGAGATGGCCACCATGTCACCGAGGAGTGACATGCCGGGAGGAAGTCGCTTGGTGAGAACATCCCAGTTCTCCTTGACCCATCCCCAAAGAGCCAGGACACCCTCCTTGTGAGCGCGAAGGCCGGCAAGAGGCATGTAGATATCTTGGGTCTTGACGTTATCGCTCAGAGTGTACGCCAGAGTTCGCTTGATAAGTTCAGGATCCTTAGCAAAGCCGAGAGATCGAAGAGCGGTGTTGCGCTCGCTGCTCTGCTTGGCAGTCTCGTACTCCTTGAGAACAGCGTTGTACTCGGCTTCGCCACCGTAGGTCAGCACAACTCCAAACACACTGGATCGAAGGTTAGGCTGAACGGCCTCGCGGTCACCGTTGATGAACTTCTCGAACAGCTCGAAGGCCGCCTTCTTGGCAGACTCGTCCTCGACAATGGCGGCCTTACCGAACATCAGTGCCTTGAAGCGCTGAGCGGTAAAGTCGTCAGAGCTTGAGATATTCCAGCCGATCTCATTGGCCTTCTCACTGACCAAGTCTCGCTGGAAAGCCTTGAGAGCTTTGTTCACGTCGTCTTCCTCGAAGACCCAAGCGTCCCGCAGAGAAGCAACACGGAGGGTGATCTCGTCCCAGACAATGAACTCATCTTCGGAGTCAAAGCCCTGGAGGAGAGACAGCAGGCCAGATGTCTTTTGGTAACCAGCAGCGGCAAGAGCACCAGCGTCAGCGATCATACCAGCTCTGTCCTCAACACCCAAGAGTCCTGCCTTGGCGTTCTGTCCAAGTCTCTGGAGTCGCTCGCTAGTGTAAGAGGTACGGTAGATACCGGAGTGACCAGAGTTAACCTTGTAGAAGTCAAAGTCAGGCACCTTGAAGTCGGCCTCGCGGACGTTGAGCGCAAGGTCTTCTTGGATACCGTCCTTTGTTCTGAGGTTGAGGAACACGGGGTAAAGGACTTCATCTTCTTCAGGCTTAACATCTGCCGTTCTAAGGAAGCGGTTTTGCTTGACGTGGATTGTGCCCTTGGACTCATCCTCGGTGACGGCTACAACAGGGTAACCGACCTTCTTGGTCCAGATGTCTGCAACACGCTCGACATCCTTACCACTGGCCTCGCTGAGAGCAGCCCAAAGGTCAGTTGTCTCTGTGTTGCCGTAGGCATGTCGGTCAAGGTAGATGCGAACACCTTTGAGGAAGACGTCCTCGCCCAAGTACTTGGAGATCATGCGAAGGACACAAGAACCCTTCTCGTATGAGATGGCATCGAAGATCTGGTTGACCTCATCCGCACGCTTAACAGGCACCTCGATGGGGTGAGAGCTGCGCAAAGAGTCAAGACCCAGAGCGGATCGCAGATCCTCGGTGACATATCCTTCCCAGATCCTCCACTCGGGATAGAAGGCGTTGGAAGAATACCACGACATCCATGTAGCAAATCCTTCCTTTAGCCACAGGCCATCCCAGAAGTCCATTGTGACCAGGTTGCCAAACCATTGGTGAGCAAGCTCGTGCTGGACAACCTCGGCGACACGCTTCTTGGTAACAGCACTGCTTGTCTTCTCGTCTAGGAGAAGGTCGACAACTCGATATGTGATGAGACCCCAGTTCTCCATAGCTCCGGCGGCGAAATCAGGAATGGCAACCATGTCCATCTTGGGAAGGGGATACTGTGAGCCGAATTGTTTTTCGTAGAACTCGAGGGTTCGTGCGCCCAACTCAGCCGAGAAGACGGCGTGTTCGAGATCTTGATCGGGGGTACACCACACTCGGATGGGAACTCGGAAGTTGTTGGTCTCGTAGTGCTTGAGGTCTCCAATGATGAAGGCCAAGAGGTAGGTAGACATGATGGGTGTCTTGTTGTATGTGATGGCCTTGCTCTTCTTGCCAGTAACCTTGGAGTCAACCTCCTTTTCGGAAGCAACATCCATGTTGCCCAGGCAGACCAAGTCCTTGTCAGCAATCAAAGTGACAGTGAATGTGGCCTTGAGAGCAGGCTCGTCGAGACAGGGGAATGCTCGGCGAGCATCAGTAGCCTCGAATTGAGTGGTGGCGATATACTTTGTGTTACCCTGCTCGTCCTTGTATGAAGATCGGTAGAAGCCAGCCATATCATCGTTGAGGATACCGGTGAAGCGCTGGGTCAACCTAGCCTTCTGGCCTGCAGGAATCGTCTTGTCGAAGGTAATGGTTGTGGTCTGGGAGTCCTTGTCGTAGTCGAGAGTGGGGGAGGAGCTGATGGTAGCACCATTGGCCTCGACCAGAGTCTCGTGGATCTCGAGGTCTACTGTGTTGAGAGCAATGGATGTTGAATCTTCGACAACGTCGAAGTCGATGACGACGGTACCTTCATATTTGAAGGTCTCAAAATTGGGCTCGAGGGTAAGATCGTAGTGCAGTGGCTTGACGTTCTTAGGGAGGACCTGGCGACCTCGACGGACGTCGAGGCTTGCGCTGGTAACGTCCTCACCGTTGCGAAGCATGGCGCGTCGACAAGAGCAGTTGCGACGGGATATGAGAGAAGATGTGACTTTGGAGTCGCGAATAGAGGGTCGAGAGAGTGAAGGCTGAGAGAGTGTAGGTCGATACGAAGCTGTCGCAGGGTTATTTGAAAGGAGATATGAGGATTGAGAAGTATGAAGAGATCGAGTTGTTGTAGTTGTTGTTATAGAAGGTCGAAAAGCTGACAGAGAGCTGCTAGCTCCTAAGCTGATGCGGGGGAGGGGTCGTGAAAGGTGGAAGGTACGGGTCATCGGGTTCCTGCCTCCGACAGTGGACTGTGTCAGAGTCAGAGACAGAGACTTAGGCTGACCGCCCAAGGCCCGTCGCAGACCGAAAGACATTAATTGAGGCTTCATTGAATCATTGGCTCTTCTATGAGACGTTATGATTCATGGCGGTGACGACCGACGTTACACTTGTTCCTGACAATGCAATGTGATTGTTCGGAAGATTTCGTTGCAACCCTGAGTCTGAGTCTGGAAAGCTTGGGCCCGCCAAGTCTGGTTATGCGCCTAAGTTGACTGACCAATGGCGTCTTGCAGAGCAAAACACCAACAGATATCGCTTCATTCATCCAGACTTTATCATAATATTTCAGTCTTTATGATAATAGAAATACTAAGACTTATGAAATGTTCTCATCACTTTCATAAACTTAGATTATTTGTGGGTCTGTCATGTTGTTCATACATTCTTCGACTCGTTTCTGTATAACTAACTCCTTAGATCTCCAACACCTCTCTACGACTCTTACTGTTAATATCAAGATACGGCGCCTCTCCCAGACTGGCCACTCTATCTCCCGCTCTTGCTTCTAGGTAGTCATAGGTAGCGCAATGGAACGTCGATCTATTGTCCCAGATCGCGCAGTCATTCTTGCTCCATCGGTATCGAACTTGAGCATCGTGATTCTGTGTCACCAAGTTGAAAAGATAAGCGAGAAGCGTATCACTCTCATCCCTCGATAGTCCGTTGATACGCTTAGTGAAGCCCTTGTTGACAAAGACAGACTTCCAGCCTGTCACTGGGTTGGTTCTGATGAGAGGGTGGACGGCTGTGAGGTTCTCGCCTTGGTTCAGAGGAGAACCTCGAATACCTTTGCGGATGGGGTTTCCTAGACGGCGGGCTTCGTCGTGAAAGAATGATGCGTCATGGGTTGCAGTGAGACCTTCGAGGAATTTCTTCATTGGGTCGGAGAGTCTGTCGTAGACCTCATATCCTGATGCCCAGAGCTGACCGAGTTAGCTGTATACAAGCAAAACCAGGCGCCAAAGTAACACAGGTTACTTCATTGTTGCTAGCCCGGTGTAAGTGGCAGACATACCGTGTCACCACCTGTTGCTGGTAGTGTGTGGATCCTGAGCATGGCATAGTCTGAAGGAACCTTCTCAAAAGTACTTGGCAAGGTCAGCATTGTCCAAAAAAGAGACTGCGAGTTTATACGCACATGTCAGAGTGCCAACCGGCGCTCGCGAATCGGCTCACATCGCTCAACTGATGTGTCAAACCACCACCCTTCTTCTGCTTCTCACTCGAGATAACACTAATCTGATCACCTAATTCTGATCCCTCCTCTGTAAGCGGATGAACATGCAGTCCTGAGGTAGAAGGACATCCAGCGAGGTCTGTGAGTCGCAGCATAAAGTCCTTCATCTCGTTAGGGGTAACATCTTGATCCTTCAGAAACACAACACCACGCTGGGAAATTGTGACAGCAAGGTCTCGAATGTGAATATCATCCCATTTCAGCAGGTCTCGAATTTGAAGACCGTTGAATTCACGACCGATGACTGGGGTGACGTCAAACTGGGAGTAGTTGTCCAAACTCCCCGTGTAAGTCAAGGGTCCGTCTAGTCGGGGTCTGCTTTGGGCATTTCCGCCGACGATATGACTAGGGAGGGTCTCGACTTCAGCTGAAGGCATGATGCAATATAGGATTATGATTGAATAATATTCTCAATTGACCGAGAAACTGAATTGAGAGGCGAATGCGAGACAATTATGTGAAGCCGCACTCTTATCCCGGAGACTCTTTCGGAGAAGGATAGACTCAATAAATAACAGCCAAGACCCGGTATTTCGGAAACCAGTCTAACCCCAGATTAAAGCCTCGGACCGTTCTGAGCCAAAACGAGCCAAAACGTACAGGATCAAATCACGACGCGATGCAACTCCCCGCACTTTAAGACGACATCGAGGCTAACAATCACCTAATGACCAGCTTATGCGAAGAGGGAGAATTTCTCGGAGAATCTACCCCAGCATTCAAAGAGGGGACATAACCAATCCTGTGTTTCGAATGCCCTGTCAGATGGTCAAGGACTCTACACTTGGCGGATTAATGGCCCTGTACTATGAGACTCGAGGTTACCACTTCTGGCTTCATGCCCTTATGGCGTGCGCGATCGCGCCACACAAGCTAAGGGGACTATAGTGAATTTGTATGTATCCCGGAGACTCTTTCGGTAGGTAGTATGGACTATTGTGTTTAAGGTCAAAGTGTAGATGTAGTTATATATGTTGACCGAGACCCCGAGTTTGGAGATCAGCAGCAAGCACTTGACTCTAGACAAGTCATTGAGATTCCGAGAAACTCGATTGAGTAATAGCCTGTATTTCAACATGGGCAATCCGGATATCGAGTCGACTTCTGCGGTTACTGCGCGCGCGTCGGTGGATCATATCGATAAGTCGCAAGTCGGAGTCGGCCGAGCTGAACTGAGCCATGCGCTACCACCACACAACGACTACGAAGGCGGCCATCGGTGGGATCCCTCGGCTACTTGGACCGCCGAAGAAGAAAAGAGAGCTGTTCGAAAGACTGATTTGAAGCTTTTGAGTTGGTTGTGTCTCATGGTACGTACTTTTCTCTCGAAGGTCGGGTGTTGTACAAGGCCACCCCAGCCCACCTCAACACCACGAGAGTACAGAGAAGCGAAAGACGATAGATCATTCAATTACTTACACGATATACTCAGTTCTTCGGCCTTCAGCTTGACCGAGGTAATATCAGCAATGCCCTGGCAGACGACCTTCTCACTGATCTTGGATTGACGACTGATGATTACAACAACGGAACGACGATCCAGGTCCTGTGTTTCTTGCTCGCCGAGTTTCCTGTTATCTTCCTCACCAAGCGCTATGGTTTCAAGACTGTGCTGCCCACCCTCATGGTGTGCTGGGGTCTTGTGTCGACTTTCCAGGCCTTCATGACCGGACGAGCTGCTTTCTATGTCACTCGAGCTTTGATCGGCACCTTTGAGGGCGGTTTCATCCCTGGTGTTATCCTCATGGCGACGTACTTCTATACCTCGCGGGAGTTGTCGATTCGACTTGCTGCTTTCTGGTCCACTTTGAACGTCGCCCGTGTTATCTCAGCTCTTTTGGCTGCTGGACTGCTTGAAATGCGAGGCATCAACGGTCATCCTGGATGGTTCTGGCTTTTGCTCCTCGAGGGTCTTCTCACAGTTGTCATCGGTCTCGTCTCGATGGTATATCTTCCGACTTCTCCAACGGGTACCAAGACTGCTATCTGGCGCAAATCCTGGTATACCGAACGTGAAGAGGTCATTATGATCAACCGAATCCTCCGAGATGATCCTGCCAAGGGCCTTACAGCGCTCAAGGAGCCAGCCACATGGAAGGACGTCAAGGCGGCATGGGGCGATCCATCTCTCTGGGGACTCTACTTCATCGGTGTTGTTGCATACATCCCTGCGGCGCCTGTTCAGGCATACTTGACTTTGACCTTGAAGAGAGTCGGAAACTTCAGCACCTTGGCCAGCAACCTTCTTACTGCACCTTCTGCAGCTCTTCAGATTATCACTATGCTTGCGCTCGCCTACAGCTCCGAATACTTCAACGAACGAGCCTTTCATTGTTTGTTCGGAGAAATTTGGTCATTGCCGCTGCTGACAGCTCTCCTGACGCTCCCTGATCAAGGTCGTGAATGGGGTCGGTTCTCGATCATCACCCTGATCTCAGGATACCCATACTTCCACCCTCTTGTATCTTCTTGGATCTCAGAGAACTCATTCGACGTTAAGAAGAGAGCCATTGCAGCGGCTTCCTACAATGTATTGGTTCAAGTGTAAGTGAACGCTCTTATCTTGATCGGATAAATGCTAACAAAAAGCAGTGGAAGTGTTATCTCCAGTCAGATCTATCGAAAGTGGGACGGACCGTATTTCAAGAACGGAAACAAGGTCCTGATTTCGATTCTTTGTCTCTCTGTTGTCGTGTTTATTGTCCAGAGACAGTGGCTTGTGCACCTGAATAAGAAGAAGGTTGAGCAATGGGAACAGATGACTCCGGAGCAGCAACTCGAGTACCAAACGGACAACGAGCAGCGAGAGATTGACGGCAATAAGCGACTGGATTTCCGATTTGCTTATTAAGTTAACCGAAGGTTACACTTTAATTCGACGAAGAGATGGATTGGGTCGGAGATGGTAGTCGCGCGTGTGAGGTATACCCAACGGGTTTGATGTTGTGGCTCGCACATCGATCTCCTCGCACCAAACGCATGACTAGTCTCAGATTCGACCCAAGTTTGGATCATATAAATAATAATGAATTGGTATTTTACATCAGTTATTCAATCAAGCCATGATGTGATTCAACTCGATTGAAATGATGGCAGGTTCACTCATGACAACTGATCTCTTTGATGCCCAGCTGTACATCCTGCACCTATTTCGTAAGGTAATCATAAGTATTTGCAAATAATAATAAAGTCTTAGGATAGAGTGTATCCATTTTCGTCTGTTAGGCTTCTCCTTGACTATATGAATGAAAGTGCCGAGATCGAAGATATGGGTCCTGGATTTAAAGTTTCGTTTGTTACAGATTCTGGTTCATATTCCCGCTGGTTTCGGACGAGTTTCCCTTCGAGGGTCGTGCAAGGACCGTTTTCATGGATTGGCAGGTGGCTGATTTTGGTGAAGCTCGTATCACTGGTTCTCTCAAATGGAAAAATTAGTCATCCGCCAGCCTGCAGCCATCGCGAAAACTCAATGTCTCAAAGGCCAAAGTCAATTCCTTTCAACACTTACGCGTCTTGTTTACCCTCCTCTTCTTGTCTATCAACCTGTTTAAATAACACTGCGATCTCTATCTTGTGCTAGTTCTCAATCTACTCACTAAGCGACCCACGTTTTCTATCTCACGCTAAAACCTCCCATCTACTATCTACCACCACCACCTTCTTACAATATGGGTGTTCTCGGACTCGTTACAACCGGCTTTGTCGGCGCCCTTCACAGCTACATCCTGTGGCTAGAGATGTTTGCTTGGACTTCTCCTCGCGGGAGAAGGACCTTCAAGCTCACACCTGAATTCGCCGAGCAGACCAAGACCATGGCGGCGAACCAGGGTCTGTACAACGGTTTCCTCTCAGCTGGGTTGATTTGGTCGCTTCTTCACCCGAACCCTGTGTTTGCGAAGCAGCTGCAGATTTTCTTCAACGGTTGTGTCGTACTTGCGGGCGCTTATGGCGGTGCGACAGCCAACAAGCGTATTCTTTACGTTCAGGCTGCCCCGGCTGCTGTTGCTCTTGGACTTGTTCTTTTGGGAATGTAGATATGTAGGTGAAGCGGAATGATTCCGGGGTGTTCTAAGTTTCGTTGCTGACTTGCCATGCAGTATGTAGTAATACTATCACATTATCTGTCTTGGCTCATCTTCTGTCATCTATATGAGCGACTCTCTTGACCCAGCAGATCGTTTTTCCCAGTCTCGAAATTAAGCATCAATTCAGGAATGATGCCTCTACAACCTTCTAGTTTGAGACAGCCTGAAAGATGTGTGACATGGAGAGTGTGAGCTCTTGGGTTGAACCTCAGCTTCGGATAGGTGTCCTACAGACCATGAACAGCTTCCCGATTCTTTGAATGCGTGTGACTTTGAACACCATCAACAATTAATGCTCAAAGACGGGTTCATCCGTCTGCGGTGTTCTTCGGAATTAGGAACTGCATGCGTTCTCTTCGTTTTACAGGGTTCTTTGTGATACCACACAGCGGTTGGTTATACAAACCGGTTCCATGGAAAGTCAGCAACGGCCTTGTAAGCCACTCGTTACTCAATACATATTTCTAGAACGAAATTGGCTTCGGCTTTTGGTCTCGAAAAGAAGCCATTATTCAGGTGACGTAATGATGAGAACTTTGGCTCGTGCCTGTTGGCAATCCAGACCTTCCAACAGCTAACAAATCAATCCAAAACCACTCATAACCATCGGGCGACCTTGAAAGCAATGCATACAACACATACCTGAGCTATCAATGACGATCGCCAGATGCCGCATAGCCGAAATTCACTTATACGGGAATAACCAACTTTTGTGTTTGCTTCTCGGTTCTGACGGATAGGATGTCAGCCTTCGGCACCGCCCTCCAGTAAACCGATGAACCTTATACAGCATAGTTCGACCCTGGAGCTGCTGGTATTGGATGCTTCTCCAAAAGTGCTCGCCGGTTCGGTAACGAAACACCAACTTTTCTTGAAACTCTCCTCTCCCGGTGTGAGCGGGAGGGGATGTGATCACTGCAGATCTCGAGCTTTCTATTCTTGACACCACTCAATTGCTGCTCGGAACAGTCGGCCATGACGGAAATTCGCTCGCATGTCATAGAGTCGGTGGTCAGTTGTCGCGAACGCGAGGGAGATAATGCTGTGTGGTTGCAATGCCGAGTTACCACGAGAGGGAGCTATCTGAATGAGGAAACAAGCTGTCTGCGAACACAATAAATACAGCTTGAGGCGCCTACTGGAACAAGCTGATCTGAAGTGTGTTCGCATGGTTATTCACTGAATTAGCACGCGCACATAGATTTCTCTATTATTTTTGCACAACTCTTCAGCCATGTCGAAGTTATTCCATCGTCGCAAGAGGAATGATGATGATGTGGAATCCAACGCTGGAAGACGAGCTTCTCGCGCCTCCAAAGGCCGGGCTGGCTCTATCTTCCCAGACCCTAACCTCGACGAGTATCCCGCTCTCGACCACTACATCAGCAACTACCGCGAAGATCGTCGCCGAAGCGTAGCGGACTCTGAAGCTGGAAAAGGCAAGAAGAAGCATTGGTGGAGCTTTGGCAGCAGTGGCTCTGAAGATCAAGATCAGTCCACTGGCAAAGCCGGAGTTTCTGAATCATGGCTTGAGACAGATCTGAGAGCTGGATTGTCCTCTGATGAGGTTGAGAAGCGAAGAAAGGTCACTGGGTGGAACGAACTTACCTCTGAGAAGGAGAATATGTTCGCCAAATTCCTAGGCTTCTTCACTGGTCCTATTCTCTATGGTGAGCTGCACTCCTTCATGACTCCGATTGAGAAAACATTAACCAAGTGCTATAGTTATGGAAGTAGCTGCTTTACTCGCCGTGGGATTGGGCGACTGGGTCGACTTTGGAGTCATTGTTGGAATCCTCATGCTCAACGCCTTTGTAGGCTGTAAGTTCTCCTCAACTCAACCCCTATGCGACCAATTCTAATTACTATTTAGTCATCCAAGAGAAACAAGCAGCAGATATCGTAGCGAGTCTAAAGGGAGATATCGCTATGCGATGTACCGTTGTCCGCGATAGCGTTGAGCAGGAGATCCCAGCCCGAGAGCTGGTACCCGGCGACATTCTCCTCATCGAAGAAGGTGGCACAGTTGCTGCAGACGCGCGACTCATTTGCGACTATACCCGGCCGGAAGACTTTGAGCTTTTCAAGCGCCTCAGAGCTGAGGACAAGTTGGACCGAAGTGATGAAGAAGATGATATGGCTGATGGCCCGGATGATGCCAATGGTGATGCAAAGCATGCAGATGGTGAAAGCAAGGAAGATGGTCGTCCGCACACCCACGGCAATGAGCCTCTAGACCACCGAAGTCGTCCTATCGCCGCTGTTGATCAATCTTCTATTACAGGAGAGTCACTCGCTGTTGAGAAATATCTGGGTGACAAGGTCTACTATACAACTGGCTGCAAGAGAGGAAAGGCATTTGGCTTGGTAGAAGCATCTGCCAGAGACTCCTTCGTCGGACGTACAGCTGATCTCGTCCAAGGCGCTAAGGACCAAGGTCACTTCAAGGCTATCATGAACAACATCGGTACCACGCTTCTGGTTTTGGTCATGTTCTGGATCTTGATCGCCTGGATCGGTGGCTTCTTCCATCACATCGGCGTTACAGCTCCTGGATCTCAGAACTTGTTGCATTATGCACTTGTTCTTCTCATCGTTGGTGTTCCCGTCGGTTTGCCTGTTGTCACTACCACTACACTTGCTGTAGGAGCTGCCTATCTGGCCAAGCAGAAGGCGATCGTGCAAAAGCTCACAGCTATTGAATCACTCGCTGGAGTCGACATCCTGTGCTCCGATAAGACCGGTACTTTGACGGCCAACAAGCTCTCTATCCGTGATCCCTTCGTCGCTGAAGGAGAGGACGTCAACTGGATGATGGCATGTGCAGCGCTTGCATCAAGTCACAACTTGAAGACACTAGATCCTATCGACAAGGTCACCATTCTTACACTCAAGCGTTACCCCGAAGCCCGAGAGATCCTTAAGCAGGGCTGGGTAACCGAGTCCTTCACACCCTTTGATCCCGTCTCCAAGAGAATCACCGCTGTGTGCCGTCTCGGCAACGACAAATTTATCTGCGCAAAGGGTGCACCGAAGGCTATTCTCAAGCTTCTGGGACCGGGCTCAGAGCATCTAAGTGAGCTTTATAGGGAAAAGGCTCAAGACTTTGCTCGTCGTGGATTCCGATCTCTTGGTGTTGCGTACAAGAAGAACGACGGCGACTGGATTCTTCTGGGTCTCCTGTCCATGTTCGATCCACCTCGTGAGGATACTGCTCAGACGATCATCGAAGCCGGACATCTTGGTGTTCCTGTCAAGATGTTAACAGGAGATGCCATCGCTATCGCCAAAGAAACCTGCAAGATGCTGTCACTGGGCACAAAGGTGTACAACTCAGACCGTCTTATCCACGGTGGCTTATCTGGGAGTGTGCAGCATGACTTTGTCGAACGCGCGGATGGCTTTGCGGAAGTGTTTCCTGAGCATAAATACACTGTGGTAGAAATGCTACAGCAGAGAGGCCATCTCACAGCTATGACCGGTGATGGTGTCAACGATGCTCCGTCTCTGAAGAAAGCCGACTGTGGTATTGCTGTCGAAGGCGCTTCGGAAGCTGCGCAAGCGGCAGCTGATATTGTCTTCCTCGCGCCGGGTCTGAGCACAATTGTGCTGGCTATCAAGACTGCCCGCCAGATCTTTGCGAGAATGAAGTCGTATATCCGTGAGTACAACCCTTTCCAGATGTCCGAACCTGACTAATTTTCGTAAGAATACCGTATCGCGCTTTGTCTGCACCTCGAGATCTACCTCACGCTCTCCATGATCATCCTCAACGAGACCATCCGCGTCGACCTGATTGTCTTTGTACGTTCATATCTATCAGTTAGTCTTTTATTCACTAGAACAGCGGCTAATCAAAGCAGTTGGCGTTATTTGCAGACCTTGCCACAGTTGCTGTCGCTTACGATAATGCGCATTGGGAGCCCAGACCTGTGGAATGGCAGCTACCAAAGATTTGTAAGTCGGTCATACCACAACACATACCAGAAACTAACCACAACAGGGATCATGAGTGTTATCCTAGGCGTTCTTCTAGCTCTCGGCACCTGGGTCATCCGTGGAACCATGTTCCTCCCCAACGGCGGTATCGTCCAGAACTTCGG